GCCCAACCCCACTCCTACCGAAACACACAAACCCCAACGACCCCACCCCCATCACCCCCCCCCCCCCCCCCCCCCCCCAACAATGGCGAGCAACGAAAACCCCAGCTTGGTCTCGCAAGCAGTCCGCTTCGTCTTGGACGTCGCCAACGGCCGCAGCGCCCTATCGAAACTCGTCCCGCCGACCCTATTCGTCCTCGACGCGGTGCTCTGCGCCCTGATCATATGGAAGATTCCCTGTAAGCTACCTATTAGACTACCTAACCTACCTAATGTACCTCTATTCGAAAGAGGCAATACATTAGGTATCCGCGCAGCTGAACACAAGAGTCGCTTACGATCCGTCCCCCCTCCTTCCCCTTTCTTGCAGATACCGAGATCGACTGGACTACGTACATGGAACACATCGCGCTGTACGTGTCGGGTGAGCACGACTACACTGCTCTTACCGGCGCTACGGGGCCCCTGGTCTACCCGGCCGCTCACGTCTACACGTATACCGCGCTGTACTACCTGACGGACGAGGGCAAGAATATCTTCCTCGCGCAGCAGATATTCGCCGTCTTGTACATGGCGACGCTGGCCTTGGTGATGGCCTGTTATTGGAAGGCAAAGGTACACAGAAGTATAAATCATTATTGCTATGGATATCCACTAATCATGTCTTTTACAAACAGGTTCCGCCCTACGTCTTCCCCTTATTGATCCTCTCAAAGCGACTCCATAGCGTTTTCGTCCTACGCTGCTTCAACGACTGCTTCGCTGCATTCTTCCTCTGGCTAGCTATATTCCTGTTCCAACGACGAGCATGGACTGCCGGTAGTCTTGTTTATTCGTGGGGTCTGGGTATCAAAATGTCCCTGCTGCTGGTGCTCCCGGCTGTTGGGGTAGTCCTATTGTTGGGTCGGGGATTTTCGGGTAGTCTGAAATGCGCTGCGATTATGGCTCAGATGCAGGTTCTTATTGCGTCCCCGTTTCTGCAAGCAAACGCATGGGGTTATGCGAGCAAGGCTTTCGAGCTGACCAGACAATTCTTCTTCAAATGGACTGTGAACTGGCGTTTTGTAGGGGAGGATATCTTCCTTAGCCGGCCCTTCTCATTGGCGCTCCTGGGTATGCATGCTGTGATCTTGGTGGGTTTTATCATTGGCAAGTGGCTTAAGCCAGCTGGAAAGCCTCTATCGGCAATAATCATGCCACTCCTGCAGTTCAGCTCGCCCTTTAGTGCCCGAGAGGAGCCCCTGGTAGCTTCACGGGTGACCCCCAACTATGTGATGACAACCATCCTTTCAGCAAACGTCATCGGGCTTCTTTTCGCGCGTACTCTGCACTACCAGTTCTATTCATATCTCGCATGGTCCACTCCATACCTCCTCTGGCGAAGCGGAACTCATCCTATTGTTCAGTATGGGCTCTGGGCTCTCCAGGAATGGGCCTGGAACGTCTTCCCGAGTACCCCTGTTAGTTCGGGAGTTGTGGTTGGCGTCTTAGCTACGACCGTTGCGTTAATAGCCATACGGACAGATAGAGATGCAGTATCGGTACCTGATTCTGGACGCAATGGACGCAAACGCAAAAACGTTTGAGTCTAGTCTAGTCGGACTACGGACTAGACGATACGCAGTTATTCTTCATCTTCCGAGCCTGACGGCGGCATCTTGCCTACAGTCGACTCTTCGTCGTCGTCCTCATCGTCCTCGTCGCCGTAGATAGGTCGGGGGAATTCCTTAGGCCTAGGCGTCAAGTTAGTGTTATAGTACCTACGACAATGTAGTTGTTAACACCGACCAATAGCTCTGTTTGCGCCACTCCTTCTCCTCGACTACGACGTTCACAATCTCGCCCCTTACTTTGCCCTTTTGCTCCTGAGGCGCAAGCTCCACGAGGACATATCCACCACGCTTGATCCAGACGGCATTGCGGAAGCGAGCATCCAGTTCGAAAAGGAGGGTGCGCTGGTCCGGTAGAAGGCAGGTGTAGAGATTGTTGCCCTCGGCTTTTATCACCCTGGCGAGCGACTGCGTCTGCGTGAGTTTGTCCGGAGGGGTTATCGACGTCTCCGCAGCCGCGCGCATATCGCGCCTCCTTGGTCGAGCCATGTTTGGTTGTTGTGGTTTATTATATGGTGACAATGTAATGTAATGTAATTCTATGTTATATTATGTTATGTTACTGAAGTTTTCAAAAAAATGGATTGAAGATGCGTCACCAAATTTGACATTTGATTTCTGATTTCCGAGAAAAATAAAAGGTACCTAACCTAACTTAAATTAGGTATGGAAGTCCGGAGTGCCTCTAGGTACCTAGGTAGGTACCTCTTAAGGTTAGTTAGGTCCGCACTGGCGGGGCTATAGCGGTCTCGCTTATCCGTAGTTCCCCCGATTATAACCTCCTACCGCCTTGATGGTACGGAACTCCAACTCTAATTTAGGTACCTCCCACCTGTATAAACCTCATCTTAAAACAAGTATTGTTGAAACTTTAGCGTTCAATGTCTTCTTTTATACAGTAAACATTTCTAAGTATACATCTAGGTAAACAAACAAATGCTCATAGCTAGGTACCTAAGTAGGTAGCTTCTAGGACTATACTAACAGCCTGGACACATCGTATCAACCAATACCAACTAAATTTCCTATATGAAATAGCTAGCCATCTCATTTATCTATCGTGCCAGAGCCGGACAAGACATAGTTAGGTAGTCAATCGGACCTCACATCTTTAGCCTATGTCAACTTCCAACTACGCGACATATTTGATCTTCAGTCCTATGTAGAATCAGTACAGATGTCCCACCCCTTTTCGATAACCATGACTAGAAGTCTCCTGTTGGCTGGGCTGTCTCCCAAAACACGATCGAAATCCTGGGAAAAGGCACTCAGATACGGTCTAGACTTAGGCACGGCTTACGGTGGCAGTTCATGATTCTAACGGGGACCGATATATCGTACCAGCTATTCATTCACCATTGTATACGGCAATCCGAGTAGTCGAGGACTCTACGGCCAGGTGTTCATGATAACTGAGATGCGCATACTCACATCAAGGGATCTATAGCAGCTCTTGTGAACTGACTGGGCTTTATAAGAACCCCCTATAAGTGAGAGGTAAGTATCCATTGAAGCCACTGTAGATAAATTGCCGTATCAACCAAAAGATGATAACTAAACCACCTGGGCACCTGCATTACTCTCATACCATCATATAGGTATATAATAGATGCACCACATCCCATAAATTTACGGCAATCTGATCCCTTACACTTTCTCTCACCATTTGAGGCTCGGGAGTATCTATTTGTTATAAGAAGCGTTCCGACTTATTGCATAAAGTTGATTAAGACCACTTTTGTACCTAAGATCATCTACAACATATAATCCTCACGTATTATATTATAATATGAGCTATCTACCTAAGTACCTATATCAGGCATCCATGCATCTGGGGGCTTAGAGGTCGAGATGGCGCCCGAGCAGGCATGCCCGCTAGAGGTACCTAAATACGAAGATAAGGCTGAAGCCTATATAAGCCATAATCACAGTAGTCTAATTTTCCTTACCTTAGGTAAAGTAAGTTAGGTACCTCCTTTCCAAAATCATCATAATGGAAATCCCCACCTACCGCCGCGCCCCCAACTTCTCCATCCCCATCCCCCCCTCCGGGCCCCTGCACCTCGGCACCCTCGTCGAAGACCTGCAGCACCTCGCCCCCCTCAACGAGGCCGTCCGCGTTCCCGTGCCCCCCGACCGCGTGTACCGGCGCCGCGACGCCGGGTTCACCGTTGCGCGGGGCAAGACGCAGGAGCACGAGCTCGGCCTCGCGGCTCGGATCCTGGGTTTGGATTTGCTCGGGGCGGAAGCGGGGGGTGCAAGGAGGAAGAGCAGGGACGAGACGGTGTACGCGCGCGAGCTCGAGACCGTGTACTTCTGCCCGTCGAGCGAGTACGTCGCGGCCACGATGGCCCTGCCCAGCGTCGACGCGTACATGCGCGTTACCCGCAGGAAGTTCCCCGTCTACCTGATCACGGGGCTGAAGATCGCGCGGGGCGCCTCGTGGTCGCGCGGCGGGAGCACTGGGTTCGGGGTTCGGGCGGAGGTTACGGTGCCCGAGCCCCTGTCGGGAGTTGTGGGGGTTGGGCCTAGGGTCGCGGTGGATACGGCGCGTACGGCTGCGACGGCGGTCGAGGAGGCGGATCCGTTCGTGCTTGGGTATCGCGCGATGAAGATTTGGTATAGGAGGAGTGGTAGGAGCGGTTGGCAAAAAGGGGGGGACGAGGTTAGGATGAAGGCGTATGTGAATGGTGCGACGATGGCGGATGATGGTGGTGGTGTGCGAATGGGACAGGGGGAAGAGGATGAAGAGCTGGAGTTTATACCGGATGTTGGGGTTGATGGCGAGACGGATGTCGAGATAGCTGTAGTCGAAGACGATTCTATTGGTGGTATTGAGCCCTCTATGTGGATTCTGTCTCGCTGAGCCTGAGGTGCTTCACTGGATTTATGGACATACACTTAGTTTAGTTCATGGCCTGGTTTTATTTTATGGTATTGGGAAACAGAAATTATGTCATTGTCAGGGGGTCACGTAGTTGTCTGGAGGAGCGTATTCAAACACGCTTAACTTGGATATAAACGGCGATATCTTTTTCATCTCGTCTTCATCGTCGCCTTTCTCCTCCCATATCTACCTCCTTTATCTGGAGATTGACTTCCTCGTGGAACAACTTCGTTGTTTTTCTCTGCTATCTGATCCCTTAACATGCCGCCTAAATTTCATTTTCCTGTGTATTAAATAAGGTAGGCATATATAAGGCATATATGCGCAATATGTTTCTGACATCACCCTTGCCTTTCCGACGTAGAAGACGTATCGAGATGGGAGCACTCAAGGCTCATATGGCAACTCGTGGTCGTCTTTTATATAAAACCAGCGACGTCACGCCAACGTTAGATTTCTAGGTCGGGTATTTCCCCATCTACACTTTGAAGCCACGATGATAAATCCCAACCACCTTCGCCAACGTGTGTCTCGGTGTTAGCAAAAAGGCTAACGTGTGTATGATACGATACATCCGAATCCTGTACTGGCTGATCTTCAATGTGTAATTCATCGTGATCTATGCCGAGACCTGGGACATCATAACTCCTCAGGGAAGTTTGCGGCATCTCCCTCGCTAAATCCTGCACATCGAGCTCACCCCCATGGAATAAGCCCACATTCATGCTGTTGATTTGGTCCATGTGTATCCCGCGATACCTGAACTGCTCTCCTGCAAAGGAAGGTATTTGGTAAGGTTCGGTACGATCAAGCAGCTCCTGATTTGAGTATGGCACCCAGTGATTTTCATCTTCACCATATTGCGCAAGAACCGATGATGAGCGAGGAATATCATCATCGAAACTAGAATAGAGAGGCTGAGAGTCTGTGCCGTTGTGAGAGAACTGAGGTTCCCAATTAGCAAGACAAATCCTCCTGTTCTGCAAGTATAAAGGCTCATATTCTATAAACCCTGTTTGCGCGGGGATATTCACACCAGGAAAAAGACTGAAGTCGGCGACAGATTCGAGTCTACTATATTGTGAACTCAGAGCCGAACTAGCTGCAGAACTAACTGCAGTGTGTGACACGTAGTCCGTATTTTCCTCTAGCTCAGTATTGGTATATCGATCCAGTGCCCTTAGTCGAAGTGACGTAAAACATAGCGCCTGTAGGTGTTTGGCTACATGGAGCGCAACTTGCATAGAGTATTTATCGCTGGATTGAGGTTGAGGTTGTGGTTGTGGTTGTGGTTGACTCTTGTCTTCACTGGATCTGCTCTCGATGTTATTTACGGGTTGTGGAGAGCTGCGAGAGCTATGTGACGGAGGTGTGTGAAACCTGACTCTTTTTCGTGGTCTTCTCTCCGTATCCGTCATATCGGAATCATCAGCTGTACCTTGCGCTTTTTGAATATTTATGTCGCTCTTGGGGTCCCGGTTGTCGAGTTGTGTGTCATTGTCGTCTATTTTGAAGCAGCATAGTGGGCATTGTCTCCTAGGCCTGGGTGTTTGTACCGCGCTTTGCTCCGTGAGGACTTCTATCTGGATATCTGTGAAGACGTCTCCGTGCATCTCATGCATGTGCTCTTCCATAAATTTTGAACTGGGAAATTCGCATTCTGGATGACAAATGTCACAGGCCCATTTCTGGGAGTGAACCCTTTCTGTCCATTCTGTTGAGTGGCAATCATCCATGTGTGCTTTCCAGTCTTCAAACCTATCGAACTGAACCATGGAGTCGGAGCAATCTTCAGAGAGGCATACGTAGGGGATGAGATCTCTATTAACATGCCGTCTGGGAGGTCAAGTCAGCACAACTGGGATGCAAAGGAACGTGGTAAGTTAAACATGTCATACTTCCACCATCTGGTGTCTCTGAACTGAGCTGTAGTATAGCATTCGAAACACCATTCGCACCGTGTCAAACCGGGAGCATATTCGACTGCCGGCGGCCTAGGATACCTGGCACCAAGAACTAAGTCTGATGACGTCTTGCTAGGGGCGGTAGGCCATTTGAGAGTCTCTTTTAACGTAGACGGCGCTGTATCAGATGGTCGAATATCAGGTTCTTTTTCTATGATATTCACGTTATCCACCTCAGTGTCGTCATCTGGCTTCACTACGCCGACCTCGTCTCGACTGGTAAATGGTTGGGCTTGCGTGTCATTCTTCACTGCTGGTACTGGAAGAGTCTCTTCGTCACTCTCTTCCATATCAGAGAGGTCATGCTGCTTGTACGAAAGCTTTTTCTGATGTTCCTCTTTATATTTCAATCTGGCATATCGTAAGAATATGTTTCGACCGAGGTAACATGTCAGGCTTTCAGGGGCACTAGGATAGAGTGATTTGACAATTTGTATAGCCAATTCTTCGAAGGAAGCCTTTGCCTTCCTCTTGGAGAAGGCCTCGACTCTCCGGCGGAGTCCGGAAGTAGAAGACCGGCGGATAGCTACTCCCAGACGTTCAAGGCGATCTATCGAACGGTGAATTGCATTGTATATCTCTTCCAGACCCTGATTTTCCCTCGAATAATTGACAGAGTCCCCTGTCGAGTCCCGCTTTTTAGTTTTACGACGCGAGTCTTCTAATACTAGATAGGTAGGTATGTGATACTCATTAGCTTCACAAAGTTCAATAAAGAGGTCTGTGGGGTAACGTACAGAACTGTGAGTTCCTTCTCAATAATTCAAGTATATCAAGAAATAATTGCTTCTCGCTAGTGTCTTCAAGACGAGTGTCTAGGGATGCAGATTTGGTTGCGAAAACTCACAGATATGAACTTAAAGCGTTGAATCGATATTGGGACTCATGTAGTAACCGAGCGAGCATAGGCGGGCTATCTCCATCATCCTTTAAAATCCTTTGAAAGAGTTGGTGACATCGTGCAGCCAAAGATGAAATTTCAATTCCACTATGCGCCATAATATTTCGTGGCTTCTCCTACCACGAGGTACACAAAAGCTTGATGAAATTTTACGTGCGAGTATGAAAATGCGACCACGGCTGTTGAGGTAGGTACCTATGCGAGATATCATAAACCTTAAGGCCTTGAGGCAGCGCATTGGCTAATGTGACTAATACTACCGGTTCTCTATAGCCCCTCACCTGAGTTGTTTACAGCTGAGGGGAAGACGGATGTCTCTGTGAGTGGGAAGTTAGGTAAGCGAGCTGAGAGCTGTTGCTACTCTGATGAGGAAGAGATCAATCTTACTACCTTGTACCTGCACACCTACCTTACCTACCTCCTCCTATGTACACACATACACAAGACGCCTTCAAGATCGCATATCCCCCCTTACAAGTATTAGTAGATGACGCAGTTCGCGGATCTTGAAGAATGGGGAACAGTCCAGAAGACATGTCCTCTAATTCATTCAATCATTCAAAACGTGATCGGAGCCTTGCCACAACTGAGCGAGGACGCAACTTACCTCAACCATCTGGATAACTATCTGGGTGACTTGTCTCAAGAGATTCAGATGATCAACGTCTCGGTACCCCTAGGTATCCATCTTACTACAACCGTTGCGGACGAATGCAAAACTCGGTTAAAAAGTCTTATCCAACTCTTTGAGCAACTTCATGATGCAATTAACCTTATTGCATTAGATACAACCAGAATCCGTTCAGCAATCACGCATATTACAGACGCCAATAAATTTTTCATCTCTCTTGGTCAAGCCGCCCCATCCCTATCCTCATCTGTAACAGTTCCTGCTGAGCATCATCTTGTACCAGTAGATAACGCTATCCAAGTCTTTACAGAAAACGTCCTGGATAAGTTATATACACTATTTTCCGAATGTTCATATCAGTCGGCTCATCAAATGATGCTACGCTTCTCTGGGTTACAGGGTCTTGATCCTGTGCTCACCACAACTCTACATCTCCTTCTCAGCTCTTGTGAGAGCTATTCCAAAAGCACAAACCTTTGGCAAGATGCTACTTGTCGCCACCCCAGTACTTGGTAGGTCAATAACAGTGAACCCCCTGCATGTGGCTAACGTCGACTGGATAGTGATACGCACACTTTAGGCGGCCAATTAGATACATTACGAGACCTATGTAAAAACATACACTACAGCCTCAATTTCGTCGAAAGCTTGCGGTTGTGTCTTATTAACGGAGAGCTATTTCATTTGAGCAACGTTGAAGGCGAAATCACGCCTGTCAATTCGGCACCCACCAGCTCGCTATATGAGCTATTGAGAGAAGGTCACTTCTTACCAATCACCTGGAAGTCGTGTGACCGACTTACCACTTGGGAGAAACGGGGTCTAGCATTAAACCTTGGTCTTGCATTCATGCACATATTTGATTGCAGATGGACTCGGCATAGATGGAAAGCTAGACACCTGCACTTCCTGAGCCCCTTGGCGCTTCATTACAACGACTCTCTTCTCCAAACCCCTCCATATCTAGGTTGTAATATGCCCTCAGCAAGTTTGCCCGATGAAGAAGATGTTGATCCTTTCTGCCGCGGCCATCCCGACTTTCTTTTATTTGGAAAACTCCTTGCGGAATTAGAAACTGGTGAAGAGATTGAAGCTACAGAATGTAATAAACTTAATGCCCCGAGCTTGTACCTCACATTACTTGTTGGGATACACCGGGGAAAGTTATCAGCTCATCCCTACTACTCAAAGGCTATAAGTGCCTGCTTGTTCCTCTACAAACAGCCTCATGATCCCGATTCGACCAGAGAAAAGATCCAGAAGACAATAGTGTCCAATCTTTACAAGGCACTTGCTTCTTGCGCAAAACCTCATTTGCCCCAAGTAAAGACAACCTCAACTAAAGCGGGGGGCCAACCTGAGGTTAGCCCTGAATATAAAGGAGTGTCACGAACCAACAGACCGAGAAGCCATTCCGTAATAAGAAGCGGGGTTCCACGATGCTGCGACCGGAAAAACTCTCGGAATACGTAAAGGAGGGTATTGATCTGGTGGATCTGGTTGATCTTGTAGGATCTGGCACCAGATCCAACAAGATCAACCAGATCCACCAGATCCCAGAATAACGATGGCCTCAAACACGATGGGAGGCCTACGGGTATTTAAAACCACCATGTATCTAGTCATTCATTTACGTTTCCTTAGCTATCAATCTAAGTCTTATATTTAACCCATATAAGGGGAAGGACTCCAAGCCTTCCTGACGAACACTTTCAACGTTTTACTGACACTTGACCCGTATCGCTACTGTTTACCTAAAATCGAGACCCCTGTTACTACACTCTAACGGACCTGAGTGTAGGTTCGTCACAAGGAGCCTCTATCTCAGTGTCGTCTGAGCACCAAATGTCTTCCTCAGCGACGCCTATTTTTAAGGGGCAAATACGGGAGTTACCTACTGTGCCCCCCGAACTACCTGAAGAAGTGCCAAGCATTGCTTCTAATGCTAAAAAGACGATTACTAGTACCCTCATATCGCAAGATTTAAGCCCTGGCAGTCCACTCCGCCGAAGCCCAAGGCTAAAGCAATCCGTTTCCTCAAAGCTGGCTTTAAATACACGGAAACCACCACTTTCACCTATCCGCGATCATGACAAAGTCTCCAAGGTAAGGGGTTCTCGAACTCCTAGTATTAAGTTGGGCAGAATATCTAGAATTCAGGAGCATCGGGGCAGCACACGATCCACTCAATGCAACGCGGGGAAATGCAGCAATCGAGTGAGATTATTCGACGACTCACCTGACTGTATAGACTCGTCGTAAGCTAACCAACATCCTGTCTCTTAACAACCGAACAACTTCAACTAATACGGTTAAAGCAAACGAAAAAGCGCAGAAGAGTTTATCGCATTTTACAATGATTTCAAAAACAAACACGAACAGTTACTCGCTTCTACACAGAACAATAACGTGCGAACTGGCAAGCTCCCTGAGTTCCGAATCTCTGTGTGTATCATTGATACAGGCATTGATAAGAGCCACCCTGCTATTAAGGGAGCCTTGCGAGAGGACCGGATCCAGGGTTACCGCAGCTGGGTGGGAAACGAGGATGATGTCCACGATAATTATGGGCACGGAACTCACGTTGCTGACATTATACTGAATGCATCTGAAAATGTAGACCTATACATAGCTAAGGTTGCGGACGGCCTAGATATTGAGCCTCATGGCATAAGCAAGATTGCAGAGGTAAGTCCTTGTCGCCCCTAGGAATAATATATGTACCTAGGTAAAGGTTAACAGTAAATAGGCAATTTCTTATGCCACTACTGTGTGGAACGTTGACATCTTGACAATGTCTTTTGGTTTTCTTGAAATAGAACTAGATGTCAAAAAGGCGATCGACGACGCTTTGCGGCGTGGCAAGCTGCTTTTTGCCTCGGCCTCTAACCACGGCAATAACCAGATGGGGAGAACGTACCCAGCAAAACATAGAAACGTCATCTCCATCAGTGCTTCCACTGGAAAGGGGAAAGACGGGCAGATTAGTCCAAGCCCCGAGAGCAATGATGATAACTTCATGACGTTGGGGATCGCGGTCCCCCTTATCTGGAAGGGGAAACGCGTCTATAAGTCAGGTACTTCATACGCAACCCCCATTGCTGCTGGGTTTGCCATCAACGCTCTGGAATTTGTATTCAGAGTCATGGGCCAGGAGCACTTCAAGGAGTTGAAGCAAAGCGACGATTTCATGCGTTGTGTTTTGCGACTTATGAGCAAAGAAGATCCCTCTGGGTATAGATTTGTTGCTCCCTGGCTCTTGTGGGACGGGCGGAAGACTGCCGATTTCGTTTCTCACCTACTCCGCCATGCCATGTATAACAAGTGACTATATGTGTGCCTCAATGTGTCCCAAGGCGGAACTGTTAGGTGTATGAGAGTATATGAATACAAGAGGGGTCTATTGTCTATATAATGGGTAGCCAGCTCCCTCGAGGAAAGTTATAAGGCTAGGTACAGTTTCTAATATTCTCTTTACAAATGACAAATGATATCCATCACGGGATCTCTTTGACATATTAACTCATTCTGGCAGTATTGCAGATAGGATTGTAGTGTTTAAACCCCCTATTACACTTCTGGTCTTTTACACGGATGCCCGGTGGCTTACCTAAAGTCCCTGCTATAAGCTGTTTAAGCGCGTACCTAAGGTATTGTACCTGCATTTACCTAGGAGGCACCTTACCTACTTGGGTACCTGGTATGCAACACGTACTTGCCCTCACTTCTCATTAGAGTACTATACTCGTACTATGCTCCAGGTACCTACCTGCCCAAGCTGGCCTTCTTATAACAAATTACCAAGCGTATTTGCCACCAACAGAACAACGTGCCCATGGTCAAGTGGTAGCAATTGCAGATTCCAAGCTAACATTTTCCTAAATTATAGGTAAAACTAAACGGACGAATATCAATCTGAGGCCTAGTGGAGCAAAGCTCCGCAGGATGTTGGATTGACTGCGTCGCCGAAACCCGGCTTCCGAAACGAAGTAAGTTAAAATATTCCCCTTCTATTAAGTACTACCACTTGACCGTGGCCGTTGTTCTGTAATCTACCTCTCTTGTATCATTGATAGGTACCTAATACATACCTGTAAATGATGGAAATTCCCCTTTCACCGACCCAACCAACATATAATATAATTCAATTCATCAACAAGTTTTTTTTTATTCATTTCTTTAGGGAGGAAGATGGGTTTCTCCCCTTTTTTATTTTATTCTATAATTTCCCTTTCTCTTCCCCTTTCAAACCCATTCATACACAAGTTCTCGCCATCCCACTTCATTAGATCAATTTATACCATCTTTTATATTCTATGATCTCTGATTGGACGAGTGGTACCTTTGTTCTGATGTAGCTGCACTACTTTTAGCTGGCTGCTTAGACTGTTTGGGTAATTTCCTATCCTGGATTCCTTGTCGACGTCATCGACTAAGAGTTGTCTACATTGCGTCACAGCATGAAGACTCCCATATTTTATTCAACTTTACCATAAACAATTTGCCTAGTTATTCCTTTTTAACATTACATGTGATACAATTGTATTCTATCTACACTTGCCGCTGATTCTTCAAAATGGACCCATCCGGACCTGCGCAACCCCCCAAAGACACGGCGTACGAGACGCAAGGAAACCCCGTCACTTCGAACCCGTTAGAACAACAACATGAACAACACAGCGCGCGACACCACTCCCGTAGAAACACCGTGACGGATGAGCGCTCGCCTTTTGGCAAGCCCTCCAATATCGGCAACGCCGTGCCTTCGAGCCTAGGATACGGTATCCACGGCGCGCCGGCCGGAGAGGAGAAGTACGGCCGCACCCAGGAGCAAGTCGGCCGGAGCCGGGAGCTGGAAGGCGAGCAGATGCGCGCCGCGGGCGAGGGCGACGTGTCTAGCGCGGTCGAGCGCAAGCCCGGCGCCAGCGGCTCGCAACCGGATCTCGCGAGCGATCTTGACCGGTGAGTGAGTTGGGTTGCATGCCGTTCGGAGAATTAGGTTAAAGGTAGCCTATTAGAACACAGAAGACGCTAACATGTAGGTATGTACCTATGTAACAGCAAAAAGCAGGAGCAGGCTTCGGAGAGAGAAGCTATCAAGGGGGAGAGGAGACATGGTAGAGCCCCGGATGATGGGGATCCTAGGGCTGGCGTTGCGACTTAGTTATTGGTAGGGCGGCGGAGGACTTCTTGCTTTGTATATTGGTATTTATTGGTATTGGAAAAGCATAGTGGTTAAAAGTTATTGAATCTGAAAGTTCATAACTAATTGTAATAGTAATCTCTTGATACTTCAAGGAGCTTAAGGGAATGAGTTTATGTATCCATGAAGTTTTGGGTGAAACGTTCTACTCGGATCAATTTTCCCTCTCATACCTACCAATTCTTTCTCATATACCAGGTAGGTATTCATCATACTGTTTATGTCAACGCTAATAGACTGATGTCTCATTTCCACAGGGAAGCGCACGGTCGAGTGGTTTCATGAGGTGCAAAGGAGTACGAGGTAATTAATTGAATAAAAGCAGCTATCTACCCAAAATAACCCATAACCAACTCACCAAGCTCGCATCTCCCTCTCTTACGGGGGCGTGGGTGTAACCGTTGTACTCTCGAAAGATGCGCAGCTAGCGCCTGTCGTATCGACAACCATCTGAGCGGCGCCGTCGTGGCCCTGAGCACAAGCGCCGCTGGGGGCCCGTAGTGCGGTGCCATCGAACTGCACAAGCTCGATGTTTGACGCAGCGCAGTCCTCGGCTCGGAAGTGCGTGCCGTTGAAACCAACGCAGGCAGTAACGTCGACCAGGTCCGGGCGGAAACCGGCAGTAAAGCTGCGCTGTACGCGAAGGACCGAGTTCCCATTCAGCGTCGTCGGCGTGATTTGGCGGTCGGCCGCGGTATTGACGCAAGCGGCATCGACGATCTCACCTGTAGTAGTTTATTAGTATATCGGAAGAAAAGAAAGAGAAAAGGGGCAGTTGTATTGGGTATATTCCCAACATACCGTTATTACGGAATGTGAGGCATTCATTGCCCGGTACGCCGTTGACTTCCTTTAGGACGAGGGTGTTGCCTGAAACGGCGCCCGCGTTTGCGTTTGCGTTGCCTCCATTCCCGTTGCTGTTACCCTGGTTGTTGTTTGCCAGCCGGCCTGCACGATGATGCCTTGATAGTAACGATGCTGCCTCCTCCAGGCCCGTGGATCTTGCAGTATCGACATGCGCGCGATCAATAGCAACAGCTAACGCGGAAGTGGCAAGGCAAAGTACGTTGATGAACTTCATGTTGAAGGGAAATAAGTGTAGCTTGGTAGTGGCGATTAAGTTATTACGGAGAGATAGAAAAGAAAATAGTATGGCCCAGCCAAAGAAGAAGAAAAAAGATGTGAAGAATAATTAGAAAATTGGAACGAATGTTTCTTCAAGACCTGATTGATGCTGATGAGATTCTAAATAACAAAGATTGACATAAAGTATTTATTATATACATGATCTCCATGAGAGTAAGGCAAGGTTTATCCACAGCTTCGGGTCTTAGATCAAGGGCACACCTAGGCGGCTAATGAAGCTCGTCTCATCTTACCATGTAGCTTTGCTATGGTAGAGCAGTATTAGGCCGGATTGGGGCAAGCTACGTCTCACGATGCGTGTGAAGCAGGGAGTAAAGACTTAGCACGTGGGGATTATCTGCTTCATCCCCTGTTAGTCCGTAAATGATGAGACGGAGTAACCACTGCTGCAAACGCCATAGCTCGGACCGCCCGGGCTCGTCGGGAATGAGACGAAGATAACGAATAAACTCGACCGCGCTCCCAGCGTAGATCGATCTCGCCGCGCCTTATTCAAGAAGTGAAATGTTCTAGAAGCTAAGAAAATCGCGACCGGATCCATGAATACGAGCCCATCTCTCCTATTCAACTAAACTACCGAAGGCCAAGAAAACCGATGGTTTGACCCCCGTGATTGACCAATAGATTTAATGTAATATCCGGTAATCTATAACTTGTAACTAATCCAGTACAAAAAGAAGGTGTTTTATACAGCTAAACCCCATATCGACCATTCCCGCGCATTTCCCGCAATGGCATCATGCTTCCTTTTGTTGGTAACGCCACCGAAGCGGAGGGGGGCTTGTGGTCGCTGTCCTTCTTTTCCCGAGTGTGCACCTTTGAGTACAGACTTGCCAGAAGTGTCCTTGGCCACGTGGTACAACCTAGCCTCGAAGTTCTTCCTGATCGTGGTGCTGAGCTTTGATAGCTGCGTGGGCGATAAGCTCTATACTCTATACCGCATTATCAGTACGGGTGGCCAGCTCCGTGTTCTCAGCCGGGTCGGAGATGGTGGCGATGGGGCTGGCAGCCGCTAAAGTAGCCAAAAAGGCGGAGAGGAGATAGGCCAACTTCATGGTGGTAAAATGAGTATAGTAGATAATTGAGGGAGTGTCTAAGGGGGCGTTTCTAAAGGAGTTTCTCTAAAGGAGTGTCTAAAGGAAATGAGCGATGATATGTATAAACGTAACATGGTGGTGGTGATGTCGTATTAATTCGGGTTATACAAGATCGAGGATGAAGGCCAATAAATACTTTTTTAATATTTCCCTCAGTCTTGTAACTACCTCATCACTACTACGTTCATTTGCCAGTCCTTCTATTCCTTCATCTCTATCATTTGTCTCACCAACTTACCTCCTCGGAAGTATCAGCTACCAGCTGAGTGTATGCCTGATACACCTGCGCCTACGATAGACCATGCCAGTATTAGCGATAAAATTGAATTAACAAAAAAAAATTACCTGTTTCAGTTACGATATTGGTGTGCTTGTTTCCATGTCTCAGTTAAGGTAGATGGGTTAGGAGAAGAGAGACATTTGCAACATGCAGCCTATACCTCGTGAAGATTATCCGAGGGTGACTTGGATAAGTTTCTGTCTAATACCCCTGTTTATATTCCTATTCCTCTTCGCAGATGATTCAACCGGATGATTATTTTCTAGGTAAATAGAATAAAACCTCAAAACATAGGGTGCTAGAATACAAATTGAACAAGGTAGAATCTAAAAATATAATAATTGGAATATGAGGCTCGTTGCTGAAGAATAGGAGACTCTAGTGCCGAATGACCCCACAATGGAACATTACCAAATATGCACAGTGATCCTCGCGATGAAGGATCAAAACATTTGTTTGATGTTGGTTGGTTTAGTAGCAGGATGATTATCTGCTAACGCCAATGTTTTTTTTTTTTTTTTTTTTTTTTTTTCAAAATACATCTACGGAAGCTTGAAGTTTTACATCAAGTTAAATTGGCTGTTTAGATATCATATTAAAGCTATCGTGTTATTAGGAGATGTGAACTACGTAGCTTTTTCCTTTCGTTCCTTTTTTCCCATCTTCTCTCTTCATCCCCTTTACTTTCTAGAATTTATCAAGTTAATCCTTCTTTCTCGATATAGTATACACAATGGCTAAAGACCACGACCTGGAAAAGATCGAAAGGTGGATTGCGCAGGGTGAGCTGACAAGGGACCGCATTATGTCACGTCTCGACAGTATCGTCCAGAAATACGCAATTGCCTCGGAAGATAAACAGGCCCTTCAAGATGGTTTCGCATCGGCTTGTAGCCGTACTTCCTCGGGTGATAACGACGTCCTGACCGAGACGGCTTTTATTTCTCTTCTGCAATCTAAATCTGGCCTCCCCCACAACCCAGAAGGCGTGGAAGCGGGGAAAATTATCTATGAGATGCTCGCCTATCTAAGTACTTTACCCTTACCCACGCGGCCGAGTCCTCAGACGGAGGGTCTCAACTTGGCTCAGATCACTCGGGCTTTGGCTTGGGCGCTGTCGGATAGGACAGGGTACATCCTTGTGGAGAGCAATCACTCGCGAAAGCGCACAAGATCTGATCACAAACGCCTCCTCTTTCAGAGTCTTGCCGACAGTACTGTTCTTCCCGCCATACAGGGCCAGGTGCGTCAGCATGTGAGCGAGCTTGCTCACCGCAATATGTTTGATATCGACGAGTGCTATCATGAAATTTGCCGATTGAACAACGATGCCGATGGTGACGAAATCTACTATGACTTATTAGAAGTACTATTCTCAACACAGGAGGAAGTATCCCCATGGATGTCGACCGTACCGCTCGACAAGTTCCGGGGTATCGCGAAACAGATTAAAGTGGATGAGGGACTACCAGAGCTACATACTCTTTCAATCTCAGTACCAAGATTCCAGACATTCGTAAAGGTCATGTTGGCACTACAATTCGAGCCTGTCACTTCTGAACATGATGTCGTTGAGCTGACGCACTTCGACGGCGCGGCGCGATGCATCTGCGCCGCTTTTATACAAAATCAGGACGAGTTCCAAGACTTGGACGCAAGCATATCTAGGGTTAATATAACCTGGCCTTCATTTTGCCAAGCCCTGGAAGCTTCTTCTCCCTACCTCCTTTACCCCTTTTATCGGCTACTCACGCTTGCTTTCCTAGATAAGCCATGCACTGTTGACATTATTGACTCATCTGAGCGAATTCCTCACATCCCGGCTGATGCGGTGTTGACCCGACCGCGAGCGAGTCAGCTTAATACATTTCTTGCCCATTCTGTCTACGGTCCGGACTTACGGCGTATGGGATATTACATCTCACCGAATCTCCCCACACCAGCGGCCCTTGTCCAAGCCATCCAAGATCTACCCGACGAGGCTGTAGTATTATTTTCTGGCCGGCCTGCTGGTACACGCATCGGATTGACAAAAGGGGAAAACTACGTCTTCGGACTTTTCAGTCCTAAGCCGAAAGAAGATCGCTTCCACATCTTAGCTACGGCAGACTTCAGGCCTAACGCCGATGGGCAACAACAGTGCACGCTCTTTCAGCTTTCACCCAGACAGGACACATTCCAGGGGGTCCCAGGGGCAGCGGGGTGGAGTATGGCTGCCGGTAACGAGAGTCTCATATTTGGGCGTGCTACCAGCATTGATGATATCGAAGGAGAAAAGGGAGGAGTTGTGTTCATCTTTCGAGATGGCTTGAACCGCGCAGAAGTGAGACATCGGGGTAAAGGCGTGGATGTGGATGGTAAAGTAGAAAATGTGACTTACAAGGCAAACCCGAACCGTGGTGACTGGATAGTGGATTTTGATATTGACCAGATTGAGATCTGGAGTGAGATCGAGTAGAGATACTTTAGGTACATTTGCCAATATTCATTTAAGGGGTTATCTGACGTGGCGCGCTGCCGTTAGGTAACCTGGAAATGAAAGAATGATCAACTACCTCATACCAGTGACATCCGGTATGGAAGAGTGACATCATATGGCTGTCTATGTAGATCTCTTGTCAGTGGTCGCAGGGTTGGTAACCAATAGAACGGCGCATAGATAAGCTTCACTTTTTTCGAAGGTCGGGGTTTATCAGCTACCTAGGAGGTAGGTACGGTACGTATTGTACAACGTGGGGCTCAGATTGTGGGGCCCTATGTACCGTTTTCTCTAACGGAAGTGCTTTTTACTTTTTCCCACCTCTTCTTGTTTGTATTATCTTTCATATAAGTCATCTTTCGGGCTTATAACATTCTTCCAAAACTTCCCAAAGTCAAGTGTGATTCAAGCAAAGTTTCGTCTAGTTACTACCGCATCCGAATTCCGCCTCTGTACAGTCACTAGCCGCGATCGCGAACACCTACCCTCGAAGCACAAACTATCCTGTTAACCAGGATGTCCTCCAATGCTCATGAAGATATTGGTAAGTGAAGAATCTTCGCAGAACGGCGAGAGGAGCAGATTGGACTAAACGGGTTATGTTCGCAGAGCCAGGTGTCGTAACAACTCCCAAAGTCTCTGGACCATGGACGGTTGAGAAGGTGCTGGCGCAAATACACCCTGCAGCTCCTCCGGAGGGTTCGAGCTCACCAATCCCTTTCTTCCATATCCTTGAGCGGTTAAAGACAGGCAAGCGAGAAGGATGGCGACGGTTCGGTATCAACAAGTAAGAATGACTGTTTCTTAGGAACCAGATAATAGATTGGTTGCTTACAACCAGGCTAGAGGCGAATCGATCGCGGACCACATGTATCGCATGTCCCTAATAACCTTCCTATGCCCCCCCTCGCTTGCGTCCAAACTCGACCTTAATAAATGTATGAAGATGTCTCTCGTTCATGACATGGCCGAATCCATTGTCGGAGACATTACGCCGGTAGATGGAGTGCCGAAACCGGAGAAGAGCCGCCGCGAGGCTGAGACGATGGACTACATTTCCAAGAACTTACTGGGTAATGTGTATGGAGGGGCTGCCGGGCAGGATATCCGGGCCATTTGGCAAGAGTATGAGGACTCTAAAACACCCGAAAGTCTCTTCGTCCATGACGTGGACAAGATTGAATTGTTGTTGCAGATGGTGGAATACGAGAAGCGAGTAGATAAGCGTCTGGATCTGGGCGAGTTCGCATATGTTGCGACTAAAGTTGTACTTCCGGAAGTACAGGAATGGGCAAAGGAGATCCTCAAAGAACGCGACGAATTTTGGGGCTCAGCACCGCATATTCATGGGGAGGCTGGTGTGAATGGCGGTGTGGAAAAGACGACGGCACAGGATCAGGATGCGTACTACTCTAAGGAGGAGAGCTAGAAAGGAGGCCATTAATGCGGCGGTAAGCGAAACATATCGTGAGATGGCGGTTTTATGCCGACACTGGAGAGTTTTTGTAGCCCATTCCGCTTTTTGCTTTATGGTCCGGTATAGAACATCGTCAAATCGAGTATACGGCAGCTAGAATGGGCATAGTGGTTCGGGATGGCGTACGGCATAAGGCATAAGGCATAGGGTATACGGTTATGATACCTAAGATATAGTAAGGTACCTGACCTACCTGTATTGCAACATTGCCGACCGCTTCTTTCGTTCGTCGGTGAAGATAATAATAGGTAATCGGAGAAAAAAAAAAACAAGACTAGAGCAGGTACCTATTGATTTTAGGTGTATTAGAGGCACAAGGTAATAGACATATGTGCCTAATGCACATTATCCGGGGCTGGTCCGGGATCTTGACTTTTTATGCGATTTTGTTCATCTTTGCTGACAAATCATTACCTATGACCCGGCAACCGGGCAGTACAGTTGAATTCACCTTGTACCTAGGTACTATGTAACAACATCAAAAACAACAACACCATCATCACTGATACCCAGGGTCCAGAAGTTTATAAGACCAATCCTCAAAGGTTTTTCTATCTTCAAACCAAATTAGTACAAATCGAGCTAATTTGCTAGTATTTAGCGACGTTACAAGCTGTTGTGTTGCCACGTCCCTTACTATTGAAGGTTAAGGCTAACTAGCTGCAGCTAAATTTCCAGCCACCTAAAGTGAAGCAGGACCTAGCAGGGAAGCTCATACAGTAGCTAAGCTACATATACCTATGGTGGAGAACTACTTACCTACCTCTAGTGACTTTATTGGTTGATTAAGCTCATTAGTCCCCAGGTTTCAAAGTTTCCCTACCGCGTCGTCTTACACGCCTACGTACGACCGATGCCACGCGAACCTTAATAAAAATACCTAGAGGGAAGAAGAAGGAAAAAAAAAAAAAAAAAAAAAAAAGAGGCTTGCGATCACGGGAGGCAAAATCCGTCCCGCCCACCTTACATCACATCTCGCCTTATTTTCCTTTTCTCTTTTGCGCTCCGAGGCCTTCAACAACAACGACACCAACAACATAACGGTAAGACTTGCTCAGTAACGACAAAGGCGCACATTGGTTTTATTAATTAGGCGTTGAGGACCTAATTTTTGAATTTTGAGAATAAAGCCAGGAAACGCATTGTTGGAAATTGTTACTACGATACGATAACAAACAGATTGTCTTACCGTCTTATCCAAGCCCATAAGCGTATCATACCTTTCAAAGAACTCCGTGGCTACAAATCTACGCCCATCCTTCTCTTAACATCTTCTAACCTACTAACTACGTGCTCGCTATTCCACCCAACAAAAACCAGCTTCAACTTGACAATTTCAATTTTCCTTTTCCTCGCTGTTGCCTTCTCATCGCTGCCGCGTTTCTGCCCGGCGGTCTTTTTTTTGTGTCCTATAATATGTCCTTTGGGCCACGGGTCCTTATGCCGGGCGCATTCCACTTCGAGGCTCTCAACGACGGCAGTTCGCTATCTGGAGTTCATCCGGGAATATTTCGACCTCCCGCGTCGCCCTCCACTTCGAGCTCCACATACCTGGGAAAATCTACTGGTAGCTTACATTCGGATGCATCGGCGCTGGGTTTTAACGCGAAGAGGAAACGGCGAGGACCTCTCGAGTCTAGGACATTCAGCAGCTGGGATATAAATAGAGGCGACGCCGAGTACGCTGCCGATAACAAACACCAGGAGGATGCTGAGCTCAACGGGTTAAGTGAGGAGAAAGGAAGGGCGTATGTTCTAGCCGGCCAAATCGAGACGCCCAACGGGGACGCTGTTGAGGATGGAATGAATGACAGCGTCTATTCCGACGTCGATTACAGGCGCGCCTTAGGCCCTAAATGCACGCCCGCGAAGGCCGAATTATCTGCTATTAATGTTACATCGACTGCGTCTTCATCTTCATCGCCCACTCAGACACGACAGACCAACGGCTGGGGATCGTTTGCATTGAGTACCATAGGTGGAGTGGTTGGAAAAGTATTTCAATTTTGTAAAACGGGGGTATTCCGTGGCTTCTATGCAGGTGGAGGAAGGGGATACGGAGTGAGGACGTCGCCTAAGCAACAACCGAGCACAAACGGCCAGGTTTGGTGCAACGAACACGATATTCCCACGCTGCCGAATTTCAGCTCCAACACAACACCGATCGAAATTCCCCAGTCCAACAATTTCCCACCAAATTCCGGTCAGGGATCGCCCGAATCATCACCCCCTCCGGCGGCGAAACGGCGGCAGATCGACGTTGCAACTCCTGGAGATGAACTACGTCGGAATTGGGTCATGGTTCAGGAGTCTTCCGAGAAAATACGACCGCAGAGCAGGGCTTCTCAAGCTTCAACGCTTCGTACAACCCAGCAGCAACCATTTTCGCCTGCCGTTCGACGCGTCAGCCGACCTGTAAGCCGTGTGAAGCCACCCAGTTACACACGTCGTCCGTCTAGCAGGATAAGCCCTGCCGGAACCACATCCTTATATAACCTGGAGCCAGCAAGTTTCGCCTCCCCCCGAGCTCAGTCGCCAGTTGTGTCATTACATACTCCTAGTAGAATCCCTGTCCCGAGCCGGCCGCAATCACCTAGTGTTTTCTCATCCCCTCGTCTTCCAGAAACACCGTCCCTCATCCCCAGTCCTAGTATTCACCCAATGCGCAACCACAGGAGAAACCATAGCGTGGCATCAGCAGCGTCTGGTGGGTCTACTAGGATGAAAAGAGGTGACTCGATAAGGGAATCTAGAGACTATAGCCCTCGATTGGATGCAGAGGCGAAGACTTTGGCTGCGAAGAGACTCCAAGAGGACATAGAAACTGATATGCGAATGAACGACTTCAACGCTAAATTAAGGGATATGATTCGTCAGGGGAAAGAAGCTCTCGGTACGAAAGTAGATATCGAGATACACGACGATATGGAGGGCGTGGATACTTGGGAAGACGACATAATGACAGCATAAAACGAGACCATCCCCAAACGTATTTTTTTACGGTTTAATAATGACTAGGTATGGATAAGGGTTAAAAATCACGGCGTGGCTCGGGTCTAACGTAAAGGCGTTCGAGGGTATATTCTTTCTGTTTAGGGTGCAACGATTCAACGTCAACTTGATACCAGCTGGTTCTACGTTTGTTTGTTTTTTTCGTTTCTGCTAGGGTCGCAGCACCTATCTAGGTATACTCATAGATTCCAGTGTCAGGATGACCGTCTGGACAAATTTGCAATGGTCAGACTGCTGATTACCGAATCAATACAGGACGCTATCAACTTACTACTAAGGACTTGTTGAAGTTTATGTAGGAGGTAATTACTTTATAACATGACTGTTGAATTACGTCGTCATTCTTGTCAAGCTATGCGTACGTTATTGACACCTAGGAGTGGCCCCAGATGCCTTGGCCTGAGTTAGGTACTGACTTCTACGGGATTGGTGCAAGATGCTGGCCTCCCTTTCTGCTCTTTGAAAGAACAGGGGCATGATAGGTATGCCAAATTCATATGAATACCTATGTATCAACCTCCTTGTCTGTATATGGCACCATTCATACAAAACCCTAACAATAAGGGTCCCATTCATTTTACCCCTGACTACCTCTACAAAAACAGGACATAGAATTGTAACGAAGTACGACAAAGACTTCAATATCTTAGACTCGACAATCCCCTTAAAACCAATGTTCAAACACTCTATAATTCTCCAGTGCCGTAACTATGCATGAGGCATATAAACCAACAAAACCCACGCTATTCATCTTGTATCGCCAGGGACTCTGAAGCCTCCATTCCGTCTACCAAACAAGTCTTCCTCAAGTTTTCCAAGCAAGAAGGACAATATCGGTAAGGATACCTATCACACAAAAGCAATGATGGGTCAGCTTCTCAGCAAGCACACTCGTAAAGGTAGATTTCGGCAGACACGTCGAGGTGTATATGTTATTGGGCGAGGACGATCAGACAATATTCCATGCCAGCCATCTCGCGACTCGTTTACGTATTCGCCTATCCGGAGGCGCGGCCGTTGCATCGTTATTCACACCACAGAGATCACAGATCAGAATCGCGGCCCGCATTTTGCCAGGCAACGCTAGGGTCAACGTCCAGGAACGACGAAATGCACGTTTACTTGGCTTGGATCCTGTAATGAATGATACTCTTTCTTAGGTTACCTTGGGTAGATAGAAAAATATAATTACTGCTTATAGAAGCAACGGAATATGCTCTGAACTTGCTTAATGCCTAGTAATTACTGTAACGTGCCGACCAGCTAATTATTTGATAAGAAGCCCTTCATAACCTCACGGGAACTATCATAATGAGAAAATCCGCGGCTTTCATTTAATGCCTTTAACCTCTTAAGTAAAATTTTCGTGAGGTATACATTTTGAACCCACCAGTGTTTTCTAGTTAGTACCTATTAAGCAGTATCATACTCAAGTAGAATATCTTCTTGAAGCACTGGGACTGATTATCAACAGATCCCCTATTATCAAGAAGCTCATGCCTTACCTAACAACGAGTCTGCTAGTCTCTCTCCTATTAGGCGGTTGTGTAATGACACGAAGACTAACTAAAAAGCGGCGCTTAGGTTCAACTCCAACCAGCACTGTAGTTTGTTGCGGGGAGTATAAAGTGCCTATACTTATATATGTCTGATCCTTCCAAAGTCCTATTCTCTCAAGTTACGTTGCCCTGCCACTACCAAACACCCACAGCCTAACTTTACTCTATTCCATTAGCCTCATTTCACCAGCATAGAAACAATATGGGCTAGTGTTTTAGCCAACCCAAACCCGGCACACTGGAGGCTGACGTTCAATAGATCATCATCCAAGGCATTAACATCGGAGACGGCAGTATTCGATAGAGTCGGATCGACGTGACAGCCTACGACAAGCACAGCTAAACACTGGCCGACGGCTTTCTATCAGTTTGGAGAACTGATGATGAGGCCGAACAAAACATATGCGTCCATGTCCTTGAATACGTAGGATAGGGCACCCTAGACATGATATAATACCTTCAGACTTTCCCTGTCATTTTCTTTTTGTGTGGATGCCAATCTTTCCAGGTAATAATCCACGTCTCGAATCTGGTTTTTCTGATGTGTTAGAAGGGCTCAGTGCATTACTTTCATATTAGACGATATTGTACCCTTAACCCTTACACACCTTCCCGCCTTACCTACCTGTAATTACCTTGACTTGCATGACTACCAGTGATTTGCTTGTCAAATTATCGAAGTAGAGGCGAATTATACACGCAAGAACCCATCACGTAGTGGCGGGATTCCTGAGCGGTTGGTCCGCAGTCTACATAATCCAAGTTTATTAAACATCCCGATGGAAATTCCACCTTACTGCAGTTCTTCCTTCTTCTGAAAAAAAGAAAAAATAAAGATGAAAAGAAGAATCTAACAATATCCAACAAATTCAACCTCGGGATTCCGCATTTTCATCGAATTTCCCTTACGGCGGCGAACGAAAAATGGGTAACTGTTTTAGCCAACCGAGTCGCAAACACTCGAAACGTCCCACGGGTCGACATCACTTTGGAAGTCACCGCTCGGGACGTCAGGGCTCTGGAAACGCTAATAGAATACCTAGAGACTCAGTAGAGATGTATCGGCGGCACCCTGCGGGGCCGGGAACAGAACTAGAACGTATTTTCATTATCTGCCCGACTTCCAACGAACAGCCTAGGTACGTCGGCTAGGTAATTTATTACGCCATTTGCGGAGGGCGTGCGTGGTAAATGGTGTTTTGAATATGGATTAATATACTACACTATGTTTAAGGTAGTTCAGCATTAATAGGACTTATCTTCTTTTCCGCTTTTTTACTCCCGCTACCTAATTTGTGTCTTCACCCCTTGAACCTCTGTTTTCTACCTCCAGCGCCCACGGTTTCCGCGAAATTAGTCTATCAGACTACAACCGAGCCTATTCAAATAAGACATCGTTGTCTCGAATAGGCGATCTCTCCGGTCTTATTGCTTGATCTCCTGCTTTTGAAATAACCCTAACACATTCGGTAAGTAATCTTTACGATGGGAAGCAACCAGAAATATTCTGGACATACGCCAACTTACCTTCAATACTCTGCATCCACGGATCCCGTACCTTGCAGAAAAACTCCCCTTTGGGCTCAACCTGACCGCGGGCGTGGTCCTCCATCGTGCCGTAGAAAACGTATATGTTGTCTCCAGCATTGGCCTACAGACGCTTCTAGTTAATGCGATTTCGCCATAGGTACATACAATCCCCGGCAATACATAAGAAAACAAAAAACAAAAAAAGAAGCGAATAAACAGGTAGAAAGATGAACCCAAGTAGCATTTCAGAGCTTTTTGATACAATCAAAGAAAAAAAAACCTCTTACCCCGTACTCCAAGAGCGGCCCGCCACAAGTACCGCAGAATTCACGATGCAGCAAAACGCCGCTCCCGTTATCCGCTTCGTGCACCTGCACGTGCTCCGCGCCTCGAGTGATCTCAAACGCCGTCCTGGGGATCTTGGTAGTGATGCCGTGCTCGCCGCCGGTGAACTTCTTGCAGTTACCGCAGTGGCATATGCTCGTGCGTGCTTGCGACTCGGGGTCGTCGAGAGTTATGGTGTACCTTATAAGGCCGCAGTAGCAGCTCCCTGGGAGTGGTGTCATATTTTTTTCTCTTCACATTTGTTGAATTTGAAGAGTTTGGCGCGGTATGAATGAAGATGCTGTAAGCTTAGGAGTGTAGGAGATCGGTAATGGCAGATCTGGCAAGTTTATTCAATGCTAAGGGGTAGATAGCAAGATATCGGCATGGGAATGCTACACATAACACCTTTGTAAACCTGAAGACCTCAACTGATGATCACACCACTAGTGTGTTGGTGTAGACGCGGTGTTGATTTCAAATGTGTCTCTAAAATATTTAAAATTTTCAACGGGAATATTTGGCAGATCAATGAAAAAACTATGGTAGTCCTCGATGACGTCGATTGGGCGTCATGAATGAACTTATAAAGTCAGATCATCCCGTCCCACTTGGCCGGATCGGATATGTTGACTACGAGCCGGTCCTGTCCACGACGTTCGATAGCGGGTAGTTCTAACGCCGCTCTGACACTGAAAAGACATTCAAATCTATCTGTAAACGCTGCAACTCGTTGTCGTTTACTCTCATGAATCCATTGTAATCTCAATATTTGTTAAGTTAATTTCGTTCCCCTAACTCCGCCTTTGCTAAGACAGGTTTACCATTCCTCAAGCAGTCTTGACAGGTCCTGCCAACGAATTTTTCCTTTGAAGCTTTGTCCTTCTTCTTTCCACATTCCCTGCAATGAAGGTGGCAGAGATAAAAATTACAATTCTTAGCTGGACACTCTACCTTCCATCGGCAGTCTTGAGTGAGATGATTTCCCCCGCACGGACATTTTTTCAGCGAGCATTTTCTTCCTGAGTGACCCTTGGCACCGCACATGCAGCAACGGTAGGAACAGAGCATTGCGTTCTTGTGGTGGCCGGAGCCTGGGAGGCTTGGACATCCGCACTTTCGGCTGCAATTTACATCACAGTCGAAACAAGTGTGATATTGTGGAAAGGGCATGCATTTGCATCGGTTACTCGCTTTAATTGGACAAGTATGCGCTTTGTGAGCCGACGAGTTACAATATCCGCACCCCATAGGACAGGCCGAAGGACGATGGTTTCTATCCTGGGAACAGTTAGCACATAGACTCCCGGGTTTCTCCTTGGGCTGTTTCTGTGAAGGCTCCTCAAACACTTTGGGTTTGTCGGTGAACATTGCTCGGATATGAGCTCGACTCAAGCTCCTGCGGCGTGAAAGCTTATCAAGTTCAGACAGGGGGCGGCGAGGGAAGTAGATGATCCATCTATCTTCACAGTCCACCCTGTATTGAATATTTAAAGCTGCCGTGTTCCATGTATGAAGTGCAGGTAGACTGCTGGACCGTTGAGGTCTCCCTCGGCGCACACATCTAGTATTGACGAGGTGTTTCATCCTGGTGGAGCTTTTTGGATGGCTGTATGCCGGTGCGGTTGAAGGGAATAGTTGATATTGTAAGATACTCAGCCACCGGCTGCTGACAAACTGAGGATCAATGTAGAATTCAAGATCGTTAACGGTATTAATTCTGAAGCGGTGACCGCCGGAAAACAAGGAATAGCGGTAATCCGTCCTTTTAACTGATTCGTAGCCTTTGACGTGCCGGTCTAGATCTTTTTTCCAGCCTGACTGATGTGCGGCCAAAGAGCTTGATCGAGAACGGAAGAGATACCCAAGCCAGGCCCGTATGGAAGGTTCAGACTCGAGATAATACCGTTCCACAAGCCCCAGGGCGATCTTACCAACAATGGGCAAAGGTTCGGCTAATAAAAGGTAACCTAGAGGTCTGGGAAGCGCGCCAGCAGGCCACGAGTAGAGGTAGCGTAGTTCTAGACCAGCGAAGGACGAGCTGTAGTCGGTTTTGAGCACCTTGGACAGAACCTGCATATCAAGACCGAGTTCTCGGTCGCGGCCTTTGATCTGGCCGAATGCGCTATCTTCTTCGAATGCCTTCTCGTAGATAAACGACTTCACCCTCTTCGGCCACATGTACTCCTGCATTATTCGGTTGACTATGACGTCGCGATATGATATTGGACGATGTTCATATTTACTAAAGTCTAGGTCTATTCCGTTTAGGGGATAGTGTTTAGACATGCTGCAAATCGATGAAGCCTCGCGATGTTTTCTTTAAATGAGTACCATGAGATGGTAAGGAGGCAAGTTACTTGTTAATTTTGATGTTGAGTCGTTAATGTTCTAAGGTTCATGTTGATGGTTGGAAATGTACCTAAACAACCTTATTAACTTTACCTACCGTACCAGGTAGGTAGTATAAGTACTTCCACAGCCCTACAGTGCATCTACATGCATCTACTTTACCTTTACATGTACTGTATTGCCTTATGTAATCTTAGGTACTACGGTGGTACCTGATGTCATCTTGATGTGGCTTAAAGAGTGGCTTGAACCAGTCCCATTTCTTTTAAATGTTTACTAAGGTCCAGGTACTTGAAAAGTAAAAGGCACCTTTTGCAACATTAAATCCGGAGTCTAGACTTGTGGAGGAGACAAGGTAACATTTTATTTACTAATCACCCATTTCTGAATGGCGTCTTTTTCACGATGTGGGTTCTGGATACTTTTCGTGGAGGAATAACGCCTACCTCCTACCCACTTCACAGCTAGCTGCTCGCTAATTTCGGCCCGCGAAGCAGAAAAGCGTCCTTCGGTTCCACGACACTCCGTCGACAGAAGAGGCAAGTCGCTCCAGGCCAAGGCGCCCTCGGTCTATCCCTCACAATCACAGCCGTATTTTTCTAGCTATGTTACCTAGAATGCTGCTGGTTGTTCCTCAAGCCGAGAAGAGGATAGTTCCCATTGCCTTATTACCACACTTCGTCCAAACGGAGACATATCCTTGCTTCTTTGTCAGCCTGCAGAGGAACAGGACGAACCATGGTAGGACAGGGCAAGGCGCTTCCGTCGTTGCGCTGCAGGATTACGTCCGAGGTCCAGAACTCCTTGAATTGAATGACTTGTAATTCCGGTCCTGGGAATCGGAGCCGCGCCCAGTTTCCAGGTTCTCTTGCTCACGCTCCACTTTACCTCTGTTCTTCGCGGTTGGTCGGCTTCCTAGGCCAACATTGCCTACGAAATTTCGTTAGCTACGGAAAAGAACCTGGGGTTCATGATAGGGGATCAATAATTTCCCCTCCTATGGTCTAGGGAACGTTCGATAGTACATGTGTCTACCAGTGTATTATTCAGATTTGGTTCGGAATGAGTTTCCGACTGTCCAGTTTTACTCGTTAGCCTCATAATGTGTCAGTATGTACGGCCAGTATATATGGGAGCCCTTTGGACGTTTTTCATCACAATGCCTAGTTCTCTGGTTCTTATTGCACGACCGATCTCAGTGCGATACGTTTAAATCATCATGGGTCGTTTTAGTCCTTTGGTGCCACTGCTTCTTGTAGTCGGCTTAAGTGAGCTACGTCCCCATACGCTAGCATTCGACCGACTTATTAACATAGCGTAGATATCCAAAGGTGCTTCGGCCAAGCTAGCACTCCGACTCTGTATAAAGATAGCAAAACAGGTATCACATTCGACACATGGACTGTACCGGATAAGGCGGATGGTGCCGGTGGTGTGTCGGCTTGGGGCGGTTTGACCTTCGGTGTTGCGCTTCCGGAGGATGCCTTGGCTGTCGATGCCACTGAGTTCATAGGCTACCTGGTTAGTATAACGAGTTGTATAACGAGTTCAACCCGAATCTCTGCCGGTACACTAATCCTTACTATAGAAATGCGGCTCAAACGGCACGACCACGAACGGATGGTGCGGTTTATCTTTCGGGGGGCCAATGACCAATAGCCTGCTTCTTATGGCCTGGCCATTCCAAGATCAAATCTTGACATCATTCCGCTTTGCCAGTGGATATACTAGCCCGGACATATATACAGGTAATGCTAAACTAACTCAGATCTCGTCCACCATTGATAAGGACTACTATACCCTGATCTTTAGATGTCAGAACTGTTTAGCATGGGACCAGGGTGGTGCATCAGGTTCCGCATCGACTAGTGCCGGTTCTTTGGTCTTGGGATGGGCCAGCTCGCTCAAGTCTGTGGGAAATCCGGCCTGTCCAGAAGATATTGCCATTAACTTTCACAGCAATGGCCAAAGCATTTGGGGCGCCACCTTAGACAAAAATGCGCCAAATCCATCGTACTCAGCCTGGGCCGCCCAAGCTACCGCTACAGTGACCGGGAGCTGTGGAGGAGCTACACCTACTACCACCACATCTAGTACTACGTCCATTCCTACTGCTACTGGCATTCCGGTCCCGACTGACACCTATGATTATGTTGTTGTTGGCGCTGGTGCTGGCGGAATTCCTTTGGCAGATAAATTGAGCGAGGCCGGAAAGAAAGTACTGCTTATTGAAAAGGGACCCCCTTCTTCTGGACGATGGGGTGGCTCACTCAAACCGGAGTGGTTAGATGGCACGAACTTGACTCGATTCGATGTCCCCGGTTTATGTAATGAGATCTGGGTCAACTCTGCGGGTATTGCATGCACTGATACGGATCAGATGGCTGGCTGTGTGTTGGGTGGAGGCACCGCCGTTAATGCAGGTTTATGGTGGAAGGTATGTCATACAATGAACAAATAGGTACGGCAACACTAACAGGAAGAGCATAGCCATATACTCTCGACTGGGATTACAACTTCCCCCAAGGATGGAAGTCGTCAGATATGGCCGCTGCAACCAAGAGAGTATTCTCTCGCATTCCTGGTACCGATCATCCGTCAATGGACGGGAAACGATATTACCAAGAAGGCTTTGAAGTTCTGGCCAGTGGCTTAAGGGCAGGCGGGTGGTCAGAAGTTACCGCTAATGACGTTCCAGACCAGAAAAACCACACATTCTCTCATTCGCCATTCATGTTTTCTGGTGGTGAACGCGGCGGACCCATGGCGACCTACTTAGTCTCTGCTAGCAAGCGCAACAACTTCCATTTATGGATGGGTACGGCAGTAAAGAGGGTTATTCGATCCGGGGGCCATATCACCGGTGTTGAGGTCGAGCCGTTCATAAACGGAGGATACACTGGCGTCGTCAATGTTACTTCAGTTACCGGCCGCGTCATCTTGTCTGCGGGAACATTTGGGTCTGCCAAGATCCTTTTGCGAAGTAAGCTGCTTCAATCTCAGATGCGTTCCAATCGTTTATGTTTACTGACTTAATCAGGTGGAATTGGACCATCGGACCAGCTGGAGGTTGTCAAATCGTCAACCGACGGTCCAACTATGATTTCCAATAGCTCTTGGATTAATCTACCTGTGGGCTATAATTTGGAAGATCACACTAATGTTCGTTACTCCCTATGCTGCCGCAAAAGGTGCATACATCATGCTTACCTACACTTAGACTGATACCGTTATTACGCATCCCAAGGTCGTATTCTACGACTTCTACGAGGCTTGGGATAGCCCTAACGTCACCGATAAGAACCTATACCTTGGTTAGTTGTACCTGCAGACGAGGTCGTATAGTGGATTTAACGGCTAATCTGTAATCACAGATTCCAGATCTGGTATTTTGGCTCAAGCAGCCCCAAATATCGGCCCAATGTAAGTTACCCAGGGAGCAAGTCCACCAGTATCTAACCATGTGTAGGTTCTGGGATGAAATAAAGGGCGACGATGGCGTGGTTCGGCAGCTTCAGTGGACTGCTAGGGTAGAAGGTAGCGCCGGAACACCAAATGGATGTAGGTTGTCCCCATAGCTCGAAGCTTGCACTTGTTAACAGAGTCAGATGCTATGACTATGAGTCAGTACCTGGGGCGAGGCGCAAAGTCAAGGGGTCGAATGACCATCACGAAGGCGTTGACTACTGTCGTCTCAACGGTCCCTTACTTACAGGATAAGAATGATGTCCAGGCTGTTATTCAGGGCATCAAAAACCTTCAAGCAGCTCTAGCAAACGTGGAGGGGCTAACGTGGACCTATCCACCATCAAACACTACTGTGGAAGACTTTGTTAATAATGTTAGTTGTACCATTTCGTGTGATCAGAGAATAAAACTGATAAATGCAGATGCTGGTTTCGTATACTAACCGACGATCAAACCACTGGATTGGTGAGTTAGCTAGTATTTCACCGAAGTTCAATAGTCACTAATAATTTTCAGGAACCAACAAGCTAGGCACAGACGACGGTCGAATAAACAGCGGCTCAGCCGTGGTTGATCTTAACACTAGGGTGTACGGTACTGACAATTTGTTCGTGGTCGATGCCAGTATCTTCCCAGGTCACATCACTACCAACCCTACCTCTTACATCGTCATCGCTGCCGAGCACGCCTCAGAAAAGATTCTCGCCCTGGCACTACCTGAGGCACAACCGAGGTATGCTCAATGCGGTGGACTGCTGTGGACAGGTAGCTTCCAGTGCGCAGCGCCATACACTTGCAAGTACCAGAACGACTTCTACTATCAAGTGGGTGCATTCCCTTCTACTTCTGTCCCGTCAAGTACTAATAATTTGGAAATAGTGCGTTTAGATCATTTATACCCAAGGTATCATCTAGGTTGGGTAGCTAACTATATCGAGCGATCTTGTCTACTATATATTGGATGCAAAGTAGTGCCGCTATTGCCGCCTGTGAATGTTTGTTTCATACGGCTTAATAAAACCGTATTTGACTTATTTCTACCTCTAGCAAGCTGTTAAGCGATCAGGCCATGCTAAAATAATCAGCATGTGCTTCTTTTGTAGAGGTAATATCCGTGCGCGGCATGTTGATCATATGTCATATGTAGTATGAGGGTATAGTTCCATAGGCCCTGATCTTGAGACCCTGAGACCTTGACAAGAATGGCGGATCTATGTATACCCGTATTCCGCCAAGTGGGAACAGGCTCACAACCCTGGAAGCTCATAGGCGATCGGATCCCCTTACCCCTTAGACGGCATACATGGATTTTATTGGTCTTCAGGCCTCCGAAACCAACCTCTCACCGCAAACTGTTTATCAGCCAAGTCAGCCCAATCAACATTTGCAGGGAGAAGACCGTCTAAAATGGTAGCTTCACACGAGATCCGGACTTTAATGGCTAGCTAACCTGCCACGTCAACAGAGGACGAATAAGCAAATAATATATACGCTTCATAGCTAGATGCCTTACCATTCTTGTACTTAGCACTCTCGTTCTAATAAGTTAAATGCACTCCCGGCTCTCCCCACTCTGCGCCCCTTGCTTCTTTTTGCCCTTTTTGGTCGTTATCATTACATAGAAACGACGACAATAATAATAACACCAAAAACAACAGCAGCAACAATATATTCCTTATCATTATGCCGTCCGATCTCACATCATGGCTCCCCGGAAGCAAGACGAAGAGAAAGGTCCTCCGTGAAACTCTCACCAGGACTATCGGAGCGGCGGCAGGGGCAGCAGCCAAAGCCAACCCGGTTGTAAAGACAATACAAGCTGGGTACAACATTATACAATTAGGCAATACTATCAGGAAAGCAGATGAGACGGCCAGTCACTTAAACGAATTCGTCCCCAAGGCCACAGAATTAGTCGGAACGGCGCATCAGTTCGTTCCGTCGATCCAAGTAATGGGTCGGTCGCTTTGTGATAGTCTGAAGCTTTTCAGCTATTTCAGTGCCATCGCAACTACGGTTGGTATCGGGTCTAATCTGATCTTGACTTATCAGGGAGTCCAGGCGCTTAACCTCATCGCCACCAGACTTAAGGACATTTCGGATACCCTTGCGGCGCAAACTGCCCTCATGGCCCAAAAGGAGTTTCCCGAATTGGTTTATTATATGATTCGCGAGCGGTTGGCTCAGACTTCTCAAGATCCCGAGGTCGAGCACTGGTTCTATGTCTTTCACCCAGACACCGATTGGTACCCTAAGTTCTTCCATCTTATCGAGACCAATCCGCTGGATCCCCGATTCTGCGGGTACACGAACCAGATTGACACCGTCTTCGTCTTTATGCTTGCTACGCGAAGGTATATAGATAAGAAGAATGCGCGCTCCCAAAAGCACGGGAAACCTCCCCGTCCGGTGCGCCTGCATCTTCTCGTCCCTGCCTATCAACCTATACTTATTGCTGAGGCTCTCGAGATCCCGAATGACATTGGAGACTTTGTCATAGAAGGGCGCATTCATAATACTAGGGAGCTCGTCTGGTTTAACTTACCCGACGAGCAGAAGCATTACACTATGGATATCGGGCAATGGATACCGCCCGAGAGGGGGTGGTGGTCCTGGGCTATGACGAAATTCGGGCTTAAGGAAACGCCGCCTGAGTTGAAAGAGCGCAGGGTCTTAGGAACGCGGCAGAAGGGGCCGGAAGATAAGGACGAGGATGTTAAGGGTATTAAGGAAAATGGAGAGGATCGTGAAAACGAGTCGGATAGCGCGTCGTCTAAGCGCCAGGGAAACGACGAGAAAGCTCGGGAGCAGGGAAAACCACTCCACCACCGCCAACGACCGCAAGAAAGACGTCGTCGTTAGGCTGTTATGAATATTATGAAAGAAATTGTTACAAATATTTTAATTTATTTTTATTTTTTTAAGTATATAGAAACCGTTAGAAGATACCATTGATCAATACCACCTGCAACATATATGTTGGTATATTACCTTGTACTTGATATAAGCACCTCATCATGACCTCGGAAATTGGCCAGCTGGAGAAAACCATTCAAGACACTAATAATAATATTTAGGTACCTACATAATAACCTGTTAGGAGACCTTTTCATTAGGATTAGCAAATCCGTCGATTCGCTTCTACGCATGCTGGTATTCCCCTCTATAATTCTAAACCGTATACAATACAACACCGGCTATGAATCTATACCATAAGTCAGGTACCTAGCAAAAGCCTCTATCATAAATCTAAGGTACCTAGGTAGGTACTTAACCCCCGGCCCAAGGCCGTACTTCTATGATATGCACATGTAGAAAAGAAAGGAGACCCAAAGCTACGCGGTTATCCGGGGCTTCCGGGCGTTAAGCGGCAAGGGCGTCGGCGCCGCCTCGACCGCAGACGAAGCAGCCGCCGTGGTGCTATGAGCCGCCTTTTCCTCCTCGATCTCAGCCTGGCGGTTTAGGTAGCTGAGATAGGTCTGCCAGCCTACCGCGACCACGCCCGCGAAGACGCTGCGGTATTCGATCGGGACGAAGGTGAAACTGAACGCGGTGACGGCGGGCCACAGCTTCCACGCGTTGACCCAGCTGACAGGGACGGTGCGGCGGATTCTGTCCCACGCCTCGGACAGAGAGTCCCCGACCAACAGGGCTTGCGCGCCGAAGAAATAGCTGTTGAAGATGGGCGTGAAGACGAGCTGGTTGACGACGATCTTGACGCCGAGAGAAAGGATGTGCGATGGATAGTTGAAATGCCGGGATAGCCAGATGAACCTATATGTATGTTATGCGCTGTATTAGTTCCGACCCCTTACTTTGCTTCATCGTCATCAATGAAAGCAAGAAAGAAAAAACGTAGAGCTCACCAGAGGAAATTCGGCACAGCACACACGCCCCCGATAAGCATGTTCCTAGCGGTGTGCTCGGGCACGTACTCCTTGCCGCCGATGCGCTGCGCGCTGATATCGGCAGCCAGGTAGATGACGAGGGCAGAGAGGATCTGCGTAGTCCAGGGGCGCTTGCGCTGGGCGCGACCGTACGCTTCGCCGGCGCGCGTCAAGGGGCCGAACCGCTGCCACAGAGGTAAGGGGGGCGGCACCGGTGTGCTACCCACCGGGATCGGGTCCTCGGCCGGCGGCGGTTTCGACTTGGCGGCCTCAGTCCCGTTGCCGCCGGGTTTCGGGCCGGGGGGTGCGCTGGACTGGAGGAGGCGGCGGGGCGGTGGTCGTGACAGGCGTCCGATTCTTAGATGCGCTAAGCGCTGCCGGAATGCGCCTCGGAAAAGCGCAGGCGTAGAAAGTGGCATCGTTACGTTAGGTACTTAGTTGCGACGGGGAATGCTCGTAACTACCTAAAGAAAATGAATATATGGTTATCGTCTAGGGTTGATATCGTTGATATCTTGTTTGCGCATGTGGACACTTGATGAATCTAGGAGGTATCTTTTATTTTCCGTGTAAAAAGCGATACAGATTTTAAGGGAGAAAAGATGAAGGCCGCCAAGGCAACTTTGATAAACGGCAGCTGAAACCTTAGGTACCTGAAAAGATATAAAAAAAAAGGATATTAGAACGCCTTCGCGCACTCGCGTATTGATACTCCCGAACGTGTAAAGTTTTGTAAGTCATATCGGCGGGTTGGGACTAAATCACGTCGGATCCTACTCGGTCTTAGTCGGAGGTCCGAGGTGTAACGGGAATTCCCAACATCTTTGACATGACTTGTCCTCCTATTGGTCCTATTGGATATAAGGAAGCTTCAATATTGTCATTATACGTTAGGTGCGTATGGACTAGGTTATTTATGATGTGAGGTGCCTTCGCTATAGACATGTCAATAGAATAAAATTTGATTTCAATAATCTCTTGCAAACGCTAAGTTCAACCAATACCTTGCCTATGCCCTAGGTTGGTATTTATACGCCACGCCAATACATCCAGTCCTGATACAATATACAACCATACGATAGACTCCAACATCCATGAGTGGGCGTAGTTGGATGATTACCTACTCTAGCTCACCACTTACGAACCCGATTTGCCTCTGCGCCCTAGGTCCAGCGCCCGCGATATTCGCAGCCAACGCACTCTGACTATTAACTAGTTTCCGTTGTTCCTGTATCCTACTCTTTAACCTTGCATCTGCCGCCTGGTCCAGGCGTTCTAACTCCTCTCTCTCTCTTAGTCTTATGCTGCTTAGTTGGTTTGCATTTCCAACGCGCTCGCTACCGACGTCACGCTCCCACTGCAGCATACGAGCTTGCTTTTGCGCCTCGGCAGCGAGCTCCGCGCCAGCAAGAGCTTGAGCGCGTGTTAACCCTGCATGCGTGAGTGCCTCCTGATGCTTAACTTCGGCCACATGGCGTGTGCGCTGCTGCCGCATTGCGCTGTTAAACAGCTCTTCTTCGACGCGCGCACGCTCTTGTATCGCCGAAAGGTCTGCGCTATGCGCCCGCTTTTTGCGCGCCTCCTCTAATTCCGCCTGGTTGGCCCATATCTGTGCCTGCACCGCCGCTAGCTCCTTGTTTCGTTGTATCGCAAGCATATGGTCCTCGTTTTCTTTTTGCAGACGGGCCAGTCGCGCCTTGCGTTCTTGCTCTTCGAGCTGGATATTGGCCGGCATGCCAATAGCATCGTCCGGCTGCGGACCGGAGTTGGCGTAGTATACATCAATTCCACGATTTGCCTTTAGTAGTGCTAAGAGCTGCGGTTTATGATCCGAGTCTGGTAGTACACGCTGAACGTACATGGTTGGAGAGTAGGTGAATTTGCCGTCGTTGAAGTAGTTAAATGGCTTATTGATATATCTCCACATATCAGCTCGCAGCAGAACCTTCGTTGTGGTCAGGGGGTCGGATGATTCGAGAGCTAAAAGAAGGACCGATTTCCCATCGGATTGTAGCGTAATGTCAGATTCGCTCTGAAGGAGGAAACTTATCGCTTTTTCCATCGCCTTCTCTCGGCGGAGTGTCAACTCGCCAAAGTCAGCAGCGTGTAGACATAGCTCCCCAAGCGCACTGCGTCCACCATGTAGGGGACTTGGGAAGTCAGGGTCGTGTCTATACTCGACTAATACTTGCATGGCCTGCAGGTTAAGTTCTCGCGCTGCATTATGAAGCGAGCCATCGTTTCTCGAAGCCCCTGCTGCTAACAAATTGGACATTATAGTGATAGCCAAATCACCGCCGATGGAAGATGCCATAGATAGGGGGGATCTTCCCGTCGCGTCTGCTACGTCCACTTCAGCATCCGCTAGTAGTAGGGACTTCACAATGTCTTGTCGGCGACATTGTATAGCCAGCATAAGAGGCGTAACACGAGAGACGGGCGCTTCAAAGTTTACTTTGGCACCCCTCTCGATCAATAAGTTGATAACCCCGCTGCTGATTTTCTTCTGAGGCTGGATGAGAGCCCACATGAGCAGCGTAACAGTTTCCTCATCCTCCACCTCCTCCATTACCCTGCACTTTGTCATTTGGTCGTGGTAGAACCCAGCATCTAATAATGCCCCAAGAATCTTCGTAGACCGCGGGAACTGATTTAACGCTTTAATGAGGACGGGCTCCGAATCAGTTTGGATAAAAGCAACATCCATCCGGCTCTGTCCGTCGCCATATTCAACGAATAGTGTGATAAGGTCGTATATATCTTCTTCGGATGCGGGGGCGTCGAATATTCGAGGCAATGCAAATGTCAGAGCTTGTGAGTTAGGGTTCTCACGTAGGAGCCTTTTAAGAAGATTAGGATCCCCTTGCGCAGCCGCATTCTGCAATGCCTCTCCGTGGTTGTAATTAACATCCGCGCCATATTTGAGGAGCAAATCCACAAAGTCGTTTGCCAACTCTGCGTGCGTTTCGATATACAACCCGAGGACCGCGGCAAATGCCGATCCAACCCCATCACCGGCAGCGCCTTTCTCTAGCAAGCACTTGGCAATCTCGTAGCCTCGGCTGGATAGCCATGATGAAACACGATCAGGCGTAAAAGCCTTACCAAATACTAAAGACGTGTCTTCGATAGTGATCTTAGTTTCTAGAAGTTTAGCGAATGCCGACGGAGACAAGGTTGTAATTGCATCGATCAAAGTCCGGCAGCTATCCGCGGTGGGGGAAGCGCGGTGAGTAACAAGTAGTTCGATAAGTCTCTCTTCGGGATCTTCTTCATTGACAGCGCGATTCAGGAAAGAATGGAGAGCGTTTGGAACAGGTCTCCCTGCTTGAAATACCCAATTCATGATGGTAAACCTCGTGTCTCTGCTTAAGTCCCAACAGGCATCCATGGCGCGGATCAAGGTGTGGGAGGACGGTCGTTTTTGGCGTCCGCCAACCTCACTAATGCCTAATAGCATCTCCAAATTACCTAAGAAGGCGCTCCTTGCTGCCTTCTCGACAGCCTCCCCGTCATTGTAATCAGGACTTGCCCCGTACGCTAGCAGAAGTCGGACGAGATCTTTCCCGCTATCTCCATATCTGCCCGCAGATACAAGTTGAGCATCAACTACTTCCCCAGAGACTCCTGCTTGCAAGAGTAATTTGAAAATTTCGGCTCGCTTCTTTAAATCCCCCACTTGCGTGGCGGCTTGGAAGCCTCTTTGGAGTGTATTCGGAGCCACCTTAGATTCGCTTGCTAGTAGCATCGCGAGAACGTCAACTGCCCCGGCCTTGCAAGCCTCTATGATGGCCTGACCGTCCTTATGTTCCACACTGCCTCCATTTTGTACTAGTATAGTACCGAACTCTACGTCACCATCTGAAGCAGCAGCTAATAACGCGTCCGATACAACTTCTCCCGAAGCGCCAGCTTTTAGTAAGCTAATAGACGACATACTTCTCGACCTTTTGTTCTTGGCCTTCGTAGCTTGGGCGAAACTTGTGTTTAGAATTTCGACGGGAAAGGTCTTCTTGCCTAGTATTAGCTCCACCACGTCCTGATTTTCCCTTTTGACGGCCTCGATCAAAGCTAGGCCATCTCGGGTATCTGCACGGGTTAAAAGGGTGTTGATGAGTGGTATATCGTCTGGATAAGTGCTGACGGCAAAGACGAGAGCTCTATTTACTTCAGTTGCGGGTATACCGCCCTCTAGGATCTTTTGCGCGAACGTTAGCCTATCCATCAATTCACGAATGCGAAGAGCGTGAGGCATAGCGAACGCCATCGAATTGGGGTTCGGATTGGCCGTAAACAAAATCTCTACCAATTGCATATTTGCTGCCGCTACTGCTCGACACAGCGCTTCGGCATTCATGGCATTGACATCGGCGCCGTTTGCTAACAGGACTTTTACTGATGCGAAATTCTGTTCATGTGGTGGTACTTTCAAAATAGCCAACACTTCTTGTAAGAGCAGCTTGGTGGCTGCATCCTTCGACTGCGCTCGGCGGAGTATCGCATCTATCTTCTCAGTTTTACCTGGGGACATTGGGAGATTACCTATGCTCGTCAAGCCCCGTTCTAGGCTGCTAGCACTGGGCTGTCCTAGACATAGAATCATTCCTAGAATTTCAGGGTCTGGATGTAGCGCGGCACGCTCAATGGCTATTCCCCCATTAACATTGACATCCGCATTCCCTTGTTGCAGCAATGTTTTAAGCAATCGTAGGTCTGGTGGGTTCGTCTGTATCACTGTTTCCAGAGCTGCAGATACTTCAGGCCCGCCTTGAGATGCGCCGGCTGCTAAAAGCATGTTGATCATTTGAAACCGTACCGAACTTTCTTTAACTTCCATAGCCCTCGGAATTGCTCTGGCTGCTACTTGGATTGTGGGTTTGCTCTTAAGCAACCGTTCCAAGAGTCGGACATCCTGTTGAGAAATGGCCGCAGTAATAGTGTGGCCCTCGTTGAAATTCACATCAGCATTGTAGCGGAGGAAGAGTGCGATGAGCTTTTCGTCTCGATGAGGGGGCTGCTCGTCGATGGCATTCTCAAGGGCTGAATGAACTGACGGTCCAGTAAGCCCAGCTCTTAGGAATAGCTCTGAGATTTGATAACGTGTAAGCGGGGGTAAATTCCGTACGCTAGGAAAGATCTGAGCGAGAGCAACCGGGTTTGGGGGCTTGCTCGTAAGAATCAAGTTCGCGATAGCTGTGTCTCCTTTCTTCACAGAGATCTGCAAGGCTAGTGCACCCTTGTGATCTGTCGACGCAGTCTCATGTCTCTCGAATACCATACTCCGTGGCCCTTTTCGAATATCTTTGGTCCCCACGATCTTACCTTCTGGAAACAACGGCGTGAGAAGTATTTTAACTGCCTCCACATCGCCGGCTTCCACCGCATCGATTAGAGCCTCATCTAAAGGTGGACCGGATGCTCCCTTGCGAAGTAGCAGATTGAGGAGTGAGTGGCGCTCTTCAAACCTCATCTTCTTTGGTAGAAGCTCTACACTTTCAGACGCATAATGAGAACTGAATTTAGATTTTCCACTTAGCATAACCTCCACCAAGTCCACTTTTCCTTTCGAGACAGCGCTGCGAACTGCGATGGCATCCTGATATTCGATTGATGCACCGTAAGATACTAAGATGTGCACCATCTCGAGAAAGTAAGTAGCACACGCCTGTACCAGGGCTTTCGCCACTAGATCACCTCCTGCCCCGGCGCACAACAAAACTTCCGCCATAGCTATCTTTTCGTTGGGGTTGATATTTTGGTGGCTCATGAGCTGGTCAAACGCCTCGTTAAGGCTAGATTGAGTCGGCGGCTTGTTGCCGAGAACAATAGCGAGGGCGATATCTCGCCGGCCGAGAGCTACAGCGGCTTTTAACGCGGCGGCACCATCGTGATCACCATCTGCTATCGATTGACTGAGATGCGTTACTGTACCTAGGCATCCCACCCTTGCTGCCTCGACCATAGATTGCGACATCCATGACGATGAGGGCCGCCCGTCGGACCCTAGAATAAGGGCAATGAGATCGGCCTGGCCACCAAGGGCACATGCTTGTCGAAATGCACCCTGCCCATCAGCAGTCTGAGCTACACTTGCGCCGTACCGTATAAGAAGCGCAACGATCGCCACGTTTCCGTCACGAATAGCAGTGGGCAATGCGGTATCTAGGCTTAAGGCATCAGCGTAGGGCAAAAGGACTTCGACCATTTCATAATGGCCATTCTTGACAGCTATTTGGAGCACCTGGCTGCGTTCAGCTAGATCGAGACTCTTTCTTCGGCTTAGCAGACTTGTGCGGCTTTTCTGTGCCAAGTTTAGATTCCCCCCAGCTAGATTCAACTTGAGTATTAGGCATTCGGCAACACCTGGTGATCCTTGGTTGGCAATATGAGCTACAAGTGCGTTATAAATTTCTCGGTATTCCCATGCCTTCTTTTTGGTTGTGAAGGCACGTGTAAGGGTCCCCTTTTGCTGCTGGCCTTGGGACTCGTTGATGCGCTGCCTCTTAAGTAGTTCTTCGGCTATAAACTCGTCGTTATCTGTTCGGTAGGATGGCGGGCGATCGGGCCTTGGTAAAGGTGACGGGGGAGATTGATTAATTATACCCCATTCCTTGCCCAGCGCTTGGAGTCGTGTTTGGTTATTTTCTTGGATATAAGATTGCTCCATTTAAACAGACGGGACTCTCTTCCAGGCTAGGGACACAGATGAGGAGTACGGCTCGCCGAAGATGGCAAGGCTGAGTTAAGCTACGAGATTGGTCATGAATGCGACAATGTGACTGCAAATGCACCCCTAGTAACCTTGGAAGAATGTATCTGGTAGCCTTCCTCGTAGCTACCTAACCCTAACCTAATCCCGCGCTGTAAGGATGAAGAACGGAGGTAGCTGGTTAGTGGTGAACGACGCGATGTTCAACGAACTCAGCCAACGAAGATGCTTCTCTAAATTCCAATTAATGCAGGCAAGCAATTATTAACTAATTTTGTTCAGGACGAGGCGAACGAGTGTTGATGAGAATGAATGCGATGTCAAACACCTAACACCTATCTAAGAACAAAAGAAGATAGTTCCAAGTTCCAATTAAAAAAAAATTTAAAAAAAAAAAGAAGATGAAAAGACATGCATGGGATGTTTCGCCAAGTAAGTATGCCTTGAACGACTACTTTAAGTACCTGGTATGAGACACCCCCAGGTCCAGGAGAGAGAACCTTAAGTTTAAGCCACATACAGGGGTCTTGAAGTGGATCTACATGTACTGTATTTTCCTATTACACCGTATAATACAGGTGACTTTCCTTGCACTGCCTCGGCGGCATGGTGACGTTTCGCAACCAACCGCACAGCGCGTTTTAATAAGTCGTCCCAAAAGTCGGTCGGTTTGCAAACTAAAAACATCCGTCTAATAAACCTCTTGCTGGCCGTGAACTGCCACGCATCCCTCGGTCTCTGATTCGCTTACCGGCTCGCAATACTTGCATTTTGCGGGCTGCTGTTGCGTCCAGGCAGCAACAAAAGCATCGCATGTAGTACATGGAGTAACCGTCTGCAGTTTGCTGCATAATGCTACCCGACGGATCGGCTTCCTGATGACGGAGGCGGCAGAGGAGCAACATTCTCAAGTTCCGTCCGTTTGGCTTGGGGTACCTTGGCCAATAAGGTATCTTGGGCTGCAGAAGGTTTGGAGAAGTTGGCTGCAAGGATATTTTGGACGGCAAAGCACAATTCATCATCACGTATGACAAGTTGGGAAATAGCTGGGTTTATCCTCGGTCGTCTCGAAAGAAACACATATTTCCTATGCGGTGACATATTAATGCTATCATGCAGTGGCTCAGTTCGATCAGGCAATCAAGCGATCAAGCATTGAGCTCGTAAAATCTCGTCTGAATTTTAATGCGCATTTTGCGATATTGCTATCCCGAACTCCTCCCATTTATTTTTATTCGCCTAATGTGACCTAATGTGTACCAACGAGATGCAGGTCGCATTTCCCTATCAAGATGGAGCCTTTGTCTTAGGTACCTAAGGTAGGTTGGTATTCTATAAGTGAAGGCGCAAACATTAAATTGCATTGACCAGTCAAACTAAGCTGCTAAATCAACTTTCGCCGATAATGCGACTCGTATCTCAAGATACCTCAACGCTTAAGCCCAGCTAGAAGTTCAGCAGGAGGCTCCTGTCGGTATCCCTTCGGGTTATTGGATACCCATCGCCATAGATCCTCACATGCCTTCTCCATGGTTAGTTCTGTCTTCCACTGCAGTTCCTGGTTCGCCCGGGTCGGGTTGGCAGTAAGATCTAATACGTCGCCCTGTCTTCGCGGCACCACTTCATATGGCAGGTCGCGGCCCACCACCTTGCTGAATGCCTTGATGATCTCGAAAACGGTGCTACCTCTGCCAGAACCCAGGTTCCACGCCTTGACACCCGGCTTGTGTTCGCGAAGATAGTTGAGCGCGACGAGGTGACCCTTTGCGAGATCAACAACGTGGATGTAATCGCGGATGGCAGTTCCATCTCGGGATGAGTAGTCTGCGAAAGATTTATATTAGTGTCTCCCAAGCCACCCAAGTTTCGGAGGAATAAGCCCGACTTACCATCGCCAAATACCAGAAGCTTTTGGCGCTCGCCAGTCGCAACTTTGCCGAGCAACGGCAGTAGGTTATAAGGCACACCTTGGGGATCCTCGCCCATGATGCCAGTAGGGTGTGCACCGCAGGGGTTAAAGTATCGCAGGTTGGCGCCATTCCATTGCTCAAATGGCTCGTTGGCCTTCTTCAGGTTCTGACGCTGCGCGTTGATAAAGTCCTCGATTATGTTCTCGACGATGGCCTTGGTCCTTCCGTACGGGTTGGTAGGTCCAATAGGACAATGTTCGGGGATGGGAATCATATTCTCGAAACGAGTCGCGTCACCGTAGACTGTTGCTGAGGAGGAAAACACTATGTTGGTAACATTGTGCTTCTTCATAGAACTCAAGAGGGAAATGGTTCCGCCAACGTTGACGCGGTAGTACTCGAGAGGGATCTCGGAAGATTCGCCGACAGCCTGGACCGTAAGTCAGCGACATGGGCATAGTCGACAAAAAGAGCCGGCGAGCTTGCCTTGAGGGCGGCGAAGTGGATGACACTGTCAATTTGGGGGTGAGCGGCGAAGACTTTGTCAAGCTCATCTTGCTCTGTAAGGTCAACCTTATAGAAGGTCGGTCTCTTGCCGGAGATGAGCTCGATGCGGTCGAGAGCAACCTCGGACGAGTTGTAGAGGTTATCTACGATGATAACCTCGTAACCATGCTCAAGCAGGGCGAGCGAGGTAAAGGACCCAATGTAGCCGGTGCCACTATGCGCGCACGATTCGTTAGCTCTAACGTGTCAACATAGTAGTTCAACTGATGGTTTCTCTTTGTTCTGAGGCACACAGCGGCACACAGCACAATCCACATTCGGAAGAACAGACAAGACAAGAAATATTGAAACAAGTAAGTAAAATAAGAGTCGCTTACCCGGTGATTAGAACGGTACCTACAGCCATGTCGACGAGTTTTAAAAACCAATTGATAAGTTGAAAAGAGTGGAAGGGCAGAGGGGATACCGAAAGACGATAGGAATCGACGCTTAGCTTATAGAGGGGTGCCTGTTTATAGAAGAGGATGCGCGCAATAGATGTAGATAACGCGATAAAGTCGCAACGTTCTGAGGGATGCGGCGGTCAATAGCGATCTCCATTTTAAAATTGGAACGAAATTGGAGGGGTTGCAAGCTTACCCCTCCTTCCGATAGACACTACAGACACTACGAAGTACCTAACCTACCTAACAGTAAGTAAATAGGCCTTGTTCAGACTGTGTGAGATGCGGCAGCGGGGGTGGGGTTGCACAGTATGCACCCACTCAAAAGCACCTGAAAGGAAACCTGGCAGCCCTGGGAAGGGGAACATAAACAAACCTAGGCATGGGGCCGGGAGTTTTAACCGTCGGGCGATAGTCTGTTAGAAATTATCACATAAACAGGTCAGATCAACACCGTATGTTGTGCTGCCATTAACGTGGATAATTTAACTGGCTGGCAGAATGTTTAGAAAAGATGATTATACCTTATTAATACTGACACAGCATGAGTTTGTAATGTCAATGCGTCGATGATCTCTATTATTTGAATACTTCGGAATATAAATGCATCTTTGGTATTTACATAAGATGGGACAAATCTTGAGACCGCTCTTAAGTACATGGACCTTTAGGTAACCCCTGCGCTGGGTGGCCCACTCAGCCTGCTGCTATCTTAGCCCTTGGCTGGCTTATCTAAAAGACAGCCAGGGACAGCCAGGGACAAGCCGAGGAATCGTGGCTGACGCGTTTTTTTAGTTTACTCTTCAACGTGTGGCACCGTGAATTTTGAACATTACATGATGTAGAGCGTGAACTTAGACTTTAGCCAAAAATAGCTAAACCACCTGAACCTTGCCGTGGACCTTACACCACATACTTACTAAATAGGCTTGTTCCATAGACGCGGCGCGACGCGACCGGATGAGGCTTGAAACCTGGAAGCTTTGAAGCTTTGAAAGCTTAGGACTCCTTAAGATCTGGATCAACCAACCATGTCGTCGTCGTTGATACCTTGACCAATTTTACGACAGTTTTATTCCAGTCGTTTCTTTGTCGGTTCTAGATGCACCAATTAGATGCACCCTAGAAAAAGAGAAGAAAAAAGAAGAAGAAAAAGGCAAAGAAAAGCATTGTGCAGTTCATACTCAAAGCCGTCTTCGGAAGTTTTACATCAAGTCCGTTCCTAACTTGACAACTCCGGCCCGCGACCTTTATGCATCTGGTACCACGTTCACAGGCGTCGCCGGACCCGGTAGGCTCCCGCTCTTATATGCTGGAGTAGATTCTAGCGATTCTAGTGGCTGTTAACAAAGCAAAGTACCACTTTAGCACCCGGACGCTTTCAGCTTCACATCACCGCCCGAGGTCTTAGGCATTAGGAAAACGTTAAGCTAAGAGAATGACCAGATCCAATTCCATTCATCTACATCTACCCCCATCGAAAGGAAAAAAAGGATTCAACAACATTACATTATTCTCTCATCTTTCATCATCTTCTTCTAGATCCAACCAAAAAAAAAATCATCTTCGTATTCACTGCGACAGGCTACTTGCGTAAGACTTGTGAAGTGACTTTTGATTTGTACCTTCAAGTTCTAGGGTAAAGGGTGAGCTTAGGTGCAACTTAGGTACGTTAAAGTAGCCAAATTTCTATTACTACTTTTCATTGCTATCTCGCGAGCTCTTACTATCTTTCGTGCGAAGTGGAGGCTCTGGTGAAGGTTATCCTGCTTCGCATTGCCTTATTTTCGAGTCTATGGTGTTGGTTCTCCTTCACGCCTGGAGTGTTGATATACGATATCGCAAGTTCGAGATATCCGTTACTAACACAATTTTCTCTAGTGTTCTTGCCGGAATCATTCCGGTTTAATTCATCATGTCTGGACGTAGCACTCGCGCGAGAAGCCGTGGCACCGGCGCAAGTGGTACTCCCAAAACTTCACGCCAAAATTTCTTTTCTGAACCCCCGCCAGCAGATCTACCTGGCTTATATCCGGTTCATGACGGATCATACGGCGTCAATACGCTCTTGAACCTCGACTCTGCGAAGAAGAGTAGAGGTAGAAAAGCCAAGCCTGGATTCGTTAATGAGGACGACGAAGATGAGCGCTTTACTGGACGCATCGAGAGAAAAGGTGGCCAGCGTTACACTATGGATAACGATCTCAAAAGGGTTGTCGAGGAGACCGTCGAGGAAGCTGAAAAGGACGACGGCTTTGAAGCGGAGATCGAGTCACGACAGGCCCTTATAGACAACCCCGACCAACCGAACACCCAGTCAGGTGCTCAACAGTCTGACCCAAAGCAGGGTTCGAGACCACGCACCCGACGCGTGGACGACTACAAAGGACCCCGTGTTACTAAACTAGGTCGGATGTTCCCACCTGAGGAGAAGGACACGCAAAGTCCACCATACGCTCCTATTTCGTACAGATCTCCAGATCCGGAAAAACTCATCCATAATGCGAATTCGTCGGCACCGCCCCCATTTGCAAGTTCCTTCTATGGTGTACCAACAGGTCGAGGTGCTGGATTCCCCTCTTCGTCATTTGTCGCTCCCGCGCGTGCTCCTATACCTCCTGATTCGTCCAGAAGCTTTACCTCAGAAAATGGGCTTTATGGCGACGCATCATTCATACCACCCCCCAGCAGAGAACCCGCACACGAAGGCGACAGTGCTGGGAAGCCAAGCGGAAGCAACAAATCTGGACCTAGAGACATTTCGATGTTAGGCTTGACTCCAGGTGAGCAGCAAAGAGTAGAAAGCATAATCCGAGACATGAGAACGTTGCCTCTGCACCAAGCTCCTGGCTCGTCTTCTACCCCTATCAACTCATTGAACCACCCAACGGAGCGGGAGGTTCGAGCGGTACGAACCTTAACACGGGACATGGGAGACGATTGGGCAAGGAATGACAGAATTTTGGCCGAGTTAGACAGAATCACGAACCAGATCAAGAACAATCGACAAGCAAGGACGCCAAAACAACCCGATGCCAATCTACCCACTCCAGCTAGTTCTAACGTCATAAGCAACACCCATGATCATCCTGTCGTCGATGAACTTCCTAAACAGGATCCTACCACCGTCGACACCAGTAAGACACAGAACCGCAATGCGATTGATACTGATGCCGACAACGCCACAAATGCCAACGGAAATATGGGCAACGATCAACCCATTAATAGCAACTTACCTCCAGTGCAACCGATGGAAGAGTTGCCTCCTGTAGATGACGGACTTCCCGATGCAGACAATGGCGAGTTCGGACAGTTTTTTAACCACAATGCTCCAACTGATTCGCCCAACGACCACAACCATGATTCCCCGCAAACCCCCAATTTCAGGCTAGAGCGACCCATTAAGCGACGAAAAGATCGATATACGAATCGGAAGCGCGATTCGTTATTCGATTGGGCGGCAGCTGGGAGCTCAAGCAATTGGGCGAGCATGGGCTTTGTGTTTCTAACTATTTTGTTCTGTGCTTGGCTTCTATTAACAGTTATCGACGGAGATTTCGCATCCCCTAGAGACGAAGTCTTCGTTGACCCTGGTACACAATGGCCCAATTGGGACATCATAAAAGACAATATTGGTAAACTCATACCTTCGGGGACTAGTGGCAGCGGAAGCAATTTCGATTTCAAATCCGGCGACACGCAATCGAAACTCGTTAATAATCTCACCCCGAAGATTCCTGATCAAGTTTTTGTTGAGAAGGACGGGAAGGGCAAACTTAGAATATCGCAAGATTTCTGGCACGCTCTACGAAACCTAATCAGGGAAGACGATATCATTCTGACTCTAGAAAATGTTAGAAAGGAAGCCCCAGAAATCTCCAACGCGCACTGGCTCGCGATAAAATCACGTTTGAGCAAAGACGGGTTCGGATTACACACTGGGTCCAATGCCTCCTCGGGAGGGCATATGGCACACGCTGATAAACATTCATGCCTGCGCTGCTGGGACAATTGGGTGAGTCAGAACGAGGAAGCGCTAAAAAGAATGGTAGGGGGGGTTGCCGTATCTAAGGACGAGTTCCTGAAACTATTTCGAGGCGAAATTAAGTCCTACCAACAAGAAATCCGTAAGGAGCTCACAGCCCAGGATGCTCGGATCAAAGAGCTTGCAGAGGCTATGACCGCGCTCCGCAATACCGCAAAGAACTTACATGGGGGATTGACCGAACGAGAAGTCAAAGCGATCTGCGATGCGGCGATACGAAAAGCTATCGAGAATGCCAAACTTGACGCCTTAGCTAGCGGCCGTATACGCGGCCACGCGAATGACATGATCGTGAACCAGGTTAACTTCTTCGGAGTAGGCTCCGGTGCAGTTATCGATCCCCATTCTAGCTCACGACCATGGGAACTCCCTAAAGACTCGAAGTACAAATCTAAGGAGTGGTATCTACACAATGGCTATAGACCTCAACCCCCTTCGTCCGCTATAAGCCCTTGGAGTGAGGAAGGCGAATGCTTTTGCGCCGGGAAGATCGTTAAGGGGGTGCCGGAAATTACCAATGCGATTGGTATTATGACCAGCGTTGCCGTTATTCCACAGCACCTAGTTGTGGAACATATTCTGCCAGGTTCGACGTTAGATCCGAACGCCATGCCTAAGGATATCGAAGTGTGGGCGTATATCGAAGAGGTGACGTTGCGCGAAGAAGTGCGTGCCTTCTCGTCGAATAACATACACAACCAACTTGAAGCCGAAGCTCCTACGGTGCCAGATGGCTTCGTCAAAATCGGCCACTTCACGTACGAGCAGAAGGACTACGGCGACGGCGTCCAGATCTTTAAGATGAGCAGCGAGCTCACGAGCATGCGCGCCGCTACCAAGCACGTTATTATTAAGGCTGTGACAAACTACGGCGCAGATCACACATGCTTCTACCGGCTCAAACTGTACGGTGAGGCCGTGGACAGCAGGCGTTGGGAGGTGGACCATCAAAAATAAATATATAGCGTTTGACGAGCGCTTACGTGGATGTAGAGACTCGCAGCGAGGAAAGGGGGTAGCAAGACAAGCACATGATAAATTCGCATAAGCGAAAACGAAAGGGGCAGACGGGCAATTACATAGAGCAGTTTTAGCTAGTTGGTAGTTTAACCAAGCTAATCACCCGGACAAGAAAGGAGTTTCTGGTATCGATTTTTGGTATCTCGCATGAACGGCAGGAATTCGGAAGTGGAGAGGAGCAGCTGATGGGAGAGGCCAGAGGGATTTAATGTGATGATACCAAGCCCTTTGTGTTATATATTTTTTTTAGCTCAATTCTAACTTTTATTTTACCTTAGGTACCTACGTTGTTATTTTGCTTTATCATTTATATTCCTCCCTGTTGGGCGTGAAAACGTGTATTTGAATTTTTGATGGCCCTCCGTTCAGTTCTCTTTATACCTTCAAGGGTTCAACTTTGATCATGTAAGATGGGCATTTATTTTGTTCATATGAAGGGAATCTCATCTTCAGCCCCGTCTATATGTGTCTAACATCTGCTCCCAGTAGTCCCAGAATAAGTAAGCGAATATCGGTATCTAATCTAAAGAATGAAAAAAAAGGTAGGAAATGAATGAATACTAAGTGACCGATTCTCTCTTTTTCTAACCAACCCGTCCGAGCGGTTCGAACTTTCAAATTTTCATGTCTCTAGGTACGTGGGAGGAGTACATATTTCATAGATATAACCCCTTTGCAGGGTTCCAATGCCAATCCCTTATCAACCGAACTGTGTTTTGTCGTTGCCAAAACTTCATGTGATGTGTATCCAAATCATAAACTATAACATACAGCCGTTCCAATACACGCTCGCCTATTCCCTCTAATCCCCCCTGTAGAAACATAATAACGCTATCGATCCCTTCCCAACCTCTCTTCCCTATCTTCCGTTAATTCATACGCTGGCCGGAATTGCTGTCCGTCTGCTTTGCTGCTAGATCCCTTACCGGCCTCCCTCAGCGCTGGGTTTGGATGCGTATCGTCTATCCCGCCCAGCGAAGTGTATCCCATATCGTAAAGAGGACAGTAAGGAATGTCCAGGGCTCGTATAAACTTAAGTCACCATTTCAGTATTTTTTCTCTTCAACTGATTATCCATATCGTAATAGGAGAAAGAGCCTCAACTTACCCCCCAGACCTCGCGATAATGCCAGTCAATAACGGGATGTATTCGCATGAAGCGAGGCCAATCGGCATCCGTCTCGTCGAAGAAAGTCAGAGACGCACCATGCGGGTCGGTCCTCCTTGTCCCCACAAACACAGCTTTAATCTTGGGGCGCTCGAATAGGTATTCGGTCAAGGCGGGCTTCATAGGTTGGTTCGAAGTGGTGAGGTCAAGATGGTAGACTGCCGAGGTCGCTGTGACAAATTCGTCTACCTCAGCAAAGGGTAGCGGTGGTCTAATATAAAGGGCTTGTAGTCGATGCGGGAATGGTGGAGATGGGTAGGAAGATTCAGCTTGGGCGGTTGTCGAGGACTGCGATAAAGACGTTCGCAATGAAATGGACGAGGGGAGAGAGGCGAGAATCAGGATTAACAAGACAAGGCAGTCCTTTCCGCCATTATAAGATAGAGAGAGTTCTTCTATTCTGTTGCATCGCGGTTAGCTCTTGTCGAGGTTACCAAGGGTAGCTTGTAATTATGCACCTATATCGCCGTAAAGCCTCTTCTATGACACCTCTTGCGACAATTACCTGGTTCTTGACGGAGTTGAGGACGTCATCCTCTGTAGGTGTATCGAGAAAGTTGTCCACCTTGGCTTTAAGGCCGCGACACAGAATCTCGAGTTCGTTGGACGTCGTGCCGTTCGTGCGTTGATAGGACGAGGCCGACCCGTTTTCAAGCGTTGCCATATCCATCTATGTATAATTTGTGCTGTCTGCCTGTCCTATAAGCTATAGGTGCCTCCTAACTTGATGTACTTTCTTCTGGTCTAGCCGTTGGTGGGAATGGAATGTCCTCGAGGCTGAGAACGGCAGGGGTATAATTCATTGAATTTCGCTTGCCATGCTACGCCTTAGGAGAATGTCGCCGTTCTCATATCTATAATTGATCTATGGTTGATCTATAATTGGACCAAGACGACGCGGACAAGAGTGGGAACGGGAACGGGAACGAGAACGAGAACGGGAACGGCGGCGGTAGCGGGAGCGAGAGCGAGACCTAGCAAGTTATATAATCTGACAATAGGTACGAGTTATGTATGGTATGACAAGGCTATATGAGTAATGTCAGACTCAGGGGGGTGGGCCTTGTTGTCGCGCTTGTTGTCGCGGCTGACGAGAGCTGAGGGTTGAGAAGTTGAGAAGTTGAGAGTTGAGGATTTGATGATAATAAATGCGACGTTCCTTACAGTAAGACTCGACAATTTTATGGGTCAAGAGTCAAATGCTGACCTTGTACAAGGTACTACATGGAGGGGTCGCGCCGTCGCGGGGTTATTAAGAATGTATCCCCAACGTAGCATGATATCGATAATTACGATAATTACGTGCGTACCTAGCCTAAAAGTACCTCAAAGATACAGGTACTTGATCTGATGTATTGTATTGTACCTAGGTACCCAATTTAAGGCTTACCTTAGGTACTTACATCCTAGAACATGTGAACCTTGAAGCTTGTGACACCCTTATGTAAAAACTACCTAGGTAGGTTCAGGTAGGACATAGGTAGGTCTAAGCAGTTAAAGTCATCAATGGCAAACCCCGAGAAAAAAACAACAACTTTGCAAGATTAAGAAAGGTAGGTCTTGGTTAACACGATTACCTACGGAAATATCAAGTAAATCAACAGCTATAGAGGTATATAGGTAGGTTAGGTAGGTATATTTATCAACGCCCCCAACTCTTTCAATCCTCGAGCAGTCCAGCAGCCAACGCCTCGTAGTCCTCCAGGGTATCTGGTGCTTCGCCAACTTCGATAACTTTACCTTTACCCTTTTTACTCTTGGTCTTCTTCCTCTCGTCTTCCGAATCGTCTTGAAACCACTTCTTCGCCTTCTTCTTCGGTCGCTTCTCTTCGGATGCTTCGCTATCACTTCTTTCTCCTTCTCCTGCCATTGGTAGAGACGCCATCAGAGCGAGAGGATCTTCGTCATCGTTAGCACCTGAAAGTCTGGGCATGCTACCCATCGCCTCGTCGTTCTCCATTGCTTCCCGAGCTTTCCGCTTTTCTTTCTTCTCTCGTCGTCTTTCTTTCGCGAGCTGCTTATCGCTAACATCTGCTTCCTTGACCTTAACCGCTTCGCTTTCGACAAACTTTTGCCGCTGAGCCTCCGCGGATCCCTCCTGTATGAAGTCTTCTTCGCCTTTGATTCTATACGGATGATGCGCAATCCCCTCATCGTCGAATACCACCTTGTCTCCCTTGCCTTTGAATTTGAGCATCTTTTTCTTAGACTTCAGCATCTTTTCCCTTCGCTTAGAATCCACCACGAACGGCTCCTCGCCGCCAAGGCCTGCTATAATCTTCTTTCCAGGTGCCAGTCCATTGCTCCCCTCGGCATCGTTAAAGTCATCCCCTTCCAGTACTCGCTTTACGGAAAGGAAGTCTTGATCGTCGTCATCGTCATCGTTCGCTGCTTGCCCCTCGTCACCAATCATCTTGTTATAGTGACTCGTCAACACGTCTTGGTTCGTCCTCTCAAACATGCGGTCGTACTTCGTCCGGACCTCGCCCTTCTTTCGCTTCTTCTTTTCTTCGTCGACTTCGGATTCGGAGTCGCTGGATAAGATAGCGCGAGGGGCATTCTTCAGCTTTTTCACATCCTCACCCTTTTGGAACCTGATTTGCGGTGCACCAGGAAGCCCCAAGCTAGCGGCATACGCATCCAAATCCAATTTCTTTAGGTCGAAGATTTCCTTGTCCTTCTGTAGGTGGACCGAGCGGGTATAACTGATGAAGGCCTTTTGTCCCAAGTACTTCAGGTCCGGATTTTTGAAGCACATATCCTGAATCTGGTTCTTGATGCTCTGTTTTTTCTTCTCCCGCACATTGACCTTCTGTATGGGTACTTTCCTTTGCTCTAATCGCTTAACCATGCCTTCCTCCTCGCTTGGATCCAAGAATAGTACAGCCTTCCCGTCTCTCTCGTAACGTGCAGTTCGGCCGACACGGTGAATGTAGGTATCGGTATCCTCAGGACAGTCCATCTGTACTACCCAATCCACGGCAGGGAAGTCCACACCACGCGCAACCACGTCCGTAGCAAAGAGGCAGGAATATTTAGCCGCGGCAAATCTCGATGTAATCTCCAGCCGCGCTAGCTGCTTCTGCCTGCCGTGTAAATGAAGAAGCGGGATACCAGGCTGTAGATGGCGAAAGCTCTCGTATACAAAACGGACTTGCTTGCCCGACGACAGGAATACGATCATCTTGCTCTTGAGGTTAGCTTTTATGAATCCGTACAGAGTTTCCATCTTCTCTGCTAGAGGCGTGACAATGTAGTGCTGCGTTAGCGTCGTAGGGGTCGCGGCAGCAGCAGCTTCGTGGACAGCTACGTATTCGGGATCCTTCAAGCTTAGTCTTGCTAAATCCGAGACCTTTTTGCTCTGGGTAGCACTGAACAACATTGTCTGCCGCGATTTGGGGAGATGTTCTACGAGGGCATCCACGGCTGATTGGAATCCCATATCCATTATACGGTCGGCCTCATCTAGGACTAATATCTGTAGATTGTTGACGTCGAATCCGGCCGTCTGATCTAGATGTTGTAACATACGACCAGGTGTACAAACTAAAATATTCATCCTTCCCAACCGTTCGGCCTCTTCGCGTAGACTCTTGCCCCCGATGACTAGACCAGCGGAGAAGCTATGATATCTCCCAATCTTACGCAGCACCTCAAAAATCTGCACGGCAAGCTCGCGCGTAGGCGAGATGATCAACGCCCCTAATCCGTCATATTCGGTCCATTGGGCGCGGTAGAGCTTCTCGAGGACGGGAACGAGGAAAGCAAGCGTCTTTCCGGAGCCGGTTTTCGCAGCGCCGAGAATATCGCGACCCTTTAAACCGAGGGGAATCGCTCGGGCTTGGACGTCGGTTAAATTTTGGAAGTGTGACGCTTCGAGGCCAGAAGCAGTAGGTTTTGAGAGGGGGAGTGTTGAAAACTTGGAGGTATCGTCAGACTTTGGATCCTAAAGGGTGTTGTTAGTTTTGTTCAACAGGGCAGCTCTTCTTTTTCTTTTTCTTTTCTCTTTCTTTTTTTCTTGTGAGGTTAGAATCACTTACAAACTCGTCTACCGCGTGTTGTAGTTTTTGGACATCTTCTTGGTCCCGTTTTCTCTTTAGAGACTTTGCATTTTCCTTGTGTGATTGCTGCTTTTGAGGCGCACGATTTCCATTACGAACCGCAGGCATCGCGGCTTTTAATTAGGTAAGTTATTGACTATTGACGACTTAGAAAGAGAATAGCAATCTCAAAAACTCGACCTTTGACCTCGAACTTGATGCGCCAGGAAATTTTAGAAAAGAAAAATTGGACTTGGCGGGGATTCTGCCCAGTGCCCACTGTATTTTATCGCTTATCGCTGACCGCTTTGCAGCCACCCCGGCCACAGAGGCTTAAGTTGTACTTAGGTCATGTCATGTAATCTTCAATGTTCTTACAACATAATGTTCTTTTTCACCGAGAAACCAAAAAGAAAACAATATTTCTATATGATGCTTCAATGACATCCCAAGACTTCTAACGTCTTATATCTAATAACTATTTGCATCCCATACTAATCTAGATTTTAGACAATGTGTGATAGAGTAACATATAGCTGTTGCTCAACTTCAGCAGCAGTTTAATACAGCCGACATATAAGGTAGGTAATATAATGGAATTCAATCCAACATTTATCGACATATTGACATATCAATATATCAATATTCCAATCCAATCATAGCCTGGCCCTCTCTTTCTCGGGTTTGGCTTCCTCAGCGATCAGCTCGGCAGCTCTCTCTGCAACGCCCAATACCGTCAACATAGGATTGATAGTAGGGATAGTCGGGAATACACCCGCATCCACAATACGCAGCTTCTTTAGCCCTTTAACCTTTAGCTTCTCGTCGACAACGGCCATCTCATCTTTCGTCACATCCCCCATCTTGGTTGTTCCGCAGGGGTGGTAAACCGTATGCGCTGCTTTGCGCGCGTAGTGGCTAAGCTCCTCGTCCGACTGAACTTTCGGTCCAGGCGCAACCTCTCTTTTAATCCAGTCCTTAAACGGTGCCTGCTCTGCTACCTTGCGAGCTGCCCTCATGCCGAACACCAAAGTTGCCGCATCGTAGCCTTCCGGATCTGTGAAATATCGGAAATCGAGAGCCGGCTTAACTTTCGGGTCCGCAGACGTGAGATATAGTCGACCTCGGGAGCGCGGTCGCGGGATGTTCGGAGTCATGCAGAAGGCATAGCCATCTGGGATGTCAGGATACCCTAATCGAAGGGTGTTGAGTGTAAACGGGATCTGGTAGCAATGCATCATAACATCTGCGATATCTCCGTCGGGCAGGCCTTGTGGGTTTGCAGCTGACTTCTTAGCCCCAGCATCAGGTGCCTCCCGGCGCAGAAATATCCCCGCATCGGAGTCCATCGTTGTCTGGTTCGGCGGCACGGGCTTCTTCAGTTCCCACATGATAATGCTCTCGGGGTGATCTTGCAAGTTCTCGCCCACGCCCGCGATATCTCGGACTACGGGGATATTAAGATCCGACAGTTGCTTCTTGGGCCCGAGACCTGATAGCAGCATAAGTCGAGGAGTATCTACGGCTCCTGCGCTTAATATCGTCTCGGTTTTCGCCTTGATAATGCGCGTCGAGCCGTCTTTCAACGTCAAGGTCACGCCGCTAACAGCGTCTCCGCTAACGTTGATTTTAGACACCCACGCATGTGTCAAGATGGTCAAGTTTGGCCGCTTCTCTTCGCCCCTTAGAATCGGGTGGATATACGCAACGGAAGCGCTCGACCGCCTTCCGTCGTCCGGGTTATAGCTCACTGAAAAGAACCCTACACTTGGTTTTAGGGATCCGGTTTGCGAAATTTGCTTATTGAAGTCATCAATGACCGGAATGTTCAGGGCAGAGCTGCATGAATCCACCCAATCTTTACACAACTGGTTGCGATGCCTTGCATGAACTGGTTGAATAGTATTTTTTAACCTATCCAACGCTCTCATGAATATGGGAAAAGTCCAGCCCCGTGCTCCCAACGATTGCCAAATATCCAGATCATATTGAAACGGTCTGAAGGAGATTAAGGTATTATGCGAAGAGCAGCCTCCCAAAACCTTTGCTCGCGAATGTCTAATATACGAGTTGCCTATAGGTTACGGTAAGATAAGAGAGTTGAGTTGTAGAATAGGAAGAGGGAAAAAAGAACTTACCCATAGGCTGCTCAGTGGTGCCATAGTCATAGTCGAATTCACCACCCAACAACTTTAACCATTGTTTAAGGTCGAGTACGCGATCATCCATAAAATCACTAGGACCAGCCTCAATGAGAAGGATGTTCTTGTCCGGTAGATACTCTGCTAGTCTCGCCGCGACAACACAACCCGCGGTACCCCCACCAACAACTACATAATGATACCTGTCGGAATCTGATACTGGGAGGTGCGTAGTGGTCATTTTGTTTCCGTGTTCTTTTCTCTCTCTTCTCTCTTCTTTCTTCCGATCCTTAGAACAACTGGAGACAGGCAAGCTAAACACGTATGTCAAGCTGCAGATCTTGTGATGTTACAAGTCAGTAAGATAACACTCTGCCATGTGGCAGTCGGGGTCTATTAATCTTCCAACCCCCCTCCCTCAACTGATACCATGGCAAAGCTGCCAAGGCGGATCGGGACTCGGTCAAGCGCTTTACAAAATTTCGATATATGGACCTGATAAGCTTGATCCTTCAAAATCATACCACTAGTATTACTGGTCCACGCGGTTACATGAGTTGTATACGTGCAGTAAAAGTCTTATGCGCAGGGGACGCAGACGCTGTAGGGGAAGTCGATAAGTCGATAAGTCGATCTGGTTGTTAGGCCTATTCTAAGTTGGGTAATGATAAGCCTCTTAGCCAACCCACCGACATACACAGTTTTATGTTAGTGTTCTTGGCTAATGCCAAGTTTGTATACATTAAAGGAATGTTGACCCGGCCGTCCGGCCGCCCTGCCGCCGTCTAAAGTTTGCTTGCCAACGAGTCAGGTACCGTTGGGCAACTAAGAAACCTTCTACCGTCACGAGGCGTCAGCTTGGAACAAACTGGAGGGGTTCGTTTCCGGGAGCCGCAAAGTGGCAACAACTCGCCAGCGCCGGACACACCGCGTTTTTTTATCCCCACTTGATGACGTTGAATTCTATCCGGGCCGACCCAATAAGTTCGTTGTTTTAGATCCTAACCTAGTTACACCGATAGCTTCATCCATACGCACCGAACTTACTTTAGTTTATATTCTAACAATATTTCGCATCAAGGAGGTCCCTGTTCATATCGAAGATAGCAACAGGTCCTTACCCTTTTTGCGTCTCAATCAACCTTTTAACCTTTTAATTAACATCACCAGCCACTCGTATCAAGCCTCAATACACATTACATACCTCTTTACTCGAAGGAAAGAAGTCGACTTACTAAGTGAAGAATCAACCGCATATACCAAGTCAGCAGCGTTATTATACCACGCTTTGCGAGACTATGGAGTTCAGGGATTTGGATCGTCACGCATTCTACGCGGGACACCCTCGGCCTCTAGCGCCATCTTCAGGCAGCTTTGAATCTATCGATCCATCGACCGGTAAGGCTGTCTGTAAGATACATAGCTCCTCGCCAAAATCAGTTGATGCCGCAATCCAATCGGCTCAGGAAGCATTTCCGTCCTGGTCTCGTACGCCACCTGTAGAAAGAGCACGTATTCTGCAGCAAGCCGTCGCTCTTCTACGCGAGTACAACGATGCCCTCGCGCGTGTTGAGACCATCGACACCGGGAAACCTTTCTCGGAAACTTCCACGGTGGATATCACGACTGGCGCCGATGTCTTGGAATACTTTGCAAGCTTAGTAGCCAGCGGCGGATTAAATGGCGAATCATTCCGCCTTCGGCCAACAGCTATGGTGTACACGTCTAAAGAACCCCTAGGCGTGTGTGCTGGCATCGGAGCCTGGAATTACCCAATCCAGATTGCCCTGTGGAAGTCTGCGCCTTGCTTGGCTGCCGGAAACTGCATGGTTTATAAGCCAAGCGAGTTCACGCCGTTACACGCCGAGTACCTGGCTGATCTCTACCGGAAGGCCGGCCTTCCAGACGGCGTCTTCAATGTCGTATACGGTGGCGGTGACGTCGGGTCCTACCTAACGAGGCATCCTGCCATCGCGAAAGTCAGTTTCACCGGACAAGTTAGCACCGGCATGAAAGTTGCCGGCGCTGCGGCTGGGGGGATGAAGTATGTGACCATGGAGCTGGGTGGCAAGAGCCCGTTAATTGTCCTTCCAGACGCCGCGGTAGAGCAAGCTGTAGATGTGGCGATGATGGCGAATTTCTTTAGCTCCGGCCAAGTCTGCACAAACGGAACAAGAGTCTTCGTCCCGAATTCGATGAAAAAGTCGTTTGAGCGTATATTGCTCGACAAGATAAAATTCGTTCGGGCGGGAGACCTTTTTAACCCGGCGACCAACTTTGGGCCCCTCAGCAGCAAGACACACTACGATAAGGTAGTCCAGTACATACGCCAGGGCATTGAGCAGGACAAGGCCACGCTACTCAGCGGCGGGCTGGAACAACCGGCCAACATACCTCCCGAGTTAAAAGAAGGTTACTGGGTCCAGCCGACCGTGTTTACGGACTGTACAGATGAGATGACCATCGTAAAGGAAGAGATATTTGGACCTGTGATGACCATCCTAACTTACGAGGCGGTTGACGAGGCGGTCCAGCGCGCCAACGCGACGGAGCTCGGGCTTGCAGCAGGCGTGGTAGGCCGTGACATCGATCTATGCCACAGCGTCATCTCAAAGCTCGAAGCCGGAATTACCTGGATAAACACCTGGGGCGAGAGCCCCGCCGAGATGGCAGTCGGCGGCTGGAAGCTCAGCGGTGTAGGAGTGGAAAATGGCAAGAGGGGGCTTGAGACGTGGGTTAGGAATAAGAGCACGTTGGTCGAGATGGGCGGAAGCGTGCCGACTTCGTTTTCGAAACTGTAAGCATTGAATTATGAAATAGTTAACGTGGGAGATATGAATCGTATAAGGCAGGTCGCATTGATTGTTCATGGTTTTCGATAGGGTTATAGGGAGGGATGGTTCGAAAAAGAGGCGAATTCTTTTTACCACCAGGTGATATTCATGTACATATCAACCAATTTTTTTTTGTTATCGCCACAATCAAGCTCAATGGAAAGCAGAGGAGCTCCTCCATATGTTATCGATCAATGAAAAAGAACAGTACAGGGAACAAGAAGGGATATTTCAAGGTTCAAGTAGACATGATCCTCTGTGTGTATATAAACTATCGCATGTTTTAACGAGATCACAGTACTCTGATAAACCTGAAGTATGTTAATACAACATGTTCTTTAAACAATAAAAAAAGGGAGGGTTCTAAGCAAGTTGTAAACCTCTAACATGACTCTTAAATAGATAGGTGATTATATTCCCTTTAACAATCTGAGCATTTAACAGGTACTTATCCGTATTACTAACATTGGAGACAGAGACTACTAGGTATCTACCTGTTGTTTACCGGATATTTTATATACCAGATATGTTATATACACGCCCTATGATTGCTCAAGGTTTGCGTAAGAGTTCGGAAGATACCTATTAAACCGCTACACTACCAAAAGGTAATAAGAGCGATGTCAACTCGAGGGGTTGTTGTTGCTGATATCTCCACCTCTAAGAACCCCACGGACATGACGATATCCTGATAGTTTGATTTCCTCTTTACATTATTATATCGAACCGGTGGAAAAACCATCTTCGTCTCCGTCATACCCTACGCTGACGTACCAACTCCATCCTAATTAGACCCTATCCTTATCCCACAGCTGGGCTCTAGGTTTCTTGGTATCATCACCATTTTGAAGCTAAGGATAAATGAATCTTTCTCCTGATGATTTGATCTTTACCCTTTAGCCCTCAACCTCACGCGTTTCGATGATCACGACATTAACGCTGTCGCCACCATGGTGCTTCGGGGTTGGAAAATAGGTAACGTCGTCTGAAGTCTGTTCCGCGGATCCGGTTCTCGCCGACGCGATGACTTTGTCCGCAAGGATAAAGAAGCATACGTTGGGAAGGCATGGGACGAAGACGAGGTATTTGATGATCCTGCCAACGGCCCGAGCAAGCTTCTTGCAGAACTTCACAAATTTACGGACTCTATGTCGAATATGTCTCGCGAGAAGACGCGTCTCAATCTCAAATGTCCCCGCTCGGGTGAGCCTTGGAAGCGTACTAATTGACACATGCCGTCGTAGTCCATCGTCATCGGAGTGTGCGTGGATCATGGTTGTGAAAATTAGGAGAAGTGTTACGTGCCGGTCTCCGAGTTCTGTCGGGAAACCTTATAGCTGTCAGAGAAAGCTGCCTGAGCAAGTGTCCATGGTGTAGATAGACACAACTACCTTAGGTCCCTACCAAGGTAGCTATTGCTTTATATATGCTGATAAGTATATCCCCTGTTGGGGCGAGGGCTAGTGCAGCGAGAACAATTCTCCCTGTGTCGGTATATGGATTCAGATCATCTCGATCCACGTTGCCGCGCATGTTTATTGCATATCTAAGAATGTGGCTTCTTCGGTCGAAAGCTTCTAGACCATCGGCAGACATGAATCTTTCTTGTAATTCTAAGACAAGTTGAAAATTTAAGTGAAATGTGCTCTGACTTATATGGTGAGACAAGCTCGGTTGTTTTATTGGCAACATATGTCGAGGCGAAAGTTTCAAGTATTCTGTCAACATACCTAACCTAGCTTAAATGCTAGGTATTTTCCAAGTTCTTTCCAAGTGATAGGTAATCACTATAACTGCATTGTTAAGGACTTATCTGGTGCCGGAAAGCTACCTAGAGGTAAATATATAACACCCCTTTTCCCGTTTGGTTTGATTACCTGGTATATATTGTATCAGAATGAAGTACAATCTAGGAGATTTGCGATATATGTTCGAGAAATGATAAATTACCAGTGGTAACAAGATACTAACGGCAAATATTCACAGGTCTAGGATCGAGACATTGAGAGAATTTCGACGCTCAAAAGCCCAGTCTCAGTAAAGAGCCCGAGTTCTGGGCTGGGATAATACCTATCCGAGAAAGCTAACAAGCACGGATTTGAAGCTAAAATAGGTAGCTAGATAAACTATATTTAATCTATAATAGAATTGCCATGTCTTTGTCTGGATGCTTGGGATACGATTTGGTCGTACCGAGTATTGTACCTAGGCGAGAATAGGGACCCCCTTCTGAGCACTTGTAAGTTGGAAGCTTCACTAGGTACCGTACGTGGCGGGAAAAGCTTACCGAATATAATCCATAACCACACTCACCAAAATACCAGGGTAGGTTAGGTATGCTTCTTGGCCCAATTTGGCTGGGATTCTCGTCTCTAAAGTTACGGTTTCCTACCTGCTGTGGTTTTCTTTCTTTCTGTTTTGTCTAATATCCATTTTCCCACAACTCCTTTCTATATGCCTCCGTGAGACGCTCGTCAGGGCCGTAGACTTCCTGCCAGCCGACGAAGCCTCTATCTAAGACGTAGACTTGCTGCTGCTTGGCCGCACTACCCTCCGTCTCAGCTTCCTTCTTCTCAGCGGCCGCTTTTACCGCAGCGGCGGCGGCATTTGCTGCTTCTTTCTCTCTGAGGTATCTGAGAGCAGCACTAGGACCGCGCTGCTGACTCAGAGCGCAATGGAAAACGACTATGTCCTTGTCGGCGAGCTTGCGCAGTAGAGTGGGCATGGTGGCGTCAAGGCTGCGGCTAGGAAAATGCAGGGATGACTTTATATGCCCGCCTATATGGTCTACGCAATGTGAGTAGAGGTTATGTGGGTAGGTCTACCCAGGGAGTAGATGAGACCTTACGTCTTTTCATTTTTTATTTCATTTTTTGAAAAAAGAAAAAAACATAAAAGAGTATAAGGACAGAATAGCACACATACCGTCATCTCGTACGTCCACGATGGCTATTGTTGCATCCGAGGACGGTGGGTTCGCGCTGGCAAGTAGCAGCTCAGCTAGCTTTGACGCTGTGATGCGCTGCAAGCTGGAGATAGTTATCATGGACATTTTGAGCATAACAAAAATGTATTTCGGATTTACGGTGGAAGAGAGGTATGGTAGCGTTAATGTTGAGATTGTTGGTTGACCTGGGTTGAAAGTTGAAATTGAGTTACCTAGGTAAACTTGAGTTGCGCTGATTTGAATTTGAAACCTTCGAAAATACCTCGCTTATATGAATAATATATGAAGATATTTAACTAACGAAAGGTACCTACCGGTACTCGGTATTTGGGCACCTACCTTAGGTACCTAAGGTAGGATTATGAAAGGGAAAAGGGGTGTAAACACACTGGCACAGTGCACAGTACGTGCTAATTGTTGTCAGGTTTGCATTTAAATATATGATACTCCATCAAAACCATGTCTCAAGGCCACATACCGTCCCACATGTAGAGCCAGCCTTCCCAGTACTTTTCGTAATTACCCACCAGATATGATAGTCCATCTCCTTCCGTACCAACCTTGTAAGGTCTCGTGTAGATACCCTCCGTCTTTAGGTGCCGCTTCATTGCTATGTATATCGAGAAACTACTTGGCATTGCGCCTACAAAGTAGTCACACCCCAGCAGCACGATCAAATCGATTAAGCCCTGCTGATCCCAACTCAACGACTCGAGCTCCTCTAGGTCTTCGTCCTCCAGTAGATCTATCTTGCTAACCACTCTCATCTGCGCCATCTCGATGGCCGCGCCTGCGAAATTCTGTGCTTCGAGAGAGTCTCCTGTAGCTATGTATGCCGTCTCAAAGCCTCGTTTGGCGGCTTGTTTTAGATAGGCCTCTGTCTGAGTGTTATATGTCGGCCAGAAACTTAAAGCGTCACTCTCGGTTCTCAAGTGGACGCCGAGGAACTTGCCATCCTCGACCCCGTTGGCCTTCGCGTACGCACGCATTTTTTGTAGCGTAACCTCCCCTAAGCGGAGCAGCTGCTCATTAAGTTTTAGGATGTTGCCGAACGTATTCACAAATTCGGGGCCATCGCGATAGGTCTGCCAGTCCCAGAGCACACCCCAATTGAAACGGATCAGGCGCGGATGATCGCGCGACGGCGGGGACTTTCCATCCTTGGGATCGTTCAGCCACCTGCGGAATCTATCACCAAAACGATCCGTATGACGATTCTGATCTCGCCAATCGCAACCTTCGCGATTCCCAAATTTCTTTGGTGTGACATGCTCAATATTAGGTTTGCTACCGACGCCGGGTATATCCTTGACGTTGTCGTAAAGGGTGATCTGAGGACAGTTGGTAGTCAAGGCATCTTTGAAGTGTTTCTCGTCGAACATATAATCCAGTGGAAGGTAATCAGTGAATAAATCGGCTAGGTCTGTCTCGTTGCGTTTTCGGATCTTGGGCATGACGAGACCTGTGGCGCCAGCTTCGAGTCCATATCGTATGCAAGTTTGTATGTAATTTCGTATGTTACCAATACCGCCGGAATTGTTGTCGCATATATAAACTAGACCCTCAACCCATGTAGCCTCGTTGCATACTCTTTGTAACGGCCAGCCGACAAAGGGCGCGTCAGGAGAAGATAGGTCGACATCGCCGTGGCGTAAAGGTGGAGGACTGTTAAAGGATGAGGGCGGCGACGATGTGGTACCTCGAATAGCTGATGTGTCAAGCCATCTGTCTATAGAATGCGTTGGACTTCGAAAGGTCCATATCGTGATAAGAAGAGCGATGAAAAGGGTCGGGAGAAGGAGATTTCGACGCGGCATGAAGCCAATGATTGTTTGATGGCCAATTACCATCGTGGAAAAGGAAACGGTCGCACCAGCGCGCGGGCCGTCGGGTTAAGAAATTACAGGTAGGTATGGTAGGAATGGGGAATGGGGGGGATGGGGGGAATGGGGATTGGAACGCGGTTAGCGGTTAACGGTTAACGGTTAACGGTTAGGCCATTAATAGAATGGTGGGTTAGAAATTGGGGTCTAGGAAGTTACTAGCTTTGCGGGTTGCAGTTCTGGACTACCTTACTTAACCTTAGGTACCTCATTACCTAGGTAGTGCCTAATGCACCTAAGATTGGCAGGGTTCATGGACACCTAAATGAGGTACCTAGGCCTAACCTAGGTACCTGAGATAATAGATAATAGCTAATCTTAGAGGTAGGTAGGTACGCAGTTATCTTGCTTCAAAGTCAATAGGCCTAGGTATATTAAGAGCTCTTAGACAAACTTGCAATCTCCAGTATGAGAAACAACTATATACAAGTTCTTATTTTTATTCCGCTCGAAAATCAAATACATTGTTTAGGTACCTCTTTAGGTAGGTACGCTATGGGAAGTCATACCAAAATACCAAAATAGGTACCTAAAATGAAACCAACACTCCATAAGCCCTCTCCGGCTTCAAACCATAGTCTGAACGATTAGACCGTTGTAACTCCGGCGATTTGTGTGGATTCATACCTATCTACTATGTAGAACCTGGCTGGCTGGAGCGGTGCGTGTACGTATTGTATATGCTGGCGATCCATCTCTTCTTCCTCTGTCTTCCCTTTCTTAGCAGTGCTAGTAGACGTGCTCATAGCATGGATGGATAGGTAACAAGCCCGCTGCTGCGAATATTCATGCCTTTGCAATCCAACCAGAGTTAATAAAGAAATCAAATATCCGGCTCCCTTTCTGCGAATCTAGCCGGGAAATCTCCTTCACTTGCTTCTTCTTCAGGGCACCGTTTCCTTTCAGACCTTCCTTAAATACCTGCTCTTTTATCATTAAATACGGCTTCGGTTGTATTCGGCAAACCTTGCACAGTTCTACCTCCTCCGGCGTAAGGAGATGTAAGTCGGGGGCGTTATCTTGCGTTAGCGCCAGCGGCTGCACGCCTGAAATGGGCTGTGCGATGAACTTTTGCTTCCCCGACACAACCGTCCCGTTGGGTGCAACGCCGTTGGTAATTCCATTCGTGTGGCCATTTGCGAGCGGTTTGGACTCGTCGCTCGCCGTGGCATCCGGGATGCTTTGGGGCGAGGCTCCGGTTGTAGCAGGTCTAAAAGGCAGCTCGGGTGCTACGAGCAGAGCAGCTCCGCTGGGTGGTTCCGGTTGAATGTTCTGCTTAGATCGTTGCGCAGAAGCTAGTCGTTCGCGGTCCATCGAACCCATAGGTATGGCTTTTTGTATCCGCTGAGCTTTCTCTTGCTCGTACTTCTCACCGCTGCGAAGGTCCCCAATCTTCATATTCCTCCATTCTTGTAGTTGCGCGATTGCCTGCCGCAGATTCAATTCGTCGATTAGGCCTTGGCAAAATGCCTCAAAGTCGTCATGATTCATCATGCGCGCAAAAGGCTTGGCCTTGTTCAGGAGGTCTCGCTCTTCTTTGGTTCTCTTCTTTTCCTGCTTGTTGTTTTCCCGATATTCGAGCAGATTGTGCTCGAAAATAACTTTCTTTCGTTCGACGCGCTGCGTTAGCCGACAGTTGTATATGTCCATAACCGTGAGTTTGAGTTCCATTTCCGGCTCCAGGTTTCCCGTGTGTGGGTTTATACCGTCGCCGGGGTCGAATTGCATCAGCTGGACAGCCTCTTCAGCCTCGTTGGCATACTCCGTCTCAAACTCGAGTCGGCCGGGCATATAACCTTGGATTTCGTGGCAGGAAGGTACGCTGGCGGTAGGTTTCGTCTTAGGTGGCATCGGCGGTGCGTTCTTCTGAGCCTCTCTCCGGTCCTCGATGCGTCGCTTTTTGCGTGCTTGGAATTCTTCCCGCGAGATTTCGTGCGTTAGTTCCATGTCGGATGGTTTGCACCGCTCCGGAAGTGGGAAACATGGTGAATTAACGTAGACCTTGAGGTAATGGTCTCGAACTTCGTCTTTGTGACGGTAGCCGCCAATGTGATCTGCAATATCGGCCCACGATCCAAGTCCATAAGTTTCGCAGCCTTCGAGGAGTAGCAATTCCTCATCTGCACCCCAGTCTCTATCGAAAATGGGGAAGGAGTTCTGCTCGATGACCTTGTAAGGATGAGTCGCTGGTTGGTGAGAACCGCTGGCGGCACCGCTAGAGAAGCACTGAACGCAGAGGTCGTACTCGTTGCACGCACTGTGGGCACATCTCATTCGGACCTGTGTAGGCGGAGAGAGTGGTTAGCGCTGATAGATGAGAGGAGAGTAGAAGAAGAAGAAGAAGAAGCGGTAGCAGTAGCAGTATTAGGAGTGGTGATAATGGTAGTGACTGTAATGGTGATGTGGTAGGCACGCGACAAGCACATACTGTAGAGGTAATATCCGCCGAACAGACGTCGCAAACGTATTTAGTACCGCTCTCACCACCTCTGGTGGCCGTCTTCTTGCGGATGACACCCATGTTGTCGTCCAGTGTGAAGTTCGGGATTACGAAGTCCGATTAGGAAGGACTCCGCAATTATCAATTATCAATTATCATATACGTTCGGTAACAGTAGACTAGATTGATAAGGGCACGGCTATGGAAGAATATAGTAGATGCGATCGGCCGAATGACGCGTTTTGAAGGCGGCGAACACCGGGAGTTGTTGTGGGTTATGATATCGCGCAACAAGGTGATGGAGGTTAGTTAGCAATAACGGATGAATGCTGTACGGGGTAATACAAGGTATGTACGATTCGTAGTATCGTAGTATGTTAGATGGTTAAACGTTAGGGGGACGTATCTGTAGTATGAAGCAAGCAGCTGGAGGTTGTAAATGGGGAATGCTTGCAGCCTGCTAGGTCATTGTGACAAATGGCGTCAGCTGCTTTTGACCCGAAAAGGTTGAGGCTCTTTTTAGTCACGTGGGGAAGCTTTAACGTGTAACACATTACCTATTACCTAACCTAATGTACAATACCTAGGTAAGTACCTAACCCACCTACAAGGTACATATGTACCTACCTACCCACCTAAGGTACAGTACCTATTCGGCCGACGTAACCACCGAGATAACCTCGCACCTGTCCAATTACATCATAGCATTCCAACATTCGGGATACCCCAGGCGGGGTCGTGACGGGTTTTCTTTTCACACCCACAATCCAACATATGTTAGCGTACTATGGAAGTATGTAGATGTCGTACAATACCCCGTCGACCTACCTACCTAAGGTTAGGAGGTAGGGAGGTAGGTATCGAACATCAAACAGATAGGTAATCTGGAATTCAATGGGCCGATACCTATCACATTCTGACATATAATACCTTACATCCTCTTGCTTTTCTTTTGAGGCAAATGTTTGCGCGCATTGTCTTCTTTTTCTTCTTTGAATGACAGAGCAGACTTCGTTGAATTTGCCCAAGCTTCACCTACCAAACCCTATATTGATCAACCAAAAATTTATAACGCAGTCTTTGCTTTTCCTCCAGTCGTTATGCCTGACAAGATTCTGGATGATATCTCTCATCGGCGCTACAATCCGCTAAAGGGATCATGGCTTTTGGTTTCGCCTCACAGAACGAAGAGACCTTGGCAGTAAGTGTGCTTCGTCACATTTTCGCTTCCTACGCGGAATAAAACTGTTACTTACGAGATCCTCATCTAGGGGCCAGCAAGAAGCTCCAGGGATCATCACTCTGCCTGAATATGACCCGAAGGTACGCAATTATTCTTCCATAACCCGACAATACTAGAGGGTTTGATCACTAACGGCATTGAAGTGCTACCTGTGTCCTAGGAACTCGCGAGCGCAAGGCGACGCGAATCCCGATTACAGCCAGACCTTTGTCTTTGTAAATGATTATAGCGCCGTGAAAGAGCAACAGCAGGATTATGTGGCAGAACCTTCAAGCGACGGTAATGAGCTCACCCCTAACCGCCTTTTAACTCACGAGCGAGATTAGTTAATCGCAATAGATATCGCCTCATTACTACTCCGTGCCGAGGGCGTTAAAGGCAAATGTTTCGTTCTGACCTTTTCGCCCAAGCATAACCTCACCCTTGCCGATATGCCCGCGCCCGAAACTCTTCCGATCGTCGAGACGTGGACGAGGATTTATGCCACCCACCTCGCACCGACCAATCCCCTTTCTCAAGTCGTTGCTAAACTCGATCTACTAAGTTGGGAGGCGCCTCCCGAGTCCCTAGTACCGCCACCCTCGCAGCAGTTCCGATATATGCAGATCTTCGAGAACAAGGGCGCCGCAATGGGATGCTCCAACCCCCACCCGCACTGCCAAATATGGACAACTAGCACACTGCCGGAAGAACCAGCCGCAGAAATTGTCCAGTTAACCAAGTACAGAGCCGAGCACCAAGGGCGTCACCTGCTGGACGATTACGTTAAGCTAGAGCTGGAGAAACAGGAGCGTATCGTGTACCAAAACGAGTCCTTCTTGGTCGTCTGTCCATGGTGGGCAATCTGGCCATTCGAAGTCATGATAATCGCCAAGCGGCATGTCCGAGCATTAGTGGACCTGACCAAACAGGAGAGGTTCATGTTTGCTGACGCGATACACGAGGTAACGAGGAGATACGACAACTTGTTTGAGACGAGCTTCCCTTATAGCTCCGGTATCCATCAAGCTCCGCTGGACGGTACGGAGGAGGAAATCGAAAATAGCTGGTTCCATATGCATTTTTACCCACCTCTATTGAGATCGGCCACCGTAAGAAAGTTCTTAGTTGGATACGAGTTGATGGCAGAACCGCAGCGAGACATAACTCCCGAACAAGCCGCGGCGAGATTGAGGGATTGTGCGGGAGAACTATACCGGAAAAAGCTCCAGTAGTTGGAGAAGGACGCCCAAAAGAGATATCAACTCAAAAGGTAACATGGCATTAGATATTTATACCTACCTAGTTGGCAGGATACATGACAGAACCTCATAGCCTTGATATTATGAATGCGTCCCGCACCAGACTTGTTGATTGCACATATTGATTACCGAGTCATATTGCTGATGGCATGTTTCCCTTACGCTTCGACGTAGAAGTTGTACTGGCTAATCATCCACACAATACCGACGGTAGCGAAAAAGAAGGTCGACACGACCGGCCCCATGTACGCCGTCTTGTAGATAGCGAATTCGGAGCCGAAGTGCACAAGCGCGACGACGTAAGTCCAAATAGTCATCTGGTAGACGGGAGCAAGGTGCAGATTGTAGCTAGCGTAAAGACGCACAATAGCCGAAACGATAGTATAAGTACCGAATAACCTGGCGGCGAGCGGGGTGACCTGATCTTGGGTACGCCCGGCTTTGGGATTGGACGTTGCCGACGCGGGGACAAGTTTTCGAGTCGAGTCTTCCGGATCGAAGGTATCAGACTTGGGGGATAACGAAGGGTTCGGTACGAACTGGCCGTTATAGAGGCGTCGCGAGAAGTGCAACGTTATATAATTCTGAACAGCATTTCCAACCGCGAGGATAGACGTCTGCGGTTTTGATCGGTCAGTGGGGAGGCAGCGAGGCGGAGAAGGGAAGGAGAGAGAAGAAAAAGGGGGTAAGGGATAGGTTAGGTAGAGTTGCAAGACGAATTCTTTTTCATACCAGCGTCATATAATATGGTAAATAACCCTTCGCAGGCGGAAGATATTCTTTCAAGAAATCCATAACTGGAACTGATTCCTCGGTGGATCCTAAGACTTTTTGTGGCGACCGAAGACGTTTGATAGTAGGTAGGCTTTAGGTTAGGTAGATATATATAAGAATAGAGAGAGAATGTGTGAGAGGGAGAAGGCCGTCAAGGTGCTTCAAGTAAGGTCCATAGCCCCGGGTACCTTAGGTAGGTTAGGTACCTGTTTATGTTAGTATTGTAGTGTACCTACCTCTAGGCTAAGTATTGTATTGCACCAAGCTCTAGGGTTGGCCACTAGCACAGGTACCTATCCACCTTAGCTCCGAATCGATTTTCTTGGGCTCGGAAAACCCCAACAGCACGTCAACACACAATACCGATAGCACTTAAATCTTACCCTTTTTTTCTACATATTCTTTTCCTGTCTATCTACCGTAGGATAGGATAATCTTATACTTACCTAAGGTATTTAACAATCCCTCAAAGGTACTTAACCTATCGTACCTCATTTTATCCAACATGGATCTCGTCAGCGAGGGTCTCGCTTCCATTCCGCAGAGCGTACTGTTAGCCTTCGCAGGGCTCGGAGCTCTCTTTACAACTTTTAAAGCGTTAAGCTTTCTCCGTTTCTTTTTGAGCACTTTTGTTCTCGGTGGTACTAATGTAAGTCTCTATCTACGCAATATCTAATGTCCCACTCCCTCTTACGCTGCGTATCTCGCTGACGCTTGTGATTCCTACTGTTCAGCTGAGGAAATATGGGAAAAAAGGTACCTGGGCTGTTGTGACGGGTGCGTCCGATGGCTTAGGGAAAGAATTCGCTACCCAACTCGCTGCTAAGGGCTTCAATCTCGTCCTAGTATCTCGGACCTTGTCCAAGTTGGAAGCGTTATCACAGGAGCTGGAGAGCAAATATGCAGGGCTGCAGACGAAAGTACTCGGCATGGATTTCTCTGCTGACGACGAGGCCGACTACGCCCGTCTTGCCAATCTAATTACTGGTCTCGACATAGGCATTCTTATCAACAACGTTGGCCAGAGTCATCATACCGCTGTCCCTTTCCTGCTCACCGAACCAAAGGAGATTCAAGACATTATCACTATCAATTGCTTGGGCACTCTTAAGGTCACCCAGCTTATTGCCCCGGGGATGCAAACTCGCAAGCGTGGATTAATTCTCACGATGGGTAGCTTCGGCGGATGGATTCCGACCCCTTACTTGGCGACTTACTCCGGTAGCAAGGCGTTCCTGCAGCATTGGTCCTCGGCTCTCGCGGCTGAGCTCAATTCGAGCAACGTCGACGTCCAGATTTGCCTCAGCTACCTTGTCACGACAGCGATGAGCAAGGTACGACGCCCTAGCGCACTTATTCCTAGTGCAAAACAATTCGTGCGAGCTGCCCTGGGCAAGGTGGGATTGGGAGGCTGGCAAAGCGTGGCATATACTTATACACCGCATTGGAGCCACGCACTGATGGCCTGGGCTGTCGAGAGTACTCTGGGCGTTGGTCACTGGCTCTGCATCTGGGTCAACTTGAAGATGGAAATGGATATTCGAGACCGCTATCTGAAGAAAGCAGCCCGAAACGCCAAGAAGGAATAATCCAGCTCGACGCACAGCTCGACGCGGATTATGAAGGGTACGGCCGTGGTTTCAATTATAATTTTAAGACGACGAGGTGAATTCGAACGCCTTTTTTCAGACGTCTTCTATTTCGTCGGTATGCATTACTAGGTAGGTAGTTTGCATATTAACCTAGGTAGGCGTACCTTACCTGGTAGTTAAAGTATGTCGATACAGGATGATTGTCAAATTCAAGCACCGTAATTTAGCAGAAGTATTGAACTACAAGAACAATAAACGCACCTGTTGGTTGTTTTAAGTAACCCGTTATTCGAATAGAGGTAATAGGTAGGTAGGTAGGTACCTACCTAGTAAATAAGAAACTCGCAGCTTCAAGTTGGTGTTATGGTGACACGAAAGTTAGATCGGGTTAATGGCACATTTCTAACGTCTTAAATAGCATTGTGTGCTGAGTACGGGCCAATGATTGAAGTGAATGACGTTGCTGTTTGCTTGAGGAAAGCATTTAACCTTAGGTAGATTCTTGCGTAAAGCAGGTACATGTTATGCGGTACCCAGCACATTGTCCCACTTTATCGGCATAGCTTGAAGCTTTGATTGGGACTAGGGCCGGTGAGTCGCGACAAGGAAAAAAAAAAAAAAAAAAAAAAAAAAGGACTAAACTAGCTAGCAACCTCAGCAACCAAAGCAACGAAAGTGGAAGCGCGTGCCATCAAAAGCTTCCCGCTTTTGAATCTAGAAAAAAAAAATAAGCTAAATATATCATATTTCCAACATCGGCTTTTTTTCTTCCCCCCTACCGCCCTTCCCTCTCTAATACCTACTACTAAACCTCATTTTTTTTTTAAAATTAAAAATTGAGACTTGTCCAAAGCTGATAAGGAGTTGGTAGCTGCTAGCTGCTAGCAGCTGAGAGCAACTTGCGCGTTCCTCGTTTTTCTTTTCCAAGACAACCTTCTCTTGATTTTACAAACTTGGGGAATTTTAGGAACGGAATTACAAAGAGGGAGTATATAACTCGTGGTTCTCCCTTCTTCTATTTTCCATTGCCCTCACCCGTCAGCATTCTGGAGGGAACCAAGCTTGGATGTTGCCATTGATGATCCGATAGCAGCTCGATGCCTTGCCTGCCTGCATTGGCTCTACCCTTTCATCCTGATTGATTAATCTTCTCCCCTCCTCCTTCTTTTTTTCTCCTTCATCATTATTAGCGCCTGATCTGTTGCATCCAAGCGCATACATACCATCGCGATGTCTTTCCCACAGACGCCTTCTCATTCGTTACCCGGCGCCTTCTTGCATACACCCGCCGTTGCATCGCGATTCAATGCTCAGCAGCAAGATCCGGTTCGCCGCCGTCTCTTCCAGACTACACCATCTTCGAACGGTGAAGCCGCAGGTTTTGGTCAAGGTCAAGGTCACGGCCTCGGGCTTGATGCTCCCACTCAGCCTGCTGAAGAACAGACTATGCGAACTGGACTACAAGCTCAAAATATGCCTCCTCAACCACCCCTAGCTAAGGCTGCTTCTTATATTAACAATGCTCTGGCCAAAGATGCGGATTATCCGCAGCTTGATTCTTACTGTAGACGTGAGTAATCTCTTATACAACCCTGCTTGACAAGTTTGATTCTGACGACCTCACCTGCTGCAGAGATATCTTCCGACTACGATCTAGCTCGGGATGACTCCACCTGGGCTCCTTTCCAAAAGACAAATATGTATCCCATCCCTCAAAACGTTCTCGAACAGTATAACAGGGCCGAAGTATCCACGATGATGGGGTTATTCGCCGAGTTAAATCACGCCTGGGTAACGATTGACAACTGCCTCTACCTTTGGGATTACACGCACCCCAATCCGGAACTCACTGGCTACGAAGATAGCCAGCATAGCATCACCGCCGTGAAGCTCGTTGCCCCCAGACCCGACGTGTTCAACAAGATTATTACGCACATACTGGTCGTAGCTACGACCTCGGAGATGTTTCTTTTGGGAGTCGCGGCTAGAGATGCTCCTGGTGGTGCCAAGACTATTGATCTTTACGGCACAAAGATGTCTTTACCCCTGAAAGGTTTAGAGGCGCGCGTTATAGCAGGCTCTGCGGACGGTCGTATATTCTTCTCCAGCCAAGCCGATACCGATATCTATGAGCTGAAATACCAACAAGAAGAGAAATGGTTTACCAATAGGACTGAAAAAATCAACCATACGTATCGCCCATGGACTGCTGCAGTCCCTAATCCATCACAAATCCTCTGGGGAAGAACTTCGAATGAGCATATCGTGGATATCGTCGTGGATGATAGTAGAAATCTACTTTACTCTCTTTCTAATACGTCGACAGTACGAACTTACCATATGGAGCTACCGAACAAGCTCACTAAAGTTATCGAAAAGACCAAAGATGACTTTTTACGTGATATCGCCCACGTTCTTAGTGTCGTGTCTCCATTGCTTACCGAGCGAATGGATATCGTGTCGATCAGTCCCATTTCCGCCGTTGAAGATTTCAAGGTCCATCTAATGGCCGTAACAAATACGGGATGTCGTCTTTTCATGAGCGCCACCAGTGCCGCCTCGTACATGCTCAGCTCTTCGAACCAAGCGCCGCAGAGCATGCAGCTTCAATGCATCAAATTCCCCCCGTCCGACCAGCGACGGTCTAGGGTCGACCGGTTTGGAGGCCTTGTCGAGCAGGTCGATATCCAAGGAAAATCTCTCGAGACAAGCCGGCGAGGAATCCGCTTCCCCCCAGGCTACTTTTTAGATTTTGTGACGAAGACGGAGCAACCCAACGGAGATCTCTTGTTTATCTCGGCCCCAGACTGCGGACGGATCAGCCACGGCCGCCAGACTCAGAACATGCGGTATTATGAGCATGCCAATTGGATCGAAATCGGTAGTAGAGCTGAAGATGTCGGTCTGGTTACCAAGCCTTTCGCCGCGACTGCCCAGCCCCAAGGCTTCGGGAATGAGCTGGCCGTTCAGTTTGACGATCCCAACGGTAGCGAGTTCGCTATTTTAACGAACACGGGAATACATGTGGTGCGGAGGAGGAGATTGGTGGATATATTTGCCTCAGCCATTAGAGCTGCCGCCGGTGATGATGGTTTAAAGACCGAGGTGAGCAAGTTTCGCAGTGCTTATGGTCACGTCGAAACTATCACGGCTGCACTAGCTGTCGCGTGTCGCCAAGGAGATAACGGGCGTCCTGGCATCGCCCGCGGCGCCATCGACCAGGCCGCGCAGGACCGGGCGAAGCAAGTTTATATCAACTTCGGCGGGAATCCCAGACTTCCCGAGCAGGATGGGCAGCCTGCGACGGTTGAAATGGTACAACCTTCGACTCGGCATGCAGCTTTGACTCTGTATCTTAGTCGACTTGTCCGATCACTATGGAACTCGAGAGTCGTTGGACTAGGAACAGACGCAAGCGGCGCGCTAGCGATAACAAGTGTCATTCCAATTGATAAATTAAAGGAAGTGCAGGCAAGTGTGGAAAGCTTAAGAGCTTTCTTGGATGCGAACCGGTCATTCATTCAAGGTCTGTCGGGCCCCGCGGATCTACGTAGAGCCGGAAGCAAGCAAGAGGAACTAGGCTTCCAGGGTGAACATCAAGCTATGCGTGCCCTTGAAACGTTGATGATGGGTATTACTGAAGGCATATCTTTCGTAACGACGTTGTTCGACGAGCGAGTTACGGATATATTTACTCGTCTTGATGATACTTCGCGGCAGCAGCTTCGTGATCTCACGTATGAGCAGCTCTTCTCTCAGGACAGTGGGAAGGAACTCGCAAAGGTCCTGGTTAAGGCTATTGTCAATCGAAATATCGAGAATGGATCCAATGTCGAAACCGTCGCGGACGCTCTCCGTCGCAAATGCGGTAGTTTTTGCAGCCCCGATGACGTAGTCATCTTCAAGGCTCAGGAGCAATTAAAAAAGGCGTCCGAACCGTCTCTCAATCCCAACACCTCCCGCACTCTCCTTCACGAGAGCTTGAGGCTTTTCCAAAAAGTTGCGAAAAGCCTTACACACGCGAACCTCGAGTCTGCTATCGATCAATACGTCGGTCTGAGGTATTACGCCGGTGCCATTCAGCTCTGTCTCGTCGTTGCGAGCGAAAAGGATCGGGGCAATGCCGCCCTTTCCTGGCTCAACGACGGCAAGCCCGCCGGCGACCCAAGAGCAAAGTTCTTTGATCAACGTAAGGTTTGCTACGACCTGATTCACCGTGTTCTCCAGGATCTCGATGCGGCATCAGCCCGGGAGCCGGAAATGATCGACGGGAAACCGACACTGATAGCAACTAAGCGTGCAGAGGCTTACGATGTCGTCAGCAGCTCTTCAGATGAAGTTTTCCATTTTGATCTCTATGAATGGTATATACAGCAGGGGTGGACCGACCGCCTCCTCAGCATCGACTCGCCGCATGTCACGACCTTCCTCCGCCGTCTAGCTTCCAAGGATGTCGATCATGCAGACCTCCTTTGCAGATTTTATACCATGCGCAAGCAGTACTTCGACGCCGCCAAAGTCCAGGCCGAACTTGTGCAGTCCGATTTCCCTCTTTCCATCAAGGATCGTCTGACTTTGTTAAGCAAAGCGAAGACTAATGCTAGCGTTATGACCGCTGGGGTTAGCCGACAAGAACAGCAGCTCCTTAACCACGAGGTAACGGAACTTCTCGAGGTGGCCCACATCCAGGACGATCTACTAGAAAGACTGAGAGTAGACAGCAGAATCCCAGCGGAACGCCAATCAGAGATTGAGAAGACTCTGGACGGCCAAATCCAGCCTCTGTCCGAAGTGAGTATTTCTTCCCCCCCCTTCTCCTTGTTGAACCGTTCGGGATGTTAGGTTTATAGATCATTTTCGAAATTGCTAACTTGTGTCAATAAGCTCTTCAACGGCTATGCCGACCAAGCCGGTTACTATGATCTCTGCCTGCTAATTTATCACGTTGCTGACTTCCGAAATTCCACCACAATTGCTCAGACTTGGAGCAGTCTAATCCAACAGACCCACGAGAATGTTGCAGACCAATGGTCAGCATACGATTCAGAGCGCCGCAAGCGTGGAGCACAGGCAGGAGATCCGCCCCCTCAACCGTATGAAGTGCTAGTGGGCCAGATCCAAGACATTTGTCACCGCTCATCTAACGACTCTTTCATATTCCCCGTCCCTACTCTTCTACCGGAGATCTGCCGCTACGCTTTCGAGAACGCACAAGATAGAAGAATCGCTGCGGATGTTAACTGGCCAGTGATCGTCTTCCTCAATTTGGGAGTGAGCTTCGACCTCGTGGTTCGCGTTCTCGAGCAGATGTTCGAGGCTCAAGAGGTGCCCTTCCGTGGAACTGGTCGCGCCAGGATCGTCGAATGGATTACGTATGCCGTCAGCCAATGGATCCGTGATCTGAGCAGAAACGGCCGTCCGGAGGCGAGGTTGGAACCTTGGATTAGCGACTTGATTATGGAATGCGAAAATTGGGTGTCAACGAATTTACGAACTATCAACGAGGGCGGCGCGGACATGAAAGACATTGCACGGAGCCTGAAAGAAGTAAAGCGATCCGTGGAGGGCTTTGTCGTATCACCGGTAGCAAATAGGAGTATGGGTTTCTATTGAGGATAGGTAATCTCAGTGTGATGTCTTGCTGGGAATTTGGAAGCTCTAGATAATATCAAGTGGCTTGGTGCGTGCCAGGTGTTGGAATAACAGGGCTCGCGCTATACAACAGGATTAAAAAGAAAGTGATAATAGGCGTCTCGGCATTCTCGGCATTCTAGTATATGAATACTACGCGTCCAATGCGTTATAGCAAATTCAGATCCGAAAAGGCTAATGCTAGTTATTCTCGTGTAAAGGATAGGACAGAGGAATAATACAAGTTGAAAGCATGGTTAACCGAGCCTCAAGTGCGGGTGATGTCTTATGACCCCCCTGATAAGTCAATATCAGTCAGTTGTTGGCCCTCGAGGTTTGCTACTCATACCGAATTTTCTAAGACATAGTTACTATTAGGGTACGAACTAGCTTTATAATTAGGATGTGGTCCGTGCCTTAATAGTAACTGTTTCTTAGAAAATGCGGTACTCCAGCTCGGAGACTTTCCGGAGACTTGGTCCGCGTAGTATAGTGACTCTGCGGAGACTTTCCGGATACTTGGTCTGCGTAGTATAGTGACTCTTCGGAGACTTCATTGAAGGACCCGGCGGCTGACTTGCGTCTATAAAAATACGCAGGGAACGGACTGTCTAATAATATGAATTCCAGAAAGACAGACTCGTTGTGTCTAGAGACATTGCGTATTAAAATTCAACGCGAACATAATTCTTATTACTAGTTGCCTACTGCCCATCATGGCGAGTGTTGTACAGAAAGAACTGCAAAAGATCTTCAGAAGCTTCGGAGGTGATGTTGCCGATGAAGAGTTAGAACGAATGATCGCAGACTCAGACCGAATCATGAAAGGTCTTGCTGGGCTGTTGCTTTCGGAAGCGGGCCTCGACGAGTCGACGAGCAAGCCGTTCGCACTCCTCGACAATGCTTGTGGAATAGGCCCCGTTTCAGCGCATTTGCAGGACCACGTTGATCGAAAATTGTTGTCAGAGAGTAAAGTGGTTTGTGCCGACTTCAATGAAAACTTGGTAAATATATTGAAGAGGCGCGCTGAAAAGTATCATTGGATAAACGTCGAGACTGCCGTGGTTGATGCTCAGGTACGTCCATACTACATCCCAAATGCCCTTAGCAATTGATGTCTGACCTTGGTCCTACAGCAATCGGACTTCGCAACCGATTCTTTCTCTCACGTAACTATCAATTTTGGTATGCACATAATCCCAAAGCCGGAGGCTGTGCTAGAAGGTATGTCCTTATATACCTTATAAAGTTAGTGTTGAAGAACCGCCACTTATACATTACTACGCAGACACGATGCGAATCCTTAAACCAGGTGGCGTATTGGCTTTTAGCACATGGCACAAAGATAGCGAGGGACCCTTCTCCGATCTGAGGTCAAGCTTCGAGGCGCTGCCGTTTGACGCACCGATGCCCAACCCCTTACCCATGACGCCCAACGGGAAACCCCAGTGGGCGGACCCGGAAGGCGTGGAAGGAGAGCTGAGGGCTCACGGGTTCGTAAATATCAAGGTTCAAGCTGTACCTCACCTGGTCCGCGTGAACAGCGCCGAGGATTTTCTCCAAATGTATAGAACGAAGAAGGAGTGGATGGTAAACGCGTACTGGAACGAGGATAGCAAGAAGAGAGCGCAAGGCATGTTGGACGAACACATCTTGAATCATCTCAAAGAGAAGTACAATGGCGAGGGATGGGACGTGAGTTGGACCGTGGTCCTAGCTACTTGTGAGAAGCCTATTTAGCGAAAAAGGGGGTTAGGGGATTTGGAGATGATGGGGTGCTCATCGGCAGAATGGTCAAAATGGTTATATCAGATTTAAGTAAGAATTGTTACCTGTTACGAGCTCACGCTTCGAGGACCTTTTAACACGATCTATTAAACTTTTTAGAATTATAAGATATAAGTATTTATTTGCCTGTACAGTACCTACCTTTTATCCGTATATAAGTGGATTGATACCTCCTAGGTACCTCCAGGTGATGTTAGGTACGGTTAGGTACTCAACAACCTTGGAGGTAGGTACCTTAGCTAATCGATAACTAAAGCTGCTAAGGTGCGCAGGTACGTACCTTTTTATATTTCGTAGAGGATCGCCGTTTTTAATGTGTTTAATGGAAACACACAATCTACAATTTGTCGTCCAGCCCTTTGTCCTTCATTTCATTTCTATGGGTTTTACATGTTTTTACGATTCTCATGTTTTCGCGATAGGCGTAGACAGCCATTAGTCTAATTAAAATTCGACATGTCCTTTCGACGGCTTCAGCATTAATACCGTAACCATCCAACTATGCCTTTTATTGAGCGCCTGATCCTAGGCGCCTTGTCTCTCTTGCCGTTAGTCATAGCGAGCGCAAGTTTGAAAGAAGGCGTTTTACCGTCTTACCACTATGGCGCACCGATTGCTGTGGAATGTATGAATAGGAGCGTGTAAGTTGGACTTCGCGCGACCACTGACTAGGGCATATATCATACATATAACTTTGACTTGCTAACCCCCATGTTTTTCAGAGAAACTGGCGAACACATCCAGAACTCCAAGGACGAGATCCAGTGGATTCCTTTTCCAATCTGCAATGAGACTGGTAAACCTCTCGAGTTCGGTTACGGCGTCGAAGGCGAAATGAACTGTACTATCCCTATGATAGACGACCCATTCTTTCATCTACTGGAGTTTTATATCCACAGCGACGCCCCCCTTGCTTGCCGTCTTCCCGCTCGCCCTCCCGCCCACGTCGAGATGGTAGGCGAGAAGCCGTATGAACAGGAGTATATACCGCTTGTATTTGCCTTAGCTGGCACTTTGCAGCTGAGCCATCTGCATATCAGCACACATCTCAATATCCTCCTACATAGTACACCAAAACATCATATCCATCCGCACGATAGCGGCGTGCTGGACAGCGGTGCTGCGTATAGCACAAGCCCACTCAGCCATATGGAGGGTAGCTTTACGAAAAGGCTAGTTATTGGCGACCCTCTACCTCTGAGTTTCAGCGTTAGATGGTTTCCCACCCCGTCACTTCCTAAGATCGAGGGCAAAGTCGAGTGGCAGGGCATGGGTGGGCATATCTACGCTAGCACCGTCTTTTACGCGCTTGTATCCTTCATCGCCGGCGTTTTGGTTTCCGGCGTCTATTTCTTTGGCGTCATCCTCCCTAAACGATTGAAAGGTCGCGGCCTTGGAGGTGCTACGCCTCTAGCTTACGGGCTAAACGGCGTGGGGAATGGATGGGGCTACTCAAAAAGGATGGATTGAGATGGTTTGGCATAGCTCTTAGACGTGGGAACTTTTGAAATCTTGTAAATATTATGACGACAAGGGACCGCGCACAGTATGGCCTCGAGGATTACCGGTTGTATTAGATATATTAGGTACCTGTTACAGCGATGATACCAATGGAAGTGGAAAGGCAAGCTACGATGCGCCTTGGGTAGCCATAATTAACGAGCCGTCAATATCTGTTCTCCTTGTTTCCCAATGACTACTCGTAACGTCAGTAACTGCGCATTTCGGATCCTATCTTCGCTACTACTGAACTTTCTTCCTAGTATCAAGAGCATTAAAGCGATTTAGCAGCCGTGTATACATATCGGCGCTCAGTATGACGGCTATTCTATAGTTAGCATATCGAGCATGGTTAGGCATGTGTTTGACAAGTATTAAACTGACCAATGGCAAGATATCCTCCGTATAGGCCACATAACAGTACCACTTTCTGCTCGGTGGTCACCACAGCCGGGTCCCATAGGAATGCTTCGTACATGCAGGTCGCGGTAGTCAACGCCGTTTCGATGCCATATACAAGGAGCAACAATTCGGCACTGCCGTTCAATCTACCGCTGAAGAGCGCACGGACTGCCCATAGGGAGACCGGCAAATGAAAGACGAGCTCCAGGAAGGCAAATAGAGGAAAAAAGCTCGGGATAGTTGCTGGCGGCGGTGCGAAGAACTGATCATTGTAGGCATTTATATAATAAACACGTAACTCGTATAGGAAGTGAAGTGGTGACGATGTTGGGACCCAGAAGGATGCTGGGTAAAGGGGTACAAGATCAACACCTGTGGATGTTAGACGAAAGACTTAAGAAGCTAAAGGAGCGTGTGATTTCATATTGATTATATATGAGGGAAAATGAGATGGATTGATTAAGCTAAAGGACATAAACAGTTAACATTAGGTATGCTTACAGAACAAGATCGGAATATGGATGAGAAAATACACAAGGTAGACTCTGTCCAACCATGGCCTCGTTGAAGACATTCTGGAATACCTATTAGGTAAGAGATGGTTATTTAATTCAATTAGTAGTAAGATGTGTTTAATACTATGTGTAAGTTGAATAGAAGCTATAGCGTGACCTTAACTTGGGTATAAGTTGTAGTTGTCGGTGTGAGAGCCTCGTAAAAATTGTAGCCAAGGTTATCAAAAAAATAGAGCTTGGAAAATGCACAATGTGCGAGATCAACCTGAAACTGTCCCCTTACACTGTGCACAATAAACAAACCTCACCTAATAAACAATGTGGTACTACCTTAGGTTAGATACTCACTCGACCCAGCGGTTCTACTGTACTTTTCTTGTTCAGCGTAATAATCCTTAAGAGGGCTTTCGCTTTGGCGGAATTTCTGGTCCTTAATCTAGGCCAGATACCTACCAGGTAGTTGTGTAGTAAAATGTCGAAGTTTCTGGGGGGATGTAGAATCTGTATTATAGGGGGTAGGCTTCAAAAATCAACCGAGACAACTATGAGATACGATTTGTTTCTTGCCAGCCATTTGTTAAGTTTATTATTGTTAACCCGCTCGACCTAGTTCATTCCTCTCCACGCCACCACGGTGTGAATTCTGCTACCCATAAGCACCCAAAAAACACGGGAACCATGGCTATCAAAAGCCACCACAGTTCAATGGTAAGACGAGAGCGGAGCCACCGCTTAATCCGAAATCTGAGCTGGCGTTGATGTGCACATTGTGCTGTCCCATACACGAGACATCCTAAACCCGGACGGGATTCGCATTCAACATGTTCGCGGCGGCGCTGCATAAGCAACCTAAGGTCTGTAGTTAGCAAGGGCACTTCTCGCCAATGCCTTTATTCAGGTGAATAGAAAGCCGCCGCCCTGACACTTTCGCTTCCAAGTACATGGCGTTGCTCTTACCTGACGCTGCCTCTGCAGAACTTAAGATCGCTTCCTAGATCGCAACGACGGTCGTTCGGACATTCCAAGTGCAAGCTTCGACGCTCAATCAGCCAATCCACCTTGAGCTTCAGCCCAGTGTCAACTAGGCAGTAGAAGTATCTGCTGACATGTTTCAGGGACAAGGCGTCAGGATACGTGAGATGCCGGCTGATTAGGAGATGTATTTCCGGTGGTAGACTTTCAAACCCTTTTGCCCCGCTAGAAGGGGGTTTGGTAAGGGGTCGATCCTCTAGACCTGATCGGAACACACGGCCACGACGGACGATGTCCATTTTCTTAGGGGAATCGTGGTCTTTTTATTAATATAGAGCCGCTATCAAATTCGAGTACTGAAATCACAATATGAGCGTGTTAGGAGATTTCATATGCTAGGCAGCCAACCGCCTGCGAAGCCAAAAAGATGTGAGTGAAGTTTAATATATAGGTATATAAAAAAAGAAGAAGAGGAAAGTTATATTAGTTGTCCTGTATTATTCTGCTGCCTAAACATGTGGTTATCTCGAGTCAGATCCAAGGAAAGAAGAATCGTGTTTTGAAGAATACCATCCGAATTTACAGGTAGTTTAACTGTTTTGTTCCGTAGTAGTTAATGGCTGTAGACTCACTCGAGACGGAAGGGGACAAGTGGCGATATAATTGCTAGGCACCAACATAATACGGGCAACATAACTGTTTCCAACCGGGCCGTACGGCTTTAGGAAGGTTACAAGATGCAAAGTCAACTCTAGTATACGAGATGGAGGACTAGGGGCGTACTACTTAAAAAAAAAAAAAGGGGGGGTAAAAAAAACTGTTATAAAAGTGAATTGAGTTGAAAGTTGGGCGAATTAAATTGAAGAATGTTGAGCTGCAGACTACGGCGTGCAGATGGTGTTTTGAAGAGTTGCTCGCTATTATCTTTAGGTACTGTACAATATTATTCCATTCCTCACCCCTGTTTCTTGCTGCCTGCAGGTTCATGAGTACCTACATAGATGTCCCTGTCCCATGTGATAACGCGATTTCAGGACTGCACGATTGCTTTAGCGCGTTCAGAGCCGGGGATAGAACGCCTGTAAGACAGTGGGCCCCTGGCTCCAGCCTCCACCTACGCCTATCTAATTACATCCAATTATATTTGAATAAACATCGAATCATCATCATCATCATCATCATCGAGGTGTTCACTTTCAATGCCGTCACCTCCCATAACTTGACTTGATCAATGACTCGATCTTCGCCGCCGCCGGCGCTGCATTAGCTAATAGCTCATATTCCCCCTTTCTAACATCTATCATAGCGTAATGAATGAGCTACGTCTGCCAGTTAAAGAGCTGATACCTACCTCCTACTCATGGCTTCCTCGTCTACCCCCACCTTGAATGGTGATGGCGACAACGATGGCGAAAGCGACTACGGGTCTGATTTTTCTATAGGGGAGGAAAGTATTGTAAATAAGCTTCTCGAAGATATTGGAAATAATACTTCAATTCTCAGCAGCCTTACGACTACCGCTCCCAATTATAGGCAATTTGTCTCATCCATTGCCTCACCCACAGATACTATCGCTACCAGTACGAGTAGCTGGTCTACCCCATCCGCGTCGCTCCGACTGGACAATAAGCACCATGCATCGGACTTGTACGCTCTGTCCGAGAATGTCCCATCCGCTAAGGTTCAGGAACCCGGGGCTGGTCAGAAACTTCCCAACTATATCCCGTATGTGACACCGTCTTTGCCATTAGGTAGCATTCAGTACCCAAATCGTGAGTTCTACACAGCACAGATACATTTGCGTCTACTTAAAGTCACGTCTAACTAACTTTCAGCATCTAGTTAATCGCATACTATCAGACCCAGGACCCGATATACCACCCAAGCCAGAACCTACACAGCGCCCGACAGACTCTCGCTCGCCCCTGCAGCGTTTTCGTTCCTTTCCTAAAAAGCCACTCACGGTCTCCGACTTGTCTTCCGGTGCATGGTGCGAGCTACAGTATTGGTACACGCTCACACTACTACCTGGAGGGAGGAAAAGGAGAACGGCGGCGATGCGGGGTGGCACTCGTGTGCATCAAACCTTGGAGGATCAAGTACACACCACCGTCGAAGTCAACATTACAACTAAAGAAGAAGCCTTTGCGCTGCGAATATGGAACATCATCCAGGGCCTCCGCACCCTCCGAGAAACTGGCATGACTAGAGAACTTGAAGTGTGGGGAATTATCGAGGGCCAAGTCGTAAATGGTATCATAGACGAAGTGAGCCATGAGAGTCCCAATGCAGCTTTTGAGCAGGAGCTCAGCCAATCAGACTTATCCAAGGGCTTCACAACAGGCGTTTCGAGTCAACAGGCATCCATAGTAGACTTTTCGCAACGGCCTCTAAAAAAGATTTACTTGACTGACGTCAAAACAAGAGGTTCAGATAGACTGCCCACCGGCGCCGCGCTGAGGCCAGCTAGGGTCCAGTTGTTTTTGTATCATCGGCTATTAGGCGAAATGGCTTCTGGCGTGGTCGATTTTACTGTTATTTTGGATCGATACGGCCTCATAGCCGATGCTTTATTTTCTGACGCTTTCATGGCTCAGGTAGGCGACTTACATGACGAGATATTTTACGACGCAGACTCGGATGTGGAGGGTACTTCCTCACCTCGTTCTACGCGCAGTGTATGTGACAGCGATCGGCCTGACTCGTCTTCCAATAGACTTCCTCAGGATCTGATAAAATATCGGTCTATCTCGCAGATACTCCCGTTGTTGCGGTCCGAATTGCGCGAAACCTTCCCTCACGGCGCCGCTACACTCGGTGAGCTCCTCGCTGTCCAGTATCGTCATAGGGACGGTGGCCGGATCCTTGGGAACAATTCGTTTCCTAATGATCCCGAGGCTTTAGAGAATTATATTAGAGAAAACCTCAAGTGGTGGCGAGGCGAGAGGGATCCCGAAGGCGTTTCTATAGAAGAGACTTATAAGTGTAGGTCGTGTGAATTTGCGGAGAGATGTCAATGGCGAAAGGATAAGGAAGCCGAATTTTTACGGAAGAAAAGGAGCGTCACAAGCATTAGAACCTAACCTAGTAACTTGTCCTTTTCATGTCGGCTTAGCTTAGACTTGTGAATCAGCTAAGTGTTTAGGATCTAGAATTCTAAGCATATCTATATATTGCGACCGCCTTTATAGCTCTCTTTTCCAGTAAATTAAAGCTTATATTAATGGGTTCGATGGATATCACAAGAGTCTACATTGAGAATCATTGGTCTTCTTCAATATGCGGCCTTTATGACTTCGCTTGCCATAACTTGTCACGTTCATGTCTCTCTCATCGCTCATTATCTAAGAGTTATGAACTACCTGTCGGTGAGCTGCGGCCTTAAGTAAGTACCTAATGCAACTAATTCATGAGATAGAATGAATCGATTACCAGGGAATGATTTAATCAAATTACTATGTACTTCGTAGACTTCTCACAAAAATAATGAAAATCCTCATAAAAATACTGACTGAATAAAACCATAAGTAACTAAAATTATTTCACTCCGCAAGTTCCAGCTGCGATGTTTCTCTCATGATTGGAATTCTCATGTATTCTTTCTACTATGACAATGTTTCAAGGTATAATCAATCCGGGAACCCAACAGCTATAAACGACAGTAACTAAGTCAATTAAATAAAGTTTAACTAAAAAATATTAGACTAACTTATAAGACTTAAATAAGAGAAACGAAGTAGTAAAGCTTTCTATCTCACAGTAACTACTACAAAGTTGTAGACATATTTGATTCTTTTAACACTTAATGCGGTTGTTATCTGGTATGTGTACCTAAAGTAAAGGGGCTGGGTCTTTTCCCGAAAATCCCTGTACCGCCACCACGGCTAGACTCACGAGTGGAGAGGACAAAGGAAGCCAACATAGATGGCGGAGTGACTAATTCTGAAATAGGTTACCTTACACGGTCCCCATCCATCCCTCTCGTTTCCTTGGATATGATAGCTTTGTACCGAGTACATATCAATTCTCTTGATATCGGATTGATGGTTGGCAGCTTTTGCTGTAGCCGGTACAAGCATCTTTATCACGAATTTGGGGTAAAAGAATCAGCCAAGACTACGGCGCCCGAGTCGATTGGTGGCTCCCGCCTTAGATAGGAGCTGAAGGATTACTTTAGGGTGATGGCATGGTGGCATTGGTAGTATCGTCAGTCGCGTTAATGAGAAGCATGAGATTTCCGTGCCTCTTGATTCACCATACGAAATGTCCATTCCATTCCATCCTCTAGCAGCAACGTCATATTGTTTGGGCTTACCAAACTAATTTCCTTCGGTTTTTGAATTGTAGACCATCATCATGAAGTCTATTAGGTCCATTTTTTAAATCATTAGTCGAGTGGTAGTGGGAAATAAAAGAGGAAAAAAAAAGGAAAAAAAAAAAAAAAAACTTCTCCTATATCGTCCCGTCCACTTTCGATGTTAAGCGCCGTCAATCTTCGCGACAGGCTAGCCAGCCTTCCAGACAGTCTGAGATGGCAATCTATACTTCGTTATGTCGCCGTCACTTTCATCGTCTCTATAACCTTGTCCGGCATCTTCTTATTTCGCCATCCCGAGGCCTTCCTCCGTGATACCGGATCCCATTACTTCGAATACTTTTGGAATCGCACGGCGGATCATCCCATCGATCATCTTATCAGCGATGCGCACACATTCCACGAGAACCTGCTGAAACAGCGAAGCTTCGACCTACCTACAGCCGCAGCTCGCTATCGCGAGCGACGAGGGCGACACCCTCCTCCAGGATTTGATGCCTGGTTCCGGTATGCGACAGAACACGAGGCAATAATCGTAGAGTCTTTTTTCGACAGGATATATGCCGACATAGCGCCGTTTTGGGCCCTCGACGCCCTGACGACTGCTGAACGAGCCGCAGCGTCGGAATATGTTGTGCGCGTTCGCAAGGGCGTTGCCAGCGGTGTAGGCAATACTGAAGGTAAAGTTCCGTGGTTAGAACTATGGACAAAATTAGTGGCTGAGGCCGCGCCGTGGTTGCCGGACGTCGATATGCCTATTAATTACATGGACGAATCTCGGATTATCGTTCCTTGGGAAGACGTAACGAGTCTGGTGGACAAGGAGCGAATAAGTCGCTCGGTCAAGCCCCTAGAAGAAGTGGTGACGGAATATAGCGGCCTAGATAAGGTTGATGCTAAGGCCGGCGATACTCAACCTTATAAACCGAATTGGCTTAGAGAAAACTACTGGGACCTTACACGGGTCGCTTGCGCTCCCGATTCGCCGTCACGCAATGTGACACCGATCCAGAATATAGAGGAGCCGCCCGTGTTCCCAGAAGATTGGGAACCCGAGTACATGTACAAAGGATATATCCGTAACTTTACCGCCGCTACGGATCCGTGCGTCCAGCCCCACCTCCGGGGCATGCACGGCACATTCATCGAGCCCCTGACGATGTCAACGAGCCAAGAGCTCATCCCGTTATTTGGCGGATGCAAGCTACCCGTGAATAACGAGATCCTCATCCCCGGGGCTATGTACCTGACGGACAACCCCTTCTATTCGGGTGGAAATACGCACGGTCCATCTTGGTGGAGGAAGACCAACGGCGTCGTTTGGCGGGGTGTCGCATCAGGGGGCCGGAACAAGAAGGAGAATTGGTTTCATTTCCAGCGGCACCGTCTTGTAGAAATGCTCAACGGGACGACAGTGTCCGGAATGGAAGAGCACGGCTCTCGCGCCATGACGTTTGAGATGCCGCCCATGCAGAAGTACGATTTCCCGCGACGGCGCGAGGCAACAATTGGCACTTGGTTACAAGAGTTCTCTAACGCCGGCTTTGTCAACCTCCTGTGCTTTCCGGAGGATTCCAACTGCACCTACGTCCGACCCTACTTCTCCGAGGTGCAGGGCATTCCCATGAAGGAGCAATACAAGTACAAGTTCATGCCCGATGTGGACGGGAACAGTTTCAGTGCAAGATTTAGAGGTTTTCTGCTGTCAACATCCCTCCCCCTCAAGGCTACGATATACTCAGAGTGGCACGACGATCGCTTGGTTCCGTGGCTGCATTTTGCTCCTATGGATAATACCTTTCAGGATCTCTACGCTATACTTGATTACTTTACTAGGGATAGAAAAGGCGACATCTCTGCACGCTTCATCGCCGAGGAGGGTATGTCTTGGGGTTCAAAGGTCCTCAGGAGGGAAGATATGTTGTTATACGTTTGGAGGCTGCTACTCGAATTTGCACGCGTATGTGACGAGAAACGGGAAATGCTTGGATATATAGACGATTTAAGACCGGCATAATGAGCACATGTATACCTCCTAAGGTAACTTCTTGTATATTAATAATTTCTTTCCAATACATCTTAACATAAGCTGTGGATCTATTCCCGGGCTCCGTCTTCATCCCGTCTTGAATAACTTTTGATGATAATAGGTACTTGCCGACAGACTACTAGTAAGTTTGCTATGACTTAGCCTAAGTTCGCGAAGTCATTACGATAAGCATCTTATTTTTTTTTCAGGATTTCTTTGCGGATTTGTTTTGAACTGGATGAAGCTACTCATCTAAGCTATACCAAAGTGTCAACCTCGAAAACCGAACGGTGGGTCACCTATTCTGGCTTCATTTAGCTTTCTTCGGACATTGCGGCTTTAGCGGCGTTTATTATATCAAACCCAAACAAGAATATAACGACAGCATTCTCAAATAGTTTATTTAAAGACTGCCTCCGACTATGCCTTCAGAAGGATCTTTTGTCATTGTTATGTTATAGGTTAACCTATTAGAACTTTCTAAGAACTCGTCAAAATGTCAGATTTCAACCTCCCACTTTCCGGGAAAGTCGCTATCGTGACTGGGTCATCCAGGGGCATCGGTAAAGGAATTGCGTTAGAGCTAGCGCGTCGAGGAGCGGCGGTATGGTTCTCCTAGAGATACATTGACTTCACATAATATCAATCGCTAATATAAACCCAAGGTAGTCTTGACTTACGTATCCCAACGCAGCGAGAACCTTGTTAAAGAAATTTGCCAAACTATCGAATCATTCCCGCACAAGCCTCGCGTTTACGCTTGTCAAGTTGATCTCAGCACCCTCGAAGGCCCCCAAACTCTCATCAGGAACCTTCTTACATGGAGCGATCAAAAACTGAAAATCGATATACTGATCAATAACGCCGGCGTGGAAAACGCTAAGGCTCTAAAAGATTTGACCGTCGATGATTATAATACCGTCTTCAATTTGAACGTTCGTGGCCCATTGCTCTTGACCCAGGCGGTTCTACCTTATCTGAACAACTACGGACGTATTATCAATATCAGTTCCACCATCTCAAGAAGCGGTTTCAAGAACTTTGGCCTCTACGGTGCCTCGAAGGCGGCGCTAGAAGGGCTAACTCGATCGTGGGCCCGAGAACTCGGTGGCAATGGAACGACTGTTAACTGCGTAAATCCGGGACCCGTCCAGAGCGACATGTTGGAAAATGTTCCCAAAGAACTTGTGGAAAGCCAAAAGGCATTGACGGCGGTCCAGAACAGAATAGGAACAGTTTCTGACGTTGCAAACATAGTGGCGAGCTTGGCTGGTAAGGATGGCGCCTGGATTAGCGGCCAATCGATCAGCGCCTCTGGAGTAAGTTGGCTTATTATATATATGCGCTTCCTTAAGAGTTGTATCCAGGACTGATTGATGTTTCTATCCACAGGGTCATACTATGTATTAAGCTGTCCGAAGCCGAGAATTCCTTGGAAAGACAATATAACTGCTCTGCCTAAGTACCTAACCTAAGGTACCTTATCTTTGAAGTTCGTCTCGTCTCTGGTCGTTACTAATTATCGGCAACGGAATTGTTAGTTTGCCTACTGACTTTTCATGAAGCTGACCCACCTTCGAGTCGAGTCTGATGTTGGAGCTTTTGGAATATATGCTTTAGTACCTAAAGTACTTAGCGCGGAATGGGCATGCGAGAGAGCATTTCACGTACATAGTATGAAGTTAGCTTGTTCAAACTAACTTGACAAGGATATTTTATCCGCTAGTTAACGCTCTTATAACTACCTTATTTAGCACATCATAGGGGCGTTATATTGTATCGCTGACAAATATGTTGCTGATTAATTAAGCGAGGGGCATATATAACAGCGCAGTCAATGTATCATAGGAGGAGAGATTAAGATAGATTCTGGTCTACTTTAAAAGGGATCGAAAGACCGAAAGAAGATATTTAACGTCACTCTCATCTCGTTCGATATAATCGGATTCGAACTCAGTAAAAATGTCTACAGCAATCAAGGTTGCCATAGTGGGCGCGACGGGCAACACGGGAGGCTCAATAATCAATGGATTATTAGCCTCCGAGACACAATTTGTCTGAAATCCCCATAAAGCTATTTTGGTTTGCTCTCGACTAACTTGGACTTTAGGAAATCACTGCTCTTGCGCGTCCTGCTTCTGTTAATAGCGAGGCCAATAATAGCCTTAAAAGCCGGGGCATTCGTATCGTAGCTGCTGATCTGACTGGTCCGAAAGATGAACTTGTCAACACCCTAAAGGGGCTTGATATAGTCATCTCATGCATTGTATACTCTAGTCTGGGAGATCAGGTGCCTCTGGCCGAAGCTGCCAAGCAAGCTGGCGTGAAGAGATTTGTTCCATGCAATTTCAGCACACCAGCGCCGAGAGGTGTCATGGATTTGTACGACCAGGTTTGTCTCCGCGCCGAGAAACTGCTATGGGGCGATACTAAGCTGGTCAATAGAAGGATGATATCCTCGCGGCTATCCAACGTCTCTACTTGCCATACACTGTTATAGATGTTGGCTGGTGGATTGACCAGTTGGTGCCAGCCTTACCTTCTGGCCGAACAGATCACGTAAGCATCAAGGTGCTCGACATAGTTCCTGGTGATGGATCGGTTCCCATAGCCTATACGAACTTACCTGATGTCGGAACATACGTGGCCAAAATTATTGCCGACCCAAGAACCCTCAACAAGAAGGTGTTCGCCCATACCGAAACGATCACTCCAATCAAAATAAGGGAGATTTTGGAGGAACTTAGCGGAGAAAAAGTCACGAGAAACTATGTGAGTCATGATACCTACCTCTAACTAAACCGACTAAAGATTGGAAACTTTCTACGAATGGCGAAACTAATGCAATATAACACTTAGATAAGCGCGGAAGAGATAGAAAAGACTATCGCTTCGGCACGATATGCTCTAGACAAGGATTCGGCAGATCAGGCAGCTAAGTTTAACCTGATGGTATACCAATACATATATTCATGGGGTATTCGAGGAGACGACACCCCTGAGGCCGCATCTTATCTAGGATACTTGGATTTTAAGGAGTTATACCCAGGTGTCGTGGGAAAGACTGTACGGGCTCGCCTCCAAGAAATTCTAAACGGAAAATGATAGGTAGAAATGGACATTTCCTTTTTCTTATATCCAAGTCGAATGAAGAGTTGCTTAACTAGTGCGTATTGTTTCGTGTTATTTGCTGCCGGCACCGTCGTTTTGGCCTGTTGTGCATTAGCTTGACCTCATCCCCGAGAATTAGACATCGCCAACGCATACCTGGATTGGAATTCGCCAAGAAATTTAAAAAAGGCGCAGGTTTCATATAGCCAAGGAAGCTTTTGACGTGGTAACTTGTGGGAATCCAAGGAGAAAGCCACCGCAAGAATCGTAACCAGAGCGAGTCCATCGACTCGTAACGTGTGACGTAATGCGATGTTTTGACCGAGATTTCGGCCCTCGGACGTTGTGCTTTCTCATACCTAGTGAATACATCCAAGATATCTTTGGTCGTAGGCGATCGATGTTTTCGTATCAAAGGAACGAGCCCATTGACAAGGTTGCAAACAGCTTCGACGGCTAGGTTGCCTCCAAAGCCAGAATTTATAGTTGTCGGTAAGAAAAGTCAACTCCATGTATTCAGCAAATTGATACGAGAGACTTACCTTGCATATGGAGTCTCCAACTAATACAACTCTGCCACTGTTGTTCCAGGGCCCTTGTATCACTCCCTCTTCCATAGGAACCATTCCTGCCCGAACCCTGGCTCTCCACAAGTCGTGGAACGTATAACCGGGGCAAGCCAATAGATTTCCATACTTTTTGATAGTTTCCGTGGCATCAGCCTCCGTATACTTCTGGCCGCTGAGTGCGATCGAAGGCTCGGTTTCCTTGATAAATAGAAACCAAAAAATGAGCCCCTTAGCTCCAGCCGCTGTGATGCCAGAGACATTTCTGTGGTAAGCATGGTTAATAATCCCTTCGGGTAGTAAAGGCCGTGCCAAGCTGCTTTCTAGACCATTCGTCGATGTGCCGAAGATTGCTCTATAGCTAGAGGTGAACCCTTGCGAAATACTTTAGAGAGGGCTACACCGTATCGAAACAAAGCGTTTTACCTACCTCTGTTAAGGCATCGGGATCTTTCTGGATCGGTTTCGGACACCGCATTAGCTAGAAAACCGCGGATTGTGCTATGGACACCGTCAGCCGCGACGAGTATACTACCCCTAATGCTATCTCCATGGTCCGTCTTTACTGTTATGCCGTGTTCGTCCTCCTCAAAAGATACAACGCCGACGTTAGTGCGGATTCGAGACTTGTCTTCGAGGCCATTATACAGCACATCCAGGCAGGACTGGCGTTCTATTAAGACTACGGGCCATCCGGTGATTTCTTCCACCAGCTTGAAAATAGGCGAATCGTCAAACAACTTTCCACGCTCGTCAAAATGGAAGCGACCTGTAAGCGAAAACGTCGCGGCGCGTATCTGCTTCCAAATACCCAATTGTTCGAATATCCTCGCGGTATGGCATTGCAAAATGATGGATGCTCCGGTTTGGGGAGCAATTTCCCTTTTTTCGAGGAGTAGAAAGTCAACACCGGCTTTCTCCAAAGCGTTGGCTAAGGTTAAGCCGGCGACGCCTCCACCAGCTATGATGACTTTGAAAGATTCCAGATTAGCCATCTGACTTATGAGTATGTAAAATAGAGCTGAAGGGTTGCATCTTGCCCGAGTAGATTTGGATGTGTGAATTAAGCATGTGGCACCGGATCGTCCCGCATTAGAGCAAAGCACGCCATCGATACCGCCGATTTGGTCTTACGTCGAACAAGAGCAGTAATGTCACAGGTATATCGCATAAAAGTACAACGTAAATCGTTGTCGATAAACTCATGAAAGATGTAAAAAAGCTACTATCATAGCCCTAATTGTGAGATATAATTTGGATTGTTTCGAATGATCGTAAAGGAATAATATTTCTTCAGCACATCAGTCGTTTGATGCTCGCTCTACGATAACAGTTGAACTAGCTTGCCTAGCTTGCTGCCGGGCCTTGGAGCTCGATAGCATCAACAATATAATTAGCACTTAGGAAGTCCTTGTCACCAGAGCCATATACTCCAAGCGTGAGAGTGTTTTGCCCATTTTTAAAAGCACTTGCGGGAACGGTCCAAGTGTAGACTTCGCCATACCCGCGATATGCTCCACGAGTAACTCCGCGAGAGTCGATAAGTTTCTGAGTTTCCATTTAGTAACCAAGCACACCGAGACAAGTCGTCATAGCAAGACTTACAGGAGCGCCTGGGTCCTTTCCGGTCCAGCTTCCAATGGCCACCGACGGACGCCCTCCCTTGAACGAAAGCGTAGTGCCCACCCTCAGCGTAAGGTCCCTAACTTGGTTTGCGGTAAGGTTGAAGTTAACCTTTACGTTACCTCCGGTCTTCGAGAAGAGGGCCATTGGGAAATCGCGGGCAGAGGATTGGCCAACCGTATAAGTGCCTCCCCAAGATCCCATTCGAACGTCGCTAGGATGCATCCGCTCAATCTTGTCGCCGTTCTTCAATTCGAAGGGTTGTCCGTCGAAATTCCCGATGCGCCATACGACGGAAGGATTTGGCTCGGCTGATGCGATGTCCTTGGACGTATTGCTCCCAGCAGCGACGGTCACCGTGTCTTTGGCTACTTCGTACTCGCCCCTGTATAGTTTCATAGTGTATGTACCCGGCTTCATCAATGGCGACTTGAAGGCATTGTTCGCAGCTTTGGCCCAATACTGGGCTTTGTCGTTATACCAGTGGACGACGGCCTCAAATTCTTTTGGCACTCCGGCAACGGAACCGGAGACGGAGCCACGCTGGCTACTCGGCACATACCCCTGAATGTCGAGGGTACTAAAAAAGGAAGTGTCCAAGTCAGGAGAAGGTTTATCCCCTTTACTGCGGAGCTTGTTAGATGGTATATTAGTGTCTTCGAAGGAAATATATCGAAACCCACGTGAACTTCATGGCGTATGGTCCCATCAGACCGAAGCGCCAGGGCTCCGTCCGAACATGCCCGCTGTTCATGTACCAGTATAGTTCTTGATCGCTGCTACCAGTCTGGCTGTTGATGTCACGCATGAATGGACCGCCCGATGAAGTCTCATACGCAACTTTAGGCATGATCATCCACACCGCGACGTTCTGTAGTGCAAGAATTAGTATTATTCTTACGTGATCGCATATAAAGCTCGGACACTCACAGATCCCGAGACACCATGTATCTGATCGTCGATAAAACGGTCGCCAGTGTACATCTTGCAGCGAGTTTGCTGATTCGGGCATCGAAAAGTATCCTTGCCTTCAAAAGCGGTGCAGCCAATAGTATTGCCAACGTCCCCGTGCACGCCGGTGGGCACATTTTCCTGGCGTAATCGGGCAAGCCATCGAAGCTCTCCAGGGTCAACCTCGCCAGTAATATAAGTCGCCATGTAGATTGTGGGATCTTCCGACTTAGCTATATAATACTGAGTCACCGGCAGCGAACTGGCCTTCACCATGATCTTGATGTAGTTGCTGCCTATCGTCTCAGCGGATACTTGCGATGTTCCGAGGCCGGAATTGATGCCTGAAGCTTTTCCCTTCCCCTGGTATTCGATGCTATTGAATACTAGACTAGCAATATCCCCGTTGGCTCTGGAATAGTTTAGCTTGGCCAGTAATACAATTAGAGTAGTGGCTATGACCTGTTAACTTCAAATACTAATCCGCCATTCGTGTCAACCTAGCATCGAATAGTCAGCTACCTAGCATCCTGAGACACACTTCTTTTCGCGAATCTCGTACCTTGTATCTGGTGCTTGTAGTGGTGAGCCCAAATGCGGCGAGGGCGTCGTCGCTAAGTAATGCTAAGGCAAGGAGAGCGGGTGAGCCTAACATGGCGGCTGGCCTATCAACAAAGACGATAAAAAGGGCTAGATATGGACAAGAAATTCTGGCGAATACACGAAATGCGTACCCTTCCAGACACTCTTATATACCCGATTCCTCTTAACGTCTAGACTCAAGACTGCAGGAATCCAGCCGGAGCGGCAGTACTGCACCGCATGCTTCCTAGGGCCGCACAATCCCATCACGCAAACGAATATTTCCTAATACCCGGGAACATAACTTTTTTTACAGCCCAATACGGAAAATCAGGCTGTGAACGGAATCTAACAACGTCGACCTATCGAGGCAAGCGGCAAACTCGGCAGAATTGTTCACCTAGCGGCAGGACAAAATAATCCCGGCTTCTACCGGATACAATCTTCGTTCGGCATAAAGGCGACCGAGAGGGGTGAAGATCGAGTAGAAGGGATACGGAAAGTTCGTGTCTGCAAATTGTAGTTAGGTACGAGAATAAAGACAAGTATATTGGCAACGTCCTTCAAGAAAACTTACCATTTGCCATTTACAAACGAAACCAAGAACTGAAGCATTTTTTTGAACAAAAAAAAACTAGGCGCTCCTCCGCAACTTTGCCTGCGCGATACATATACGATCTGGATGTGAAAAGATATTATTAGCAGCTTGAAGGAGGCGCCGCGAAGCGTATGGCTATGAATTTTTGGGATCCAGTGAATATCGTAGCGTTTATGCTGGATATACAACAAGAAGGATTCAAAAGCCTGTCCTTCCAACTCATCAGTTGGATAATGATCAATGAGTTAGCTGTATGTAGGTACCTAATTGATGGTCAAGTCAATTGTAGGATGAGTAGACTGAGTCTCATTCAGGGGTTTGTTACCCGGTGACGCTGTCACGTCGTAGAACATATGGTAAGGGAAACAGCTTTGTTGTTCCGTAAGGAACTCAAACTAGTATAGCTCTGAAGCCAGAGCTACCTTATACAAACATCTTCTTTGTTCCTAAGGAGTCTCAAGTGAGACTCCTTACACGCAAGGTACAGTCTGCCCATTAATATTGCCAAGCCCATAATGTATCAACTTTTTCGAAGCGTTTCAACATCACGACGAATTTAGAAAAGGAGACGAAGCATCACGGTAACCCCTGTAAAAAATAAAAGAAAAAACTGTCTTGAACGGGATTGGCTATGCAATTTTTTTTATTAGAAATCGTATGGGCGGGATAAGTTGTAACTTTTGGAGATATATGTGGAAAGAGACAGTCAAAAGATAGGAGGTGGGCAATTATAGCGTTCCCCATATACTATGCAGATTGGCAAGATCGCATTTCGAAATAGCGCTGAATCCATATTGTCGACTTGATCTCTTATACAATCAATCATTACTCTGCATCCTATGCTACCGAGTCTCTAAATAGCTAATGAGGTTGATAATGTCATGTTATAGTTCAGATTTCGTTACCAGGTAAGGGCTGTCTGGCATACTATTGTCTAATGGCTTGGTTTCCTTATTCTAAATAATGAAATGAACCTCAAATACCGCGTAATACTCTAAAAAATAAGTAGTATAGTGTTGATATAGCATTCGATGATTTCTGTGACAACATTGCCCTGGTAAAAAACGAGACTTACGCGCGTCTATGCCCCACATCGAGGATTTTCACCAACCCATCTCATCTTTTCAGCTAAATATCAACTAATATAGGGGGCATTCCGCTTCTTTCGCGCAAGATGTTATATGACAAGTAAAAATACTTAGGCAATTACCTGTAAGTATGATTAACCTCTTGGATCGGCTTACGCAGCTTCTACCAGGTTTCTGACCTCTTTAAAATAGAATGTGGGTTGCCCCTCGATCGACTTAGATATACGACAACTGTTATTGGTAGAGACCTAGCGGCAGTTGTTTTAAGCGGCTCGGAACGACCCCCGGCCTACCCAGAATGCCGGGGCTCATCACGGACGAGTTCCACTTCGGGCACAGCTTAATCCACCACAGAGCCACGTTGGATTTACAATCGACTAAGTCTACACGGCCTTCACCCCTGTGCTTGTCGAAGGGAAACGTCTAATACATACGTAATCCTCGGCCGCCAAGATTTCACGATGATGAATCTGTGCCCACAGGTCGTTCGAGAAGCTCAGAAGAAGGATTAGATATTGTTTTCTCGACCTGCGACGTTGATGCAGAGGAGAAATGTGACAGTATAAGAGGACGGTCATATCGCACCCTTTCGTTGAAGATGAGAACACATCCTCATCACTCTCTGATACCAGAAACCTTTCATCTATCCCTTCGCTCCTTCGTTTACAAATACGCAGCGTTCTTTTATCTACTCTATCATAGCTTAACTAGCGAAAATGCGTTTCGCTACCTCCTTCGTGTCTAGCATAGCCATTCTAGCCGGCTCCGCTGCTGCCCATCCTGGCCACGATATCTCCCAGGAAGTCAAAGAGCGTCGCGACTTTCTTGGCTCAGTGAAGCGCACCAACCTCGGCCACTGCGCTGCTCAATTGAAAGCACGAGGCGTCGAAAAACGTAATGTCGAGCGCCGAGCTGCCTTGCTCGAGAAGGCGCGAGCCAAGAGTATGTACAGAAACACGACGCCCAGTGTAATCGTTGGAATATGGAAATACTAAAATGAATCTCAGGGGGTCTAAACAAGCGCGACCTAAGCTCCGTGTTGGCTACCAGCCATAACGCCACTGACCTCGGCTATACGACTAGCACCGACGCTGCCACGCTCTTCGCTGGTTATAACTCTTGCCTCTTAACTCCCGAAGTCACGCAAGGTCCTTACTGTAAGTTTCCCAGACCGATTGAGCGGGATTTGCCTGGTTTGCTAAAGACGGATTAAGACGTCGGTGGCGAGTATGTCCGCCAGAACATCATCGAGGAGCAGGCCGGCGTTGATACTATCCTGGATTACCAGGTAATCGACATCAACACCTGCGAACCTGTTACCGACGTCTACGTAGAGATGTGGCATTGCAACGCCACCGGCGTATATAGCGGTATCGTAGCGGGAGGTAATGGAGACTCTTCGGACGAGACCAATATCAACAACACCTGGCTCCGCGGAATCCAGAAGACCGATTCAGACGGCGTTGCCCAGTTTGAATCTATCTTCCCGGGCCATTACACAAGCCGCGCTACCCACATCCACATCATGGTACATCAGAACGCCGTCCTCCTCCAGAACGAGACCCTCGGCAACAATGTAAGCGCTAGCCACGTCGGCCAGGCTTTCTTCGATCAGGATTTGATCACCGCCGTCGAGCTTACCGCACCTTATTCTACCAACTCACAAGAACTAACCCTGAACGCCGACGATGGCATCTTGAGCGAGGAGACGGCTACCGACGGTATCGATCCATTTTTCGAATACACGCTCCTCGGCGATAGCATCACCGACGGTATCTTCGCCTGGGTTGCTTTCGGTATTAACGCTACAGCGTCTCAGTCGATTACCCCGGCTGCTTTCTATTACAAGGAAGGTGGCGTTGCTAACGCTAACTCCGGCGCCGGCGGTCCTGGAGGTTCTGGCGGTCCTGGTGGCGCTCCTCCAAGTGGCGTGCCAAGCGGAATTCCCAGCAGCACGACTGCTCCGGCCACGTCTCTTTGAGGGCGTAGTTAAACGGCGAATCGAATGGAGTCGCACACGGACTTTGGGGCGGAGAGATAAGGAGCGTTAGGGTTTCGCTTTTCATACTTGGCTGTGAGCGTATGCCCGAGCCAATTTACATTCATTTACACAACTAGTTAGCAGAGACAGGTCTCGAAAATTTGAAAAACTATTTCCCGGTAGATATGCTTATCTAACAAATGAACATTGTGCTAAAGCGTCTCGTAGTTAGTAGACACTGAAATTCAAGCAAGTGTATTTACTGTGAGAGTGATCGAAGACATCGTGGGAAAGGTGGTAATTTCTTATTTTAAACGTGTTTAAAAGAAGTCGTTATAGATGTAGAAGGTAATTACCTGACATGGTGTAAGTTACGAGGTAATAGATAAGGGGTTAAATAAATACCTGATATTTAACCAGAGTCACATGTCCTATGAAGAGTTCGTTGTTAGCCGCCAGTATAATAACGCTGTAGGTAATACATATATTTACACAGCTTGAAACTTTAGGGAAAGATTGGCAATTCTCATGCCAGACTTGGCTACCTAGGTACCTAACCTAGATAAGCTCACACACTGGGTACTCCTTACGGCAGCCATAGATCGAACGAATCTTGCACGAGCTTTATCATAGTGGCGCATATCAAACTAATGTGTGAAGCAGCGGGAAGGAAAAACGGAAATCTATGACAAGCCTAAGGCCTAATGCCTAACCCCCAACTTTGGGGCTTTCTCGAATTCGTGACTCTCTGTTTGTTTAACGTTGCAATGCCGATCTTGCAGCTTTTGTCTATAGAAATTTGCCTACCTGCCCAAATTTTGCTGGCATAGTGTAAAGTTAGATACCTCCTATCTTAGCAAAAGTCGATTGTCTAGAAGATTATATATATAGCAAACCCCTTTACTTTGCTCACATTCAATCTAAATTCATGGTTTAAGTCCCAATTACCGACAATAATCAGTCATGGACTCTTTCAAACCAGCGCCTATTAGACGTCTCCTGAATGAACTTCAGGAGAGCACCGCTAAATATCTCGCCTTATTTTCTGCACAAGGCTTGCCGAAGCCGTCGTTTGAGAATGCCGAAAGCATTCCCCAAGTGCAAAGGATCTCAATAAATGTACAAACCGCCAGAGACGCTGCCATCGAAGCAGACTGTCACGTCGCAGAGCATGAGGTAGGTAAAACAACTTCGTTATTCCACAAGGAACTCCAACTACAGTTGCTTTGAAGCCAAAGCTATATACAGAATAACTCCTTTGTTCCAAGGAGTCTCAAGTGAGATTCCTGACACAGCCGGCGAGCTGCGCCTTCTGCTCCTCGACCCCTTAGGTCTGATTGTGACCTTCTAAGCTGACCAGTATCTAATTCTCGCGCTACAGTACATATGTAGACATAAGCTCACGCAATACGTATTGCTCGATAGAGAAATAACTTTCCGCGAAATTTCCGGTGCAGCGGGGCTACCACTTAAGGATGTGACGCGATTATTTCGTCTTGCTGCTAGTAGACAGGTTTTTCGTAAGGTGTCTAAGGGAGATATTGAGCATACGGCTGCATCTGGGGAGCTGATTAACAACCCGAAACTAGTAGAGTGGATTATGGACATCGCCGACGGGTACTAGCCGGCACTAGCCCGGACGGCACACGCGACTGATCGATAACCAGGAAGCGAGGAGCCGAACGAAAGCGGATACTCGTCCAAGACAAGAAAGAGGTCATCTAGGGCTTAGAGGACCACGTCCCAGCTGTGCTAAAGGATCGTATCCGCGGCATGGAACACGATTTCTTCACGACGCAATCGGTGAGACATGCTAACGTATATCTATTCCGATGGGTTTTCCACAACTGGAGTGACAAGTACTGCGTTAAGATATTGCAGTCGCTGGTGCTAGGTTTGAAAAAGGGGTCAAAAATTGTTATCAATGCCTTGTGTATACCTGAGCCGGGAGGGAGTAGCTTATCAGCCGCCCGAGAGTCCTTAGAAATGGATATCATGATGAAGACATTTAACAACACCCGAGAACGTGATGCCGAAACCTGGGAGATGCTATTTAAAGCTGCGGATCCGGGATCTAAGTTCTTAGGAATTAAGACACCGGCCAGAGTAAGAATAGCGATCATGGAAGCGGAATGGAGAATGTAAATATGCATGAGGCCATCATTCAAATCGCATAACAGCTTGGAATTTTATACTTCTATCATACAAATCAAGTTGGATCCCCTTATAACTAAACCGCTTGGTTGGACGCTTGCTCTTAAGCTCCCATATCATATTGTACTAAATCCGCCCCCCTAGCCACGATATTGAACGGCTTCTTGGTTTACGATTACTTGAACTACGATACCTAAAGCCTCTTGACACAGCTTTCTCGAAAATACGAAACGTGCGCGCACATCTCACTTTTAAGGTCACTTTTTTTTAACCACTGCAAAAACTACGGGAAAAGGCTACGAAGCACATTGCGTAACTCGACCAAACTGATTAACCTTTTGGAAGTGGCACCCAAGCAACGTCATCCTTTTCAGCGTACAAGCTAATATGAACGTAGCAATCTCTCGTATATGAAGTGTGTGTATTGCCTAGGTATCTAAAGGAAAAAAGATTATTGTTGTTATTATTTTTTACTCATCACTCAAGAAGAGCATAATCAGTACCGTACACTTCGTATTTTTTTAACGACCTAAAGCTTACCGTTCGGTAACATAGCTAAAAGATAGAAAAGCGGTAAAACTAGTAGCCTTTCGGTATCATGGTTACTTAAGAGCTGTAAGCTTAGTAGCTGTTCGGTGGTATAGCTAAAAGTAATAGAAATTTCAAGTCCTAGCTCTTGTGCTGCCCGAAAGGTGGCCTCGTGTTTTACAACTTAAACACCAGTTAATATGAGGCAATCCTTCAGGACCGAACGGTCTCCTGTAACTCGTAGCTATTGGGCTAATTATCTCCAGAAAGCTAGCTTTCGAAGTAAGGTATGCAGTACGTGTTTTCGAAAAAGCTATAGAAGTAAAGAGAACCTCTTAGATCTATATCCTTAAAGATGCATTTAATGAAACTTCTTTTTTTTTAACAATAACTAGGTAGGGTATTATGCACTACCGAGGTGTTTATTCCGGTTGGATTTGTTGGTGCAGCTGTTTGAAACGTGCATGTCCTCGTATTGCATTATAGGTAATAATCTTATCCTCATCAATAATCGTAACCTTTTTGTTAGTTACCTAGGTTAGGTACCTAGGTACCTATTTACTTTGTATAATGTTCTAACACTTTTCGGCAGCGTGGCTGTGAGGTAAGCAGCCCCACTTGTGTGTAAAAAGTTCGTCCGGTATTATCGTTGATCGGCAGAGTTCTCGGCGGCTCCAAAGTGGATTGAGATACTTGAATGCTTAGCTCAATGGCGCAATACCGCACCCCGTCCTAGCGATTCTGACGTGAGAAACGTTGGTAGATTTAACTCGAGAATTAAAACTTATTTGAAAAGCTTGTTTATTAACGCTTAACTCTATTAGAAATCTTTGGTTGGCTACTGTAGTGTATTAACACTGGGTATAGTGTTAGGCAAGTTGGGGGGATGCGATAGGATAGGCCGATAAACGGTATTATAAGTCGTAATCCACCTGACACTTTTTACCATATAAGCTTTTTCCTTTTTGAACTGGTAAATAACTATGGTTCGATCTTGACAGGGGGGCGGTTTTTTGAAAACCAGCCAGAATTTGCGGCACGCGAAGGATTCGAACCCTTCCTACTATCTACCCCCGCGTTAAGTAATATGGGAACAAGCTCATACTTAATATGCCTGTCAGGTACCTTATAGGCCTGGCACAAACCAGTGACAGCGTCAAGAAGCCGTAAAAGGTGTTTCCGCTGCCTGCTGTACCTTAGGTACATAGTATGCTTCATCTAAACCTGATTCGTCGATACCTCTAACAAGCTAGTTATACTTACCCCTAATACTATAATATACCGAATGTAGCTCCAACTGCTTAATAACTGCACCAAGGTATCCGGTGAAGCTATACAAATGTGAAAGATCGCCTTCATGGCCTCTGGTAGGAGAGAAGTCCTGGAAGAAGACCTGGGATCACCGTTTCAAGGGAGCCGTACTATTGCTATTGGCTGTCGGTCATTGTTCACATGTCTCCTCCCACACTCGCTAGTAGAAGCACTCAAGGCTGCTGGACTTGTCGACTGCGGAAAAAGAAATGCGACGAGACTCACCCTTCGTGTCTCCGATGCACTTCTCTCCAAATACCCTGTGATGGCTATGGCCCGAGGCCTTACTGGATGGATAGGGGAGAACTACAGAAGGAGCGGGCTCGCTACAAGACGCAGATTGTTGCCCAGATCAAGTCGGCTATGCGAAAGAATAAAACACCCAACACATCGCAAAATCCTGGACTGCCTCCGGCACACCTAACACAAGAACCGACCTGGCAGAGTGGGCTTGGGCATGCGTCCGAACGCGAAGTTCAGCCTTTTGGCGGAGATGGGCTGATACGGAATGAAGCGCTTGGCAGCGCTGACTTTTCGGCCGAACTCCTCGATGAAATACTCAGCTCAAGCATATATGGTCGATCCTCGTCCGACGCCTTTCGGACAACCTCGGCGAGCACATCGCCCGCCACCGAAGGAAGCAATGTCCAAAGTTACGGGGATGTCTCCAGACCAGATTCCCAACCCGAAGCAAACGTAGAGACTATTAATTCGTTATGCGACCCGATATTGAGTGAATATTGCTCGTCCGAATCGTCTGGAAGCAGCAGTATAGCGGACTGGCCACTTTCCGCCCAAACGAATCCGTCTTCAGCTCTCACACGTCTTGTTTCTTTGCCTGGTCAGAGCGATCCGATTTTACGTGGAGATGTGGAAGACATCTTATTCATGTATTATCTCGATCATGTTTTCCACATTTATTGTCCTTTTTACTTGCTCTCCCACCGGCAAGCTCGGGGTTGGCTGTTTTCGATCTTGAAGCGGGTGAAATCGGCCTATCATGCAGCGCTAGGTTTGAGCGAAATGCATCTTGCGACTTCGACTCAGCATAGCAGCTCTCCTGTAACAATAAGAGCTGGCGGACACTATGAACTGGCTCTCCAAGAATTGCAAGTCAGCCTCGCACGATCCTCTGCATGGGGCGGAAACCTAGGTCTAGCCCACAATGTCGAAGTTCTTACCACCATCCTACACCTCTTGTTCTACGAAGTACGCTGTTGCCCCTCCCCTCTAACGTTAGTATCGCATTCAATGCTAATCAATTCATAAAATAGGCATCCCACGGCGGTCGATACAACTGGCAGATGCATCTTGGGGGAGCAACGGCCCTACTTCCACTGCTTGTACAAACACAGATGGGGTCGATTGCAGCAAGGAATGATCGCATTCATGAGCAGCAGGATGTAATAAATTCGCCTCCCGATACTTCAGTAAGCTTTCTGCTCGGTTTCTTTGTACACATGAACATTATCGCCTGTGCCTCAACTCGATCAACACAGTTCTTGGAACCAGACCCCAAGCTCTTGCTCGAAACAGGCGAAATCAACCTGGAGGATCTGACAGGCTGCAGTAACTGGGCTATGGTCTTGATCTTCGAAATCTCATGCCTAGAGAGGTGGAAAAGGGAAGAGGAAACGGCTCATAGATTGAGCCTGATAGAGTTGACGAAACGTGGCCGTCGAATTGAGGAGCGTCTACTGAACAGACTGGCAAGCATCGAGAGCGACCCTTCGCAAGGAGCTCCGGTCAAGGGCTATCTGCGACCAGACTCCGTCAAAACCGAGATAACGAGAATTTTTGCTCTCTCGGCTATGACCTACCTCCACGTAGTCATCTCTGGTCCCTATCCCGAGATTCCAGATATCAAGAAGAGCGTGTCAAAAACAATGGAAGCTTTTCAAAATTTATCAGACCCGAAATTGTTACAATATGTAGTCTGGCCGTACTGCATCTCTGGATGCCTAGCATCCGATAGAGGGCAAAAGGTTTTCCGAGACCTCGTGTCTGTACCACACATAACGCACGGCACGTGCTTAGAGGCCTTGAAGATTATGGAAGAATGCTGGCGGTTGAGGGAAACGGAATCATCCAGTTGCGACTGGGTACACATAATGGAAAAACGCGGTCAGTATATTCTACTCATTTAAACAGCCCCCACCAATTTTATGCGCTCATATACATTAAGTACTCCCTTCATCACTTAACAACGTAGCATCGTTAGTTGCGAGCATATTTTGGGTCACGATGTTATGAGATTGAATGAACAATCGGATATTGAAACAATTGGATAAAAATGCTATTTCCGCTTCAACTATGGCTCTTCTTTTGCTCCTTAAACTAGTAGTGGGTGCTGTAATCACCTAGCTGAGTTGGACACTGGTGCTATAAATTCTGCGTCTATCATGATTTCTTTTCTTTTTTCTTTTTTTGTTACTGTGATCTACCTTCAGAGATAAGTGATATTGCGGGCTTTCTCGAAAAGGCAAAGGTTTTAGGCGTAATGTTGTTAACAAGCACTTACACTTGTGAATAGGACAGTACAAGATTCTCAGGGCGAACCAGGCCTCTCAATCAATGCACGCGAATCACTACGTCGCCTTTTCCCGCCAATCCATCCGTTTCAAGTACGGAGACTTTGCTAAAAACATCCAGCTTATTACTGAGTGGAGCCATGGAGGTCCTTTCTCATGCTTTTTTTCTGGGTATACGTACACCGAATAACGAGGTTCTCACCCCGAGTGGTGCTAGGGATTTGGGCACGACATCAACGACGCAAATTTGCTTGCATAATCCTGTATTTGGCGACGGCAAGTATCAATCGAACCCTGCGCTTTCCATATATTTGAACATCACCAATTCCGCCCCCCCCTGGCCATGCAAGGTACCCCAAACGTGCTTTGCCCTAACGAGGCATGGGACTTTTTTCTAGTAGGTTCGTCAAGGCGGACGTTGTATTAGGGTTAAAAAGGGCTTATTCCAAGATTATCAGATGGGTCTAACCCTTTTCTGGGATGAAACCAACTGCAGGGAGTATTTAGCTGTGAAATGGACAATTCCTATTGGTGTTACCTAAAGCATAAGATCAAACGGCCGCTAGGCTTAGTTATAGTGCCTAACCCTAACCTACCTTACCTGACCTACCTAGCCTAAAATTACCGAACAGCTGCTAAATTTACAGGTTGTAGTCAGGCCATTGAACAGCTACCCGAACAGCTAGGGCCAAGTCTAAAAGCTTACAACTTCTAACCAGGTTTTACAGCTGTCACGCTACGAAACGGTAAGCTTAGGTACCTGTTAGGAAAGTACAAATGCGGTATGTATTTTCGAGCAGGATGGCACCCCTTGCGGGGCACCATAATAGCCCGAGTTTATTAACTAACTAGATTCGCAAGTACAAAGCCGCCCAGCGTGCTGGCGCGCGCCTCGGAGCCCATATGTGTACACGCGAATCCGGCACTGCTTGCAGCAGCGGAATTCTAAATTATATCCTTTATAATTGCTTTTTTTTAAAAAAAAAAAAAAGATATGTAGGATTCGAACTGTAGCTTTTAAAATATTATAGTTACTTCCTTTGAAAAGCTACGTATTTCAAATACAATATCCCTCGTAAACTCGGGCAAAAGCTACTTACCTAGGTAAGTTAAGTACCAGGTATGGATATGAGGAAAATCTCCTACAAAGGGCCGGGCCAAAAGTCTTGCACATGCCAAGCTTTTAGTCGCGGGAATTTAACGTGCACGATTATAATAGCACTGTATTAACTTAGTATTAATTCTAGGGGATGATAGTGGCTTGTACGCTGTATTTTAGGGGGCTTATCACTATAGCTACAGCGGAGCTAGCTGCTATTGGTAGATCTGACACCGTATAGCCTTCTTTATTAACACATACTAAAGTGGGTAGCTTACTTAAGCTACGATGTGCAAGACTTTTGGCCCGGCCCTTCGTAGACCCACAACTTTAAGGCATCCAATAAAATAAAACATTTCTTCAGTTACCTAATCAGCTCCATGCCGTCTATCTTCGCTTCTGACCTATTAACACTGTGTCTGATTACATTGTCTTGACTATCGATACGGAGCTCGTAAGTGCACTTCGATCCAGACTCATCGCCGCAATCGTCAGATTTAGACCCCCGGGGGTGAAGATAGCCATGAAAAGTTGTTCCAGGCATCCAAAATACCGAACAGCCTTATCCACAGGGAAAAACCTCGAGTCGATCGTCATCACAAGATCTACCCCGGCATTGCCAGGTTGGAGGCAAAAGTTCATGAACATGGCGTCTACGAGCGGCCGGACCGCTTCAACGTGGCTTCTGAACAGTCCGAGGTGTTTGGTCCCTGCTTCCTCGTAATCATCGGGAGGATGGACGACTACGACGGGGACCGACGCTAGCATCTGCTGCAACTTGTCGCCGAGTCGGACTAAGTGCTGCACACTACCGGCTTCGTCAATTCGCTTCTGTATGAGTTCTACGTTCTCCCAGAAAGTCAAGTTATTGTTGATGTTGGTGGCCAAAGGGGCTGTGGTGCTCGCAGGTCCCATGAGCCTGTCGATTCCTGTGAACTCGGCATCTCGACCACCCAACAGTAGGTTGAACAGGAGATGGTCACTTTCTTCGACGTGTGTTGCGACTATTGCCCAAGCCGTAAGCATCACGGTCGCATAGGACAGTTCAGCTGGGAGCTTGGCCGGAAACTCGATGCCGAGGGACAAAGTGTGAGTGGTACCTGGGACCTTTGTGCCGTCCATGGTAAAGTAAGACATGAAGTTGGTGTCCTCCAGTCGCTTTAGAAGCGCGGAACGAGCTTCGTCTTTCTCTAGATCGTAGACGTGCTCGATGAATCTGTTGTACTGCGGCCGTTTTGGCGGGTCATCATTGTGGTGATACGCATAGTCGATTTCTTCCAGCAGCAACTTTCTGGACCAGCCGTCGAACACAACGTGAGCGCTTGACCAGACGAGCCACCGATCTTGAGAGTTCCCACCATCCACGATGCTAAATCGTGATAGCGGTCGTCCGAGACCCCATGATACCTTCCGATCCTCGGAGACGAGCGACGAAAGGGCCTCGACGTGGCGACAAACAAAGTCGTCTTCCTTAAGCACGACCTGGACGAATTGTGATGATACCGGTACGATTCGAGTCCGTAGAAGTGCGTTCGCCCGTACAACACGCCACAAGGCAGTCTCGAGTCTGACCAAGTCTGTGGTGGCCGGTAATGGCATAATATGCCGGTGGGTAGTGCCGCCTGGCGAAATTATCTCCCCTTCTATGTACCGCTGCTGCTGTCTCGTGAGTGGATATGCGTCTTCGACATTTTGCTCGTCGATGTTGTGAACAGCGAGACTTTTCCTCAGTTCGCTGACACTGCAATCGATCTTTTCCAGCAAGCCGAACCTGGGCGTATCCGATGTTTTCGTCTCCTTCAGAGCTACCATCTGAGCAGCCATAGCGGATAAGACCGGGTTTTTGAATATTACCTGTGCCGGGAGGTTGTGCCCGAGATCTCGCGCCGCAGATGCCAACTTAATTGCGGCCAAGGAATTGCCACCGAGCTCGAAAAAGCTGGAATTGGCTCCGAAGTGCTCGCCGTTCAACCCAAGCAATTTTTGCCACAGGCCATGTAGCAGCTTCTCTGTTTCTGTAGCAGGTGGTTGAACTGTATCGTCTCCAGAACGAAGGAGGTCAGGCCCGAGACGCCGTTGCGCGACGAAAGCCTTGAGCGCGCGGCGATCCGCCTTGCCATTCGATGTGACGGGGATATTTGAAACTGCCAGAAACACGGACGGTATCATGTACTTCGGCAGAGCGGTACTGATCTGGCGAACGATGCTTTCCTTCATGTCCGCCAGGTGCCGCTGCAGGACGTAATCAATTTCCATCTCGCCTGCCCGGTATTCCCCTTTCTGCGCCAGATAAGCGACGAGAACGTCCGAATCCTGTCCCTCAAATCTTGCAATATCGACCACCACTTGAAGCGGCTCACCCAGGAGGGATTCCTGAATGCGTTGCCGTACCTCCTCAGCCTCGAGCCGCTGCCCGTGGAGTTTCAGTTGCATATCTCCACGCCCGATGTACAAGATGCTGCCGTCTTCCATGTACCTGACGAGATCGCCCGTCTTGTACAGCCGCCCGATGTGGCCGTCTCGGAAGTCTCGCAACCATGGAGGGCTGAGGATAAACTTGTCGTTGGCTTCGGGGCGGTTCATATAACCTGTTGATGAAAGATGTGGACTCTCGATGATGAGTTCCCCAACTGCCCCGAGAGGAGTGAGGCGATCGTGGTTTTGGGGCCTTACAACCCATAAGCTGGTTCCTACAGCGTGACCAATGTTCCGAGGGTCGTCTCGGGACAAGTTGCAGTTGATGGCGCACTTGACAGAACACTCGCTCGGCCCGTACCCGTTCATGACCTGTACGAGACCGCTCCATTTGTCCACTAGAGCTTGGTCAGGAGCTTCCCCGGAGAGGAGCAACATTTTGAAATCCGGCAGTTCCTTCTCCTTTAAAGTATAGGCTATTGAAGGAGTGATGTTGGCAAAGTTGACTCGCGCCGTCTTCATAAACGCACTGATGTCGCCCATAATATCGTCGTCTGACGGTACACAGATACAGCCACCGAACATGAGGGTGGTCAGTATATCCTCGACGCTCGGGTCGAAGGCGTACGGCGCGAATTGCAGCACGCGAGAGTCAGGCCCACGCTTGAGAAAGGGCGCACGAGCCATAGCCCCAGTGGCAAAGGCCTTGTGTTGGACTCCAAAGATTTTAGGGGTTCCTGTCGTTCCTGACGTCGAAAGGATGTAAAGAAGGCTGTCCGGAGTCGCAACTTGGCCATACGGGGAGACCTGCGCAGCCGATGTTAAACAGTAAGCCGTGTCGTCAGATACGACGAGAGTGTGCCAAGGTGGGTTGGGAAAGGCTTGCTCTTGTAGTGGAGAACAGACAACGAGTTTGATAGCGGCATCGTGGGCAATTCCTTCGAGACGTGTTCGCGGATATGACGGCGACATGGGCGCGTAGGCGGCGCCTGTTTTGATGACAGCCAAGATACTTACTATGGCCCACTGCGACTTCTCGAAAAGGACACCAACCACGTCGCCCGGTTTCACGCCGGATCGCACCATCTTCCCGGCTAGGCCGTCGGACAGCCGGTCCAAGGTCGCGTAATCCATGGTGCCGTCTCTAGAGTAGATTGCCGGAGAAGCTTGGGAGTGTCTTGCTTGCTCTCGGATCAACTCATGAACGCAGACCTCATGAGCCTTGTAATGCCTAGCGTTCCACGCGAACATGGTTAACTTGTCTGCTTCGCTTGTGAGATCCAGGTCGCCGACTTTAGTGTCCCTAGGCACCGTGCTGAGTTCGTGCAACGTTTGTTCAAATTGCTCAAGAATCCTTTGGACCTGTGCTGGCGAAATGACGTCGCTGTCGAACGTGGCGACCAATTCAATATCAGACTTGCCAGGAAAAAGTGTAAGTACCAATGGATATTCGTGTAAGGATCTCTCGACTTCCTCCAGCCTGATACCTTGCTCCTCCAGGGATTCGGTATCTGCGACTTGGACGATCAAGAGCGTCCGGAACGAGGCGGCATTCTTCACATCTGGGCTTATGGCCATGATGCGGGAGAGACCAAACTGCTCATATGGTATCATAGCCGAGAACTGCTCTTGGAGGCCATCTAAAAAGCCCTGAACTGTCTGAGCGAGATCAACTCTCACCCTGATCGGCAACGTTGCGAGTGTCGGCCCAACGACATCCTGCAGGTTCGGAGGCAGGGAATTACGGCCGTGAAGTGAGTTTCCGAACGTGACGTCGTCTGAACCCTCGTACTCTGAAAGAAGTAGGCCCCACGACGCTCTGGCCAAAACCGTTATAGACGTGGTGGCCGCTATGGGGGCTGCCATAGTGTGCCGCAAGCAAGATCTGTCTGCTGCTAGATGGCCGGCCTTTGGGAAATTGGGAAATGACGGTGTTGGTGCATTGGCCAGCTGCTTTCTCCAGAATGCAACACATTCATCTCGGTTCAGACTCTCACAGAACTGCACAAACTGTCGGAAGCTTCCTGTTGGTTGCACAGTCTCTGTGGGGGAGTAGTACTTCTGGCGAATGTGATCGACCACAGGCCCCATGCTCCAACCATCGAATACCGCGTGGTGAAGCGTCCAGACAAAATGAGATTGACCGGATAATGGGTCCTGTACGTGGTACTCCCTACTTAGACGCTGGCCAAGCTGAAAAGAAACTGCTTTGTCTGCAGCTAGGAACGATGCGAGATCTTGCTTGACCTCTGTCCACTCCGTTTGAGATCCGAGTACCACCTGCAAGAGCCTAGAATGGGACGGCACGATTGCGGTTCTTAGGATCGGGAAGACATTAAGCGCACTCTTCCATGCTGTCTTGAATTTTTGTATGTCCACGGCAGACGAGAAATTGAATACCCATTGGCTAGAGTACAAAGTCGGTAGCGCCAGCGAGAGCGAAAATAACCCTGATTGGAGATCTGTGCAAGGAAATACGCCCTCGACCCGCTCCTGATCAAGGCCGTATTCTTCCAGCAGGGACCGGAATTCAGAAGCTTCGTCTTGTGTGAGTGAGGCGGAGGCTGGGACAACACTTAGGTCAGCAGCAGGAACTTGCTGCATCACGATGGCCATGCCAGATAGTGTTGGATTTTTGAACACCTTTTCCACGGTCAAAGAATAACCTTCCCGATTGGCCATCGCTACCAGTTTCATACATCGGAGCGAGTCCCCACCAAGTTGGAAAAAATTTGCGTCCGACGTGAGACTTTGAGTAGATTGAAGAATATGTCTCCACATCTGGGCCAGTATCGACTCAGCAGGCGACAGGTCCTTGTCTTCTTCATCACCCGTTCTCAATCTGGAATAGAAATCCATTCCGAGGCTTACCAGCTTACGTCGGTCCATTTTCCCGGTGGGACCCAGGGGAACTTTCTTTAGGGGTATCCATACCACGGGCCACATGTAGGCGGGAAGCACTTCTGAGATGCGTACACGAAGTCGTTCGATCTCCAGCTCCATCTCTTCAGGCATTTGCGCAGTGTCCTGGATACTAGGGTGATGCAGAAAAGCTACGAGATTGGCAGTGCCGTGTACGTCGAGCACCTCAAGGAGTATGTTGGCTCGAGGGAGTTGAAGGTGCTGTTTCAGTTTGGTCTCGATGTCCTCCAGCTCTACCCGCTGGCCATGAATTTTCACCTGGCGATCACGTCGACCTATGAAAATTATTTCGCCATCGTCGGCGTATCGAACCAAGTCGCCAGTTCGATAGCTCCGTCCCATCGAGGGCACTCTCAGTTCCCAGTCTTTAGCCCACGGCGGAGAGTCATGGAATAAGTGTGCGTTACCCTGTGCGTTGTTGATATAACCACGGGCAACCCCCGGGCTTTCGATTACTAGTTCCCCGATAGCTCCGACGGGAGCCAGCTTAGTCGGGTCATCCAGGCGCGCTACCCAAGAACGGCCGTTGACAGGAAACCCAATACTAACAGCGCCATCCCCCCCAGGACGGGCTATCTTGCAGACGCATGCAAATGTGGCTTCCGCAGGACCGTAAGCTATAGCCAAATCCAATTTATCTCCCCACGTCCCCACGATATCTTGTGTCACTTTCTCTCCGCCACAAAGCAGTGTTGTCAGGCACGGGACGTCGGATGGTGAAAGTAGCCGCACGACGGTAGGCGTGAGAAAGACCGTATCGGCGTTGAAATGGCGGATGGATTCCGCGAGGTTATTCAAACGATCGGCATCGGAGGGAATGCAGATGCAACCGCCGCGCATCAACGTCATGAGGATTTCTCCGAACCCGATATCGAATGCGTAAGACGAAAATTGGAAGTACCGAGTTTGCCTGCATACGCCGAAGAACTCGGCCAAAGCCAACAGACTGGAACACAGGGATTTGTGTTCGAGCTGAACCCCTTTCGGCGTGCCAGTAGTCCCTGACGTAAAGATGACAGCCGCTACGTCGTAGGGACTAACTTCAATCTGACGTTGCACCTTCCCTACAGAAACCGATAGTGAGGAAGCAGATACGACAATGGCTCGCGGTGCTAGGTTGATTGCTCTATCTTTTTGAGTAGATGAGCTGAGTACGATGGTGGCCTTGGCTTCGCTGCATAGTGTCTGTAGTCGACTCGTGGGGTGCGAAACATCCATGACCAGAAAGGAACAGCCACTCTTAAGGACGCCCAACATCGCCACCACGGTCCAGAGAGTTTTCTCGAAGCAAAGAGGGATGACATCCCCTTGACGGGCTCCCGCCTCAAGCAGTAGTGAGCGCACACGCGAGGACAAGGCGTCGAGCTCCAGGTAGGTAAGCCCGCCGTCCCAAGACTCCACAGCTTGTGATTCTGGGTCCTCCAACATTCTCTGTCTGAATATCTCGTGGACTGTGGATGCCACGGTTAAGGGGGGCTGCTGGTTCCATCGTTGTAGGTCTCGTCGATCCTGATCACAGACCAAGTCAAGGTCCCGCAGTGTCTGTCCGCGACTTGTCGCAGCCAGCAGCTGTCTCGTAACGTGTACCAATTGAGCGACAAATCGTGCATGAGCGGAAGAGCTCTCTTCGCTGATCCCCATGTCAAGCGAACGCCATGCCCCTGACTTTTTCACCGTGCAGAGGATCTGACGTGGGATAGGAGAACCTTCCGGATAGGAAGCGCCCGTCAAGCTATCTATAAGCAACCAGAAGGTTTGCGATGCGGCCGGCGATTCGATGTTCTTCTGGTAGGACTCCTCAATGCTCTTGAGAAAGTCGTGGGCACTGTAGTCGTGATCAACTGGGATGCTGGCATCCCAGACTTGCCCAGATGTACCGGTGCACACGTGAAAGGAGGAGGATGTTTCCCGGAGATAGGCAGATAATAGGAGCGCCAAAGCGCCAGAAACTGCTACTTCTGGGGCCCATCCGTCGGTCTCGAGCAGAATCTCGTCCGGGACGTCGATTTCCATAGCTGACACAGCAGCCATGGCTTTTATTCTGTCACGGTTTCCGACGACGCTGTCGGCAAGCAACGAAGAGTAGTAGATTTGCGAAGTCATTTGGCTTGGTAATAGGATTAAATATAGTGATGGAGTAGTAACGATGTAGGCATGAAGTGCTCTAAGTACGGCCGAGGGAAAGGCAGCTGGCTCTCAGGAGTCGGACAGATAGCTATTTTATAGGCTCGATGACGTAGGGGTCCTCGACATCGACTGGTGATCAGGAGAGTGTGTCTTATTTCCTCCTGTTAACGCCGATCCTCGTGCTTTATGACACCCAGACCTTTTTCTATGTGGCGATTTAGGTTGCGCGTTTCAAGTAATGCATCGTTGACGTTGGGTAATCTTCTGGCTTAACTATATGCTTTTTATACTCAAGAGGAAAAAGAGAAAAAATACTGCTGGTTTACAGCACCTTATGTCAAGTCTCTATAACGCTTCGTGAATACATGAACCGGGTCAAACTATTCCCCCACCGTGGTGTAAAAGCACACTGCAGTCATGCGGCAAACGTCAAGTTCGATACACTTGCATGTCTAAGCGAATAGCCGCAAGGTGAACTTCACCTTTGCGGACAAACTATGAGCTCGGCAAGCCCTTACCTTCTAGGCGCGTTACTGCCGCCGGCTATACTTAGAAATATTGTAACTATTATTTTAGTTACAAAGGAAGTAATAAGGGTTATAACGGCTTATACGTTTCTAATAAATATAATTATTCAAAAAACGGACATGTGATTATAAAATTATTAATATATTAGGTATGCATTTAGATAATATGGAAGCAAGTGTCCAGGTACTTCCTAGACTCGATTTGTACAAAACGGGAGCGCGGCAGCAGGGCGGCAAGATTAGCAGGGCGGCACGGTCTGAGCTTAACTTGTGCAAAATCAGCCTTACTTGGGCGGCAGATCATCAGCTCGGCCTCCTATCGGCGTACATACTTCATAATAGAGGTATGTACCTAATAGTTACCAACTTGTAATGAGACTATTCTAACAACTGGGCCATTGCATCAGATACTATAGCATTCAGCTGGTCGCACTAGTGAGCATTCATAAATAGTGAAAGGTGATACTTGTCTAACCAGGTCTAGGCTCGACAGGAAGGGGGAGATAAGCTCCTCATATACAGGAGAAAGGTTAATAATCCTGCTCCGGAAGATTACATAATACACTCCATCCTCAGATAGGGGATCCTGAACGCAAAGATACTTAACATACTGAAGGATAGCCTTGAAGAGGCTATTTGAACCTCTTTAGCTCATATCCTATGTTGCAATATTTAGGCAACTTCTAAATTTTCGGAAACACACTTGGCCTCCACTACTCTCTACCGACGAGAATTCACCCATAATGTCGACTTGCGTACTCGTCCAACCAGTCGATTCTCCGGATGACTTCACCCAGGTCTACCGCTGCATAAGCGAGGCCTTTGCCCGCCAAATCCAAGATACTATTTGGATGAGCACGAATCCGAACTGGGATTCCCCCGAAGGCCAAAAAGAAGGCGCCGCTAAGCTCCTGAGACGCTGGCAGTCGGCAACCAAGAATAAAGATGGCCAGCCTAATACCGTCATCTTGAAGGCAACGCTGCCGGATCCCCAAGACGAGAGCAAGCGCAAGATCGTCGGCGCGGCTATCTGGAGTCAACTCTCCTTCGTGGACGGCCACGGCGACCGGCCGACGGATAGCCCCGACCTCACGACTCTACCGGATACCGAGAGGCGCTTCGCGAGCCAAATGTTTCGCTCGTTGTGGAAACGCCGCGTGGCACTCGCTCGCGAAAAAGCGTCTTCCGACTCGCCGGCCCTGTTCATGCTGGACACGTGCGCTGTAGATCCGGCTTTCCAGCGGAGAGGGGTGGCGGGAAAACTAGTAGAATGGGGCCTCGAGGAGGCGAAGCGGAGGGGCGGGTTGGAGTGCGCGACCGAAGCGTCACCCATGGGGCGGACCGTGTACAAAAAGCTCGGGTTCAGGGCTGAGGGTGCGGGGGAAGATCTTATATATGAGGTTGATGAAGAATTCAGGCACCGCGATAAGCCGGCCATTCTGTTCATGCGTACTGGGGCGAGCTAGAGGCATGGACCGCTACATACCTTAGATAGATAGAGTGTTGAATTGATCTAATCTAATCTGTATTACGCCCCGAGCAACTAGTTAAATTGCTAGGCACCTGCGAGGTAGGCTACAATACGTTTGGTTAACAACAATTAGCCTGAGACTTGCACGGCCATGGTTCTGCATACTTTGAAGCGTATACTGATAAACAACATTACCTAGAGTTTCGCAGCAAGGGAGAAAGTGAAAGTGAGCATGTGATAAATTACGTGAAGTAGGAGAATGTTTGTAATGCGATCGGGTGCCTACGTCGCCTAACAACCTGTGTGCTACATACAATGAAGCCCAGATGCATGTAGCCGGTTTTCAACGTCTCACCGCAAAGAGCCTCCTTGCGGCTGAGGCCAAGAAAAAAAAAGTCTTAATTTTTCGAAATACCAGGTATGCAGGATTTGAAATGTACAGTACGTACCTAGGTAGGTAAGCTTTCCGGCGGCAGCGCTAGTCCCTCTAGGGTAATTATTTATGCATCATTAGTGCGGGCCGCAACAAGCCCCTGGTACGGGCGGCAACGCTAACGACAAGCAGCGCGGCAGATGAACCCAACCCAACCTTACCCCGGTTGATCACTCCCATGACCTTCCTGTTTGAGCCAAGTGTGGGTCAGCAACTTAACCAGTGGGTTAGGGTCATCTCACTAGCGCGTTGAGATCATCTTAAGTCCAGATTGCCGACCAAAGCCTTTTTTTTAAAGTGGCTTCAACGTGGTTATACATAGTAAGGTACCTAGGTAGCTAGGTAAGTACCTAAGAATTAGTAATAGGTACCTAAATTTTGGCATGTGATATAACCCACCTAATGGAAGGGTTAACAGCTACACTGCAGAGAAAGAATTTGAAAACTGGAAAATTGGTGTGTTACTGGGATGAAGTCCCTGGTCCACCAATCGACCAATATATAGTACATTGTATATACCTAGGTAGGAATCATATTTCATAGGTGGATACGCCCTGCAGTTGGTGTCCATTCTAGCAAAGGGTTGGGCGGATCTGACAACACCTCTGCGATGTCGTGATCGCCTTTTTGCCGTCAGGACCCTGGCACCTTGCCCGTCCAACGTTCGCACGTCAACCAGACAGAGCCGAACGGCGTGTATGTGACCCGCAGGGCGCGTGTATACGAAGTACATCTGCAAAGGCTGGACCCTTATTTAGTTAGCATCTTAATAGTGTACACCTTCTCATCTCCCTTTTTCTCTCTCATGTTCTTGAAACACTCCTCCTCTTGACTATCGTGCTCCTACACACGAGCTGGTTGAGTCCTCTTTGACCATACCCCAGCGCCGGAAACTTGGGTAGTTTTTCGACATCATGTCTGAGAACAAGGAGATAGATCCTCCACAAGTAGCATCTGTCGACCCGAGCGAGGACGAGCTGCCAGCTGTCCGGGGCCCCGTTTCGTACAAAGTATGGCTTGTTCAAATCCTGTACCTCATGGAAAGAGCAGCTTTCTACGGCCTCAGCCAGCCCCTCCGTGCGTCTACCAGCGTCCGATCTTAGCATATGGCATCAGACTAACGAAATTCTCACAGAAAACTACCTTCAGCTTTCTCGAGATGACCCTGTTCGCCCGGGGGGTCTTGGCCTAGGGCAGGCAAGAGCAGTGCTGGTATTATATGTTTGGTTCGCATACAGCTACAGCACGCCTCTAATTGGAGGACTGCTGTCCGACTGTTGGCTCGGCCGTCGTAAGACGATTCAAATTGGATTCATGTAGGGTCACCCATGATCCATCGTACCGCTCCGGTAATAGAAATTAATGCTTCATTAGAATTTACGCCTTGGGACTAGCTATTATCACTGCTACGGCTTTCACGGAGCGTATCTACGGCGCGGGCGGCCTCCCCGGTTTCGTAGTGGGCATGTTCCTTGTCGGCGCTGGCACAGGAACTGTGAAACCCAATATAACAGTCTTCTTAAGTATGCATTGGGAGCTCAATGATTTGGTCTGGACCGAGTGCTGACTATCAATAGTCGATCAGCTCCCCGAAGAGGAACCCAAAGTCGTGAAATTGAAAGATGGGAGCTCAGCGGTGACGAGTCGTGAACTTACGATTCGGTTGATATACAATGTCAATTACTGGTATGTCTCGTCTTGAGTTTGTCGCGCCGGGGACCTGCTAACAGACGATCGCACAGGTGTATCAATGTCGGGGCTTTATTCGGTATCGTAACGACTAACGTGGAACTGCATGCCGGCTTTGGATTTGCCTTTCTAATTCCCCTTGGCTTGATCATTGCATCTGCAACAGGCTTCCAAGTGGCATATTTAAAATTCGGTGAGCGCAATTCGTTGCATCCTTACCATATCGAGTCGGCCACTGACTAGTTCTTAGAGACGGCACCATCTACCGGCAACGCCATCGCGAATGTCTTCAACGCATTGCGTCGTCGTCGAGAGGCAGCCCAGCGCACCGCAGATCAGACAACAGAAGTTGCGAAGCAATCATCTGGCCAACAAGAAGATGGCACGCCAACTCCAGAGCAAGATGCGGCCGTAATCGCTGACGCAAAGCGCGCAATCCGAGCTTGTCTAGTATTGTAAGATATTCCTCCAATAACACGAGCACGAGCAAAACAAGTACTTACGCCAAGTAGCCTCCCTTTCCCGGCTCTATTTTTGTCTATAAATCTCATGGACACTACCCTCGTAGCGCAAGCCGGCTCGATGCAGACCCACGGCCTGCCGAACGACATCCTGTTCAGCCTGAATCCGATATCCGTTTTGGTCTTCTTGCCCTTCTTCCAGAACTGGATCTATCCCGCGCTGGCGAAGAGAAAGATTGACTTCTCACCCAAGCACCGCGTCGGCGCAGGCCTTTTCTGTGCCGCACTTGCGATTGGATATGCTGCAGGAATTCAACACCTAATATACGTCACCGGCCCATGTTTCGATCGTCCACTGAAGTGCCTCGGTGGAGGCATACCTAATGACGTGAGCGTCGGGGCTCAAACGCCAACTTATGCATTCCTCGGATGGGCAGAAATCCTTGCCATAGTGTCGGGCACTGAACTTGCTTATTCCCGGGCTCCGGGAAGCATGAAGTCGATCGTCCAGGCTCTCTTCAACATTTTCAGCGCCTTGGGCTCGGTGCTGGGTATCGCTGTGTCGTTTGCCGCCTACGATCCCAACATGGTCATTGTATATGGAGCCATCACCGGGTTGTTGCTTTTGGCCAGCTTTGGGTTGGAGGCTACCATGTTCGTCAGGGGTAAGTAAAGGCTCCAGCTGAACGGTCAAATCTGGGGTTCCTATGGGAATACCCAAGAACACGTCGCAAGTTATTTTGGGGTTGCCGCATGATCCAATATTGCCATGGCAGACCAATACATATTGAATAGAGGAAGCGGAAAAGGGTGGTAGAATAAAGATGTCGTGAGATATAGTTTAGAACAATCAAAATTATAAGATTATTTTAATCAAGAGAATCGTTCTCCTATTCAACCGTAGCCAGATTTGAGTAGCTAATCTGCTGGCGGGTGTTCCTATATTGGATTGGGCTGCGCTTGGTTTATATTTTGCTAAGATACTATAGTAAGAGGTAATTATATAATTTAACCAACTGTGACTTACAGAAGGCTGCCAATTCGCAATAGTAGTTTATAGCAACCATTCATATTAGCAGTGTGCATATAATTCTAGCTATCTGGTCGGCTGAATTGACTTCTTAAGTAGGCTACAGCCCCTCGTCTTTTCCATTGTAACCGTACAACTACAACCTCCCGAGAATCGGCTCTTGTTTAAAGGGGCACTTAAGGTATACTCTAATTAATGGGCTTTAAAGAAAGTATCTAATTATAATTCTTTCTAACCATCCTACTCTGGTTGCTCGACGTGTCCTTGCTTGCTCACTATAATCTACTTCTCTAGCCTTGTGAAAGTTTAGAGTTGTAGGCGTTTCTTAAATTATACACATGTCTACATAGTATTCATATATGGCAACTAAGAAGATGCCGGCAAGTTATCTAGCACCCATTTCACTCCACCGACAACAACATCTGGCTGAGTCATCTGTACAAAGTGTCCACTCTCGGTTGCAAAGACGAGCTCGCTCTTGGTAGAGAGTTTGAGGAATTCCTTCTGGAGACGCTCATTCTTCTCATCGACCGCCTCGATCAACTCTCTAACATACTTCCTCTGCTCCTCGGTTCCATTCCCTTTCGCGACACCCGCCTTGTACAACCCATTCCAATCCCTGCTTCGCATGCCCCCAATCACATAGACCGGTTTGTCCCCAAGCAGGGGCTGCTTCTTACTCAGCTCCTTCTTGCGCAGCGTTTCGAAGCTTGGAATGTATTGCTCGAACTCTTCTTTCTTCTCAATCAGCTTGAACTTTTCGGTCGTTTCCGCGGCCCTGAAGGCGTCCCACTCTTCCTGCGTCAACTTGTGCTCCGCCTCGACGCCCCAGGCAGAGTATGGCTCAACGCCCGCGGCAACGGCCCAGAGGGTCGGATCGTTCACGTCCATCACTAGCGGCGCCGTCTCGTGGTTGGCGTCGACAAGGACCAGACCAGCGATCTGGCTAACTCCCTTGAGGGCGATGAACTCGTGTATAAGCACGCCGGCCCAGGAGTGGCCCACGATGATCAGAGGGTTCGAGATGGGAGCTTTCTCGAGCAGGAAGGAGAGCTCTAGAACGACGTTCTCGGCCGACGGGGGGAGCGGCGATGATTCCGAGTTGCGATACCCGGAACGGTCGTACGTGTAGCTTCGTACCGGGGGGAGTAGCCGCACGACGGCTTGCCAGTTGAGAGCATCGCTCGCCACGCCCGAGACAAACAGTACGACGGGCTCTTCTGGGCTGCTGGGTTCTGGGCCGTGAGTGTAGAGGGCCAGAGAGTGCGTGCCAATGTTGACGAGGCGGCCGTTCGGAGGGAGAGCTGAGGAGGCCATGATGCGGTGATGATTCCACAAGTTCCTAAGGGTTGTGAGAAGTATGAATGTCGGGTAGAGTTCTGATGCGTTGGTTGGTGATATGTCAGGCCATTGAGCAGCCAACTCGGTTGCGAATGACGGCCATATAATTACTGCAGCGGCAGAGTGATGGAGGGGTAGAGAGTCTAAGATAGGGAGGGGGCCAAGAGCATTGACAGTTGGCACTTCATTGGCACATCATGGGCACACATGTGCATACTTCGGCGCGCATATTTGGCTTAGCGTTGCCGCCCGGCCCCTTGCAACGCGGCCTTGCAGATCGGACCTACATACACTAGTAGATTGGTGGTAGCCTTGGCAGGACATGGGCTTGGAGGGCTACCAAAGAGTTTAGGTTCGATTCTTATTAGCGCTATCCGGTTGCGTCCTCTTTGATGACTTACTTTCTTTCCACTTGCGCAGGTTGCGGCTCGAGGGGGGGCAAATGGCCACCCCACTGCGTCCCTGTGCGTCTTCACTTCTTGGCATATGAGGATTCAACCCTGAGTTCTGTCATCGACCGGCGGTTTGAAATCTTCGACTTTCTCAGTAAGGGGGTGTTGGTTTACATAATCAGGTCAGGACTTGTGGTTATGGCCCGTACCAATGTACTTGGGAATTTTACGAAGTGTGGTAGAGGTACCTAAAGTGTTCGAACTTATTCGGGATTCGGGATATTGTCTTGACCTAAAACCTTGTCCGAATTATGAAACTCATCTGTGCGCAACACTCTAAGCGTTTTGATTGGATGCATCCCCAGGCTTGTGGGTCTAACAGATTTCCCCAGCTTTTTCGGAAATACGTAGCCACCTCCCTTCAAAAGCCACGAGCCACAAGCGGCCGTTCGGTATCATGGTCAGAGGAGCCGTAAGCCGTTCGGAGGCTAAGAGCCGTAGGCCTGATAGCCGTTCGGTGGCGTGGCTAAGAACTATATGCCTGGCGGCCGTTCGTAATACAAGTTGAGTTAGGCACTTATACTACATACTCGAAGGGTAACAGTCTCTGTGTCGAAGTTGGGCGTTCCGAAAATGGCAGCTTTGCCCCACCAAATAAAGCTTATATCGTAATATATATTCGTACCTACTTCCTATATATACTTTTTGGTGCAGTGGTGAAATCTGACAGCCAGGGAATAATGAAGTTGTTTCCTCTACCATATGCTCTGCGATGTGACACAGCCAATCTTTCTCTTCACGATGGCATCAACATCATCGTCCATCTCGGTCTCGACGTTGCCCAGTTCAATGACCTCAGACACAGACAACCTGCCTACAATTCAATTTACAAATATAGAAGCCCTCGCTAAGGCAGTCTACCAGATCCGCGGCGGCTTTGACTGTGCTGTTATTGAAGGTAAATTTCCTCAACATAAATATTACGAAAACTATTTACTAATTTATAGGTGTCTCTCCGACCGATATGGAGAATCTCGTTCTCCGGGAAACAAACCCTTTTCGCATACGCCAGTATTATTCCGATAGAGCCATTCTGATTATTTCAATCCCTACCCACTTACATGAAGCACTTCACCTCGGTCTCTACAAGGCGTTTATAAAGCAGCTTTTTTTGACTAGACAAGATGAAAGTTGGGCAGAAATCGGAAGTGCCACCTTTGAAGGTCACCCTGGGGGTAATAATAAAGAAGGCGATTCCAGCGGTGGTCCGACACCAGTACGTTACTTTAAAGGCGCTTGGCCGACACTCGTCATCGAGGCTGGACTTTCTCAGACTTTGCCTCAGCTACAACTAGGTATGCGCTGGTGGTTCTCAACATCAGACCACCAAGTCAAGATTGTGCTTCTCGTCAAATTTGATTATACGAATCAAAGTATCCTTATCGAAAGGTGGGAAGAAGAAGCAATAAATCCTCAGAGTCGCCCAGGAGCCACAACGACCGGACAAGTAACGAGGAGTAATGCTCTCCAGCCACTATTACGGCAAAGGATTACTATTACGCGGGATGCGACTACAGATTCATACCATGTCACTAGCGGTGCATTGGAACTTTCTTTTCGCCTACTCTTTCTACGAGATCCCGGTCCACAAGAAGGGGACTTCCTTATAAGTGTTGAACAGTTGGAGAATTATGCACGAAATGTTTGGCGTGTAGTTTGACGTTGAGCAGACGGGTCGTTCACCGATTAGAAAATGGAACACTTAACATCGATACGGGGATTACTCGTATATTAAGGGTATAATGCATTAAGACCATTAAGGTATAAATTTATCAAAATGCATATGCATGACGCAACCCGTTCGCGATGCACAATAGCGTTGAGTTTACGAAGCCAACTTAGCCCCCAAACCTCTAATAATAGGCCTTAAGTTCACAGAGAAAACACCCGAATAAACCACTAACACCCCATACACCTAATCAAAAGCCGTAAAAATCTCCATATTATCGCGGGGTAGCGAGCTTTCTTAGAGATCCCCACCCTTACTAATCAGCCGAGCCGTACCTACCTAGGTACCTAATATACCTATGTAAAACGATCTTCTTTTTGCTACCAGCCTAGATCTTATTCTTTCTGAATCAACCTTCTATATTCCCATTAGATCTCCTCCTCACTTAACGTGACATATTTTTTTTTTTTTTTAAAAAATACTTAGATTCTTGCGCACAATTGAGTTGCTTGAATACGGATAAGTTAGGTCGATAAATTATCCCGAACAACTTCGGGTGTTAAGTGCTTATAAGTTTCAAACCCGTAGCGAATATATTCCGGGTCCTTGTCATTATTTTCCCACTCATTGGCTTTCCACCGCTACCGCTGCGGCTGAAGAAACCTTTGCCTCGAAGGTATTCAATGTTCTGCCGCGCGGCTGCCAGCACCTCACGCATCTCCCATTCGTTGCTCTCGTTCTCGGTCACTTCAAGTTCAGTGCCGAGAGCGCCCAGGTACTGTTGGACTGGCCATAGTGGATGGAGTTCTTGTTCCCGCGCCATGTCCTGCCTGGCGAGCCCGATCCACTCGTCCCACGAGACCGGCCGCAGTTCCAGCTGCAATTGGTCCTCGACCGCCGCCCAGAAGGCACTGACCCAGACGCCCCTCTTGATATGGACGAAGTGCTCGTTACTCTTTCCTGTCGCGTGCCACAGGATTGACTCTGCGACGTGGCGGACATCCGACATGGAGAGCCATGACGTTTCCGAATCGACCGGGCGAGCTCCGAGCCGGACCGCGCCCATGACGACTCTCCATAAGAAATCGTCGGGGTTCGCCACACCCGTATACATGTCCCCGATAATCTGTCCCGGTTTGACCACCGAAAACGTCGTGCCTGGTTTGCGAGACTGGGCTGCGGCAGCGCTCACCAATCTCTCCGACACGTATTTGGTTTGATCGTATCCGTTGGCCATTCTCGCTTCTTCCTCGGTCCAGGTTCGGCTGTCCGTGATGAGACCACCCGAAACGTACACAAAGCTCTTGAGGCGAGGAGAGGCCATCGCGGCCTGTAGTAGCTGTATCGTAGAACCAACGTTGACATCTTTCAAACCGTCGTAGTTGGTGCTCCAATGCACCACCGCACCGTTGTGGATGATGGCATCGATGGTATCGTGTGCGCTTGGACGACCGCACAACGCGCTCCATTGTGAATCGTTTAGTCCTAGTCTTTCGGCCGAGAGGTCCCCATCCCAGACTTCGATTGCCGAGGCAAACGATTCCCTCCACCACCCGGCTATCTTGGCCGTCTTTATCACCCTGTCGAGCCCCTTCTGTTCGTTAAGACCACGTACGAGTAGCACGACCTTGTCGAATGCACGCCTTGTGAGCGTGTAGCGGAGAATCTGTGTCCCCAGGTATCCAGTTGATCCGGTGAGGAAGACGGTCGACCCGGTTTTTTCGGTCCGGCTGAATTCAATCTTGCTCACCAGCAAGTCGATCTCGCGCTCCAGGTCAGTGTGTGTCGGCTCCGTCGGTTCCTCAACAGACTGGCCGCGCATTAAGTTGTCGATGAGGACGGCGAGTTCATTCAAGCTAAATCGCTGTCGGATTAATCGCGGTACTCCGATGTTGACGCCGAATTGCTTGCGTATTGCCACAGCCAGTGACATAGTCTTGATGGAGTCGCCCCCGAGCTCGGAGAAGCTGTGACCTACAGCCATAAGATCAGGCTTGATACCAAGCAGCTTAGCCCAGATATCCCGCAAGGTCTTCTCCGTATCGGTCATTCCAGCATCAAAAGTAGTCGACGACGCGATCGATGGTGACGAAAGCGCTCGTGGACGGTAGGCTTTACCCAATTCGCGAACCCTTCGTCTGTCTGTTTTTCCTGTTGCTGTCATGGGCAGCTTTGCAAGGGGAACAGGAATGTATGCAGTGGGGACCATATACGACGGGAGCAATTCCGACAGCTTCTTTCGAAGGTTTCCTATCATCAGAACAGTTTGCCCGTTCAGCCCGACTTCTTCACTATCGTCCTCCTCGCTGGGCATGACCAAAAACACCGCCAGAGTCGGGCTCTGAGTGGCGTCCGGGGTGATCACGTCTACCACGATCTGTGGCACCGCCTCGGTAGGAACAAGTTCGCGGACGTGGTATTCAACCTCTCCCAATTCCATGCGTTGGCCATTGATCTTTACCTGAGTATCCTTCCGCCCGACAAACGCAAGAGAGCCGTCTGGGTTATAGTAGACCAAATCACCTGTTCTGTATAGACGTCCGTGGCGACCAGGCACTCGTCCCGGAACTCCGTGTAAGAGCCATTTTGGGTCCTCGACAAAAGCACTGGCTGTCTTCTCAGGATTGTTCAGATAGCCTGCGCCCACAATCGGCCCCTCGAGCCACAGCTCCCCTATGGTCCCGATGGCAGCTAACCTATCAGGCGCACGAGGTTGGACTACCCAAGCCAACGCGCCGATACCTTTGCCAATACCTGGTTCACCGACTCTGTTGGTGGTCTCTCCCATTTGGATTATCTCAACTGTGCTCGTGACGGTGCATTCAGCAGGACCGTATGTATTGTAGATCTCGGCCCCGGAAGCCTCCCATCTGGCCACATCACTCGCCTTGAGCGCTTCGCCAATGAACAAAACCTTCTTCAGGCTTTTCAACGCGGTAGGATCGAGAAAGCGGCCGACTGTTGGTGTAAGGTGGATAAAATTTGCCCCCAGTCGGTTGATGGAGCCGTTGATGTCGGCCGTACGTTCGTCCTCCGACGGGATGCAGAGACATCCACCCACGGTCAGTGTGTGCAGTACATTCGACCATGCCACGTCGAAGGCGTACGAGGTATAGTCGAAAACTCTTGATGAGCTTTCGAAGCCGAGCTCTTTTTGGTGGTGTCGGATTGCGCTGCAGAAATTAGCGTGTGTGACGGTTGCGCCTTTCGGGGCGCCCGTGCTGCCAGAGGTGAAAACGATCTAATGAGAAACATCGTGTGTCAGTCTGCTATTCTTCAAAGTAAATCCTGGGGCGCATGATAATATTGGGTGCGGAGTTTAGTTTATACGTACTGCAAACACGTCACGTTAGCGGGTACTCGCATACAAGACAGACATTTCAGGGATGTTTCTGTACATACCATAAAGGGCCGACGAAGGGCTGACTATCGGCATTTCCACAATCGGTTGAGATAGCCGCTCGAGACGATCCCAATCATCTCCTACTTCAATCGTCAGGGCATTGGTGATCTCGGCCCCGAGCTTCGCACAAGACTTCGAGGTCAACATTATCTTGGCCGACAGTTGGCTCACGATACTCTCCAAGCGGGACCGAGGTAATGTTACGTCTAAAGCAACAGATGCTGCACCAGCTTTCATGACCGCAAATATCGCAACGGGCACCCACTTTGACTTCTCGAAATATAGCGGCACGATGTCACCGGCTCCGAGTCCCGAGCTGATGAGGTGGCCTGCCAGCAGTGTGGAAAACCTATCTAGTTGGGCGTATGTCAGCTCGCCGTCCCATGCGCAAACGGCGGGCGCGTCGGGTCTTTCGGCAACCCTCTGAGCAAATACATTGTGAACACAGTCCTCGACGGTCTCCGGCACTACAGCGTTCCATTTCCATATATCGTACAGGTCACGCTCGCTAACTCTGCTGAGATCGAATATCTCTGTAGAGCCATCGACAGAGGCGAATTGAACTAATATATGCTCTAACTGCTGAAGGAGCCGTACCGCCGCGTCCACTTTAACAACGTTCGAATCGAAGCTTAGCTTCATATCTAACCTTGACTCCGATGTCTGGCAGGTGAGCATCATGGCATATGTATTTTCCGAGACAGAATCTATTTCTTGGTCACTTAGAGCGTGTCCAAAGACCGGGCTATCGGTTGTGTCATCCTCGACTGATTGATCTACCAACAGAAGTGTCTGGAAGTCACAGGCATACTTGGCATCCTCGTTGATTTGACGGATGTGTTGGAGGCCGTATTGTTCGAATGGGATCATCTCAATCGCCTGTCGCTGCACCTGATGCAATAGTTCGTCGACGGTTCCGCGGACCAGGATTCGGAGCGGAACGGTGGCTATGGTGGGACCTATCACGTCCTCAATTCCTGGCACGGGAGCTTGACGGCCCGATACGACAGCTCCAAACGTGACGTCTGGCGAATCCACGTACCAGGAGACGAGCGTCGCCCAAGCCGTGCGAAGTACGGAAGAGGGCGTGACGCCGCAAGTGGGCCAACGAACGCTTTCTATCGAATGGTTGATGACTGTGTCCGGCTTTGGCTCGTACGTTTGAGCGGGGAGGGCGGGAAATGGCGATGCTTCTATCTCGGAAAACTGTCGCTTCCAGAAAGAAATCCCGTCTTCGCCATGTTGTTCCATCACATATTTCACAAACCCTTGCAGCGGAAGTGAGGATAGGTCTCCCTCCCTGCCATACGCTTTTTCCACCTCTTTTTGCAGCAGTGGCATGGACCAGCCGTCGTATGTCGCATGATGCTGTGTCAGGGCTAAGTATCTCTTACCTGCTGTTTCATCATGTATGATTGCGAAACGTGATAAGGGTGTGCCTAGGCCAAACGCAGCATTTTCGATACCATCTTGCTGCAGTTCTTTGCCGGCGTTGTTTCTGTCTTGATGATATTCCTCCAAGGAAGAAAAAGTCTGCCATTGCAATGCCTCTCGAAGGACAACCTGTACTAGGCCCTGACCCGGTAGGTCGACGATGCGCGTGCGAAGTATGGAAGCTCTTTCAGAGACTTTTTGCCACGCCTCCTGAAGCCTGCTTACGTCGACCTCTGGCTTCAGTTCGGCAATTTGGCAAGCCACGTATTTGCCCGAGCTCCTCGCGGTCATGGCCAACAGGCCTTCCTGAAGTGCTGTACAAGGGAAAATATCCTCGACCTGTGAAGGCTCTACGTGCGAGGCGTCGATAGAGCACAACTCTGCTACTTGGCGGCAAGCGTCATCCCTGTCAATCCCTGTATTCAACAGGGAAAACGGCTGCACGGCGTCCCGTGCCATTAGCTCACTTCGTGACATGAGCTTGGCCATATCGCCGAGGTGCGGCTGTCTGAGGATATCCGGGACCGTCAACAAGACTCCCTTTCTTCCTAGATCGGTTGCTAGCCGCATGGCGGCGATAGAATCACCGCCAAGGCGCAAGAAATTATCTTGTACCCCAATTTTGCTCGCTGGAAGATTGAGCACTGACGCCCAGAGATCCCTGAGCTGTATCTCGGCTTCGGTAGTAGGTTCGATGTGCTGTGCGGAATTGGCGCCCTGATGTGTTATACGGTCCAACTTGGCACCTATCTCACGGAGTGCTTTTCGGTCTGTCTTTCCCGTTAACCCCCTCGGAAGGTCGGTCATCGGAATATATGCACTTGGGATCATGTGAGCTGGCACCAGATCGGGTAATTCTTTATCCAGCTTTTCTATAAGCGGCGCAGCTTTCTGGGGTAGTTCTTCGACACTTGTCGTGGGCATGAGCAAAAAGGCTACCAAGATCGGACGTTGGGTGGCTTCTGGTGTGACTACATCGGCGATAATATCTGCCACGTCCGGCGTCGAATTCAGAACTCGACAGATGTGATGTTCGACGTCGCCTAGCTCCGTACGCTGACCGTTGATTTTGACCTGGGTATCTTTTCTCCCGAGGTAGATTAGTTCGCCATCGGGATTGTAGCGTACCAGGTCTCCTGTTCGATAAAGACGGCCACGACGGCCTTCCACTCCGGGACCACCACGCAGTAACCAACTTGGATCCTCGATAAAGGCAGCCGCTGTCTTCTCGGGATTGTTGAGATATCCTGCTCCAACCAGTGGCCCTTCTAGGAGCAACTCTCCGATCAAGCCGACGGGCGTAAGGGCATCCTTGTCTGGGTCGGCGATCCAGGTCGTTGATCCAAGCGCCCATCCAATGGTAGCCTTGGTAGTCCCACCGTTATTGATTACTGCCGTCGTAGTCACCGTACACTCAGCTGGGCCGTATGTGATGATGGTGGTTTCGATGTTTCTGAGTTGAGGTAGCTTGTCGAAATCCACGACCTCGCCGATAAGGGCAACGGTGTCCAGTGTTGGCACTTTGTCCAGGTCGAGAATCGCGGCGACCGATGGCGTAAGGTGTACAAAGGTCACCTCATTCTCTATCATGTATCGAACGAAGTCATGCTTTCTGTCGTGTTCCGAAGGTATGCACAGACAGCCTCCGGCCGCGAGGGTGTGGATGAAATCGGACCAGGACACATCAAAGGCGTACGAACTGAAAGCTGCGACTCTTGCCGTCGGTTTGAAATTCAAATATTTGTTCTGATGCGCGATTGCCGACATAAAGTTGGAATGTGTTATTGCAGCACCCTTCGGAGTCCCTGTGGTTCCTGAAGTGAATACTACATAGAGCAGGTCGCTCGGCCTGACGAGAGGCAACGTTGTTCGAATGGTCAACTCCGATACAGTCTCCTTCTGCACCACGAATGGTTCGTGGTCGGTCACGTCAGAAACAAGGGGTTCTGTCGAAGGAGCACATAGGACGAGCCCGGCCTTTACGATGTCGATGATCATCCTAATGCGTTCCTTGGTCTGGGAAGGATCGACTACCACGGACGCCGCGCCAGCCTTCATGACGGCAAATTGAGAGACCGGCACCCACATGGACTTTTCAAAAACCAGCGGGACCACGTCTCCAGGACGAACACCGCTGTGGACAAGATGATGGGCTAATTGGGTTGAAAGCTGGTCCCATTGAGTGTAGGTCAATTCCCCATCCCAGGCACTTATAGCGATCTTATCTGGATATCGAGAGACGGTCTCAGTAAGGAGATCATGAACGCAGCCCTTTACCTCTTCGGGTGCACTGGCGTTCCAAGTCCAGACTTGGCGTAGGTCTTCCTCAGACATGGTGTCTAGGCCGCTTATTTTCATTCTGACCATATCGGCACGGCAGATTTGGCGCAATATGTGACCGAAGTGGTCCGTGACTCGCCATGCGAGCTGCTCGCCGAGCAAAGTCGAATCAAAGGCCATTTTCAAGAGTAAGGAAGTATCTTTGATTTCGCAATGTAGAATGACGGCGTAGTCGTTCAAGTCTACAGTGCTTTGGTAGGAAATTGGCGCCTCGCCTGCCTCGACTTCGGCTTGCACCATGAGCAATGATTGGGATTGCCAACCCAGGTCGGCACCCTTGCTACCAGGTTCGGTGGTTGATAAAGCCGCCTGTTCAGATAGGACAATTTGGTGTTGTAAAGCACTCAAAGTCATGTCGCCTTCTACGGCAACACGAACAGTCGCAGCTTTAAGTCCAAGTGACGCCTCGATTCCTGCTACCGGCACCACGATATCGAAGACGGTATCGGTCGTTTCGCCGTACCAAGAAAGAAGTGTTGCCCACGCGGATTCGACTACTCGATCTAGCTTGGTATGTTGAGGCCATTCTGTAACCTCAATATCACGCTCGATCGACCTGTCCGCTCGAGATGGAAGATGGCCTGCGGGGAACTGTCGTCCCGAAAACACGTTCTGTCGACTATTCCCGGCTGGTTGGATTTCTCCCTCGGCCCAAAGTGTTCGCGCATTGACGTTGACATCCACGTCGTTAGACGAAAGTAGTACACCACTCATTTTTGCCGACTTTTGATAGTGGGAGGTGTAGGGCTGTGCGAAGTTGAATTGAGTTGGTGGGCTGCGGCTGCGGCTGTTATAGTAGGTATCTGGAGAGGATGAATGAGGTCTGCGTTTTCTACCGTTGTTCACTAACCTCGATTACCATACAAGTAATATAGCGACATTATATCGTGATTCATAGGCCCTATTGTTGATGCAATCGCTAGTTTCGTCTGCTTAGCTTTTGCCGCTGTGCCCTTGTCGGATCAATCCCAGTCTCCAGGTCATGGTATTAACCTTTGCAGCTGATGTTTTCATATCCCCCTAGAGTACCGTCTAAGGTGCCGAACAACTTTGGTTTAGCGTTGCCGCTCGCCGCTCGCCGCTCACCAACTCCAGCTCCCTTGGGCCTTGGCCGCCAAAATTCAGGCATCTGCCCTCACTGAAGAATCGCAGACATAAGCACTACGAAGGGCCTGTTCGGATCCAAACTACGAACGCATACCAGAAAACTTATGAACACGGCAAGGCACCGGACTGGGACGCGGGAGAATTAGTGGCCGGGTGTTAGCATTTACTTCTAAAAGCACTACTTAAATTTGATACGGAGAGTAAGCACAAAAGAAAATTCTAAAAATTTAAATAAAAGCACTATTCACATAAAGAAATTACTTAAGTATTGTAAAGTTTTATAATGTATCTTTCACAATATTTACTAATATTTGTGATTCGAATAATTATTTAGAAGTTAATCCGATGAATATGCCAAGACCCGGCCGTTAATTCTAGAGGGTACCAGCCGGATCGGCAAATGCAAGGTTCGCGGCTCCGTGGGTCTGACCCCTGGGCCGCCAGTGCCATTCCCCGCTCGGCTGCTTTACACTAGCTCTGCCGCTGCCGCCCAAGGCAGGGACCATACCCACCCACGCGCTAGGCGCCTTATTACAACGTTCCCCATAAAGATTTTCCACGCTACTACAGGGATGGTAGACCTACATAAACTGTAATACAGGAGTACCTGTAATACAGCCCAGGTGCCATTTGTTCCACTATAGTGGGGATGTACCCAGCCACCACGTTAGGGTGTAAATGTACATCCCAAGCTTAATGCATCGGGCAACGCCCTCGCAGCTATTTTCCCTTTTACTACATGTAGATTTATCGTTACAGCTAAATTTGTACACAAATATAGATACCCACTATGTGGGACGGATGGCCCCTTGTAGATGTAGGTTTCCCCATCCCTGTAGAGGTGTATGTCATGTCAGCGTTGCCAGCATGTCATGTTATGATGGCGCCACACACTGCCAGCATCAAGGGGGCTAAAACCGAGAGACGAAGAATACAAGAAGAGAGGCAAAGAGAGAAAGAGGAAAGAAAAAAGAGAAGAAAGACAGAGACCAAACGAAAAAGAAAAGAACGAAAAACTACCAAGTTTCTCTATTGAATTTCTCTCTAAAGCAAACATGGCGTTCGAAAAAGTCCGCTCAGAGTCGTTACTGAGTAGTGGACAACAACTCACGAATACCTCGGTGGTCATCGTCGGAGCCGGCATTGGGGGCATGTGTGTTGCCATTGATCTGATCAAACGCAATAACTGTCGGGACTTCGTCATTCTGGAGCAGTCTTCCGGGGTTGGTGGGACATGGTGAGAAATATCGACGTCCTCATATGAGATACAAGTTGATAATGTCTAACCAATGCTTAATAGGCACGCCAACACGTATCCCGGCTGCGCTGTCGACTTGCAGGCCATTGTCTACAGTTACAGCTTTGCCCCCAACAGCCATTGGACCCGAGACTTCCCAGGCCAGCGAGAGATTCTGTCTTACCTGACCCGTGTGGCACAGGAATACGGGCTGTACGGGCACATCCGGTTCTGCTCCACTGCCGAATCCGCGACCTGGGACGACGAGCTGAAGAAATGGAACACCCACGTAAGGGTTGCCAAAGGATCCAAAGACGCCGAGGCCATCTCCGAATACACGATATCTAGTGATTTCTTTGTCAGCGCTGTGGGCCAGCTAAGTCAACCAAAATGGCCAAAAATCAAAGGTTTGAATACCTTCACCGGCAAGACTATGCACAGTGCTACATGGGACTGGACATACGATTTGAAAGACAAGAGAATCGCCGTTGTAGGAAGTGGTACGTCGACCGTGATAGCAAGCCTGTTGCCCATCCAACTGACCTTTTCTCTCCCTTCCAGGTTGCAGTGCAGTCCAGATCGTACCTGAGCTCGCAAAGGTAGCGAGCAAGGTAACGGTTTTCCAAAGAACGCCTCACTGGATCCTACCTCGCGGGGACTACGAGATCTCCAACTTGAGGAAAACAATTTACCGTTATTTTCCTTTTTGGCAGCGGTACTGGCGTAGACGTTATGTGGACCAGAACGAAACAGAATACATCTCCAACAACTTTGCTGGGCACGAGGAAAACTTGAAGCTGAGACAGGCAGCTTTGGACATGATGCACGAACAGCTGCCTAATCAGCCCGAGTTATGGGAAAAGTTGACGCCCAAGTATCCGGTGGGCTGCAAGCGGGTAGTCGTCTCGGATTATTTCTTCCCGGCCTTAAATCTTCCCAATGTTGAGCTTGAGGCAAGGCCTATCCACAGCATCAACGACCATACTGTGCGTGTTGTCGGCACCGATGGGCAGGCGGAGGACGCGGACGATCGATACGATCTCATCGTCTTTGCGACCGGTTTTCGAGCCAGCGACTTCCTGCATCCCATGAAGATATACGGCCGGAACGGCCGGGCCTTGCACGATATGTGGAAGGATGGTGCCCGGGCCTACCTGGGCACCTGCGCCGATGACATGCCGAATCTTGGAATCGTACTTGGACCTAACACCGGCTTGCTTCATAACAGCTTCATTCTGATGATTGAGGCCCAGAGCAGGTACATCAACGGCTTGATCAAGCCGGTGCTGGAGGCCCGGAAACAGGGAGGCTCGCTTAGCCTGACACCGCGCCCGGAAAAGACCGAAGCCTACAATGCGAAGCTGCAAACCCTGCTCAAAGACTTCGCCGTGAGCGATCCCCGATGCGACAATTGGTACAAGAACGAGACGGGGCTAGTAACCAACCTTTGGCCGGGCACGGTATTGGAGTTCCAAAAGCTGATGGAGCAAGTAAATTACGGCGACTACGAAGTCGAGGGATTCTCAAGAAGTATTGTACAAAAGCGACCTTTGTACAAGGTGGGCCGCGTGGTAGAAGAGAGAGGTTTCTTAGAGAAGTTTTCCTTAGTGAATGCTGTGGTTGTTGGTGTAGGTGCGATTGTTGGGGCAGTTTTCATACCGAAATTAATTACATTTGTATAAAGTTGTTAAATATTGTCAAGGTTAAAAATCACTTAAATAGTTTTATTAAAAGTTATAAAAAGCGTAATAATCGTCATTATCACGAAACCAAAAGGAGGCTACTAAGGACGATGATGTTCTGGTTCTGATGTTCTGGAGAATCAGAACATCAAGAGCCTTGCAGGCGGCTTTATGTACAAGAAGAAAGGCCTGACTCACGAGTGAGTCAGGGAGGGAGTCACGATGATATCTAGCTCCGCTAGATATCTGAGTGACTCCTGACCGTAACAGTTATTAACTTTAATATTAATATATTATAATATTACTTATACTATTTTAGAATTAACTATTCCTTGTTATAAAGACGTAACCGCGTCTCTTATAATGTTCAGCTATAGTTTTGGGGAGAAAGCTAACGTGAGAGCCGTGAACAAATTCGTCACGTCTCGCTTTTATTCAGTGAAAACGAGGGAAAGTTTAAATCAAGCCTCAATTTCCCAGTGAACGCATTACATTAGACGTTGGACCTAGGTTTTGAGTCCCTTTGACAAGTTCATTCACGACTAGCTGGTCGCGGCTTGACTTGAGGCAGTGTCAATTTGGTAGTCAAGTGGGTTTAGAAGCTCGAATACCCTATTGGACCAGCCGTCGCTTTCCTCGTTTTGCACCATATGCCACGCACTCCGGGGCCAGATGAGCCACGTTCGAACGGAAGACCTAGTTACGACCCCGAAATGCATGAACGGCAAAGTCTGCCCAGCTCCTTGATTTCACCATCCGCTGCTATTGGTCAATAGTCTCCATTCATTTCATATGGGATGAAGGAAACCGCCTGATGCTCGGTATTTCAAACAGTTTGTACAAGCGCGAAGATCAGAAAGGGGGAGACGAAGTCAAATGTCTCTAACGTACGCGTAGATCACATAGACAGCCAAGCCCCGTGCACGGTACTACGGTCCTCGCTTTCCTCGCTTTCCTCGCTTTAAGATGCACGAACGCGACAATGTTTCCTTTATTTCGGCCTTTCTCCAGGGGTCGCCTAATGCTCACCTGTTTCCCGTCCGTCCCATCCGACTCAGGATTCATGACTGAGCTGATAACCCTCAATGGGCCTTCACTATGCCCTGCTCAATGTGTGGATAACTAGGAAGACACGACTCTATCTGGTATTTTTGCGGAGTCGAGCGTACCTAAGTAGATATCATGACCGTGCTAATATCGAGACAGATTAGCTGGTCTCTTCATAGTAGTAAAAAAAAAGCTCCACCGCATGCAGAATGCATGATGCGGCCGCCTCATGAGCGGCAGGATACAAGTGTCAAATAACCTGAGGTCAAAGCAAAGATGGATACATATATAAGTATGACCGACCACCTTTCCAATCCCATGACATTTCATCCTCCTAAGCTACAAGCGGCCTCCAAATATTCCATCTAACATACCAGTCCATTGCTTAATCATGAAGCTAGCTCGTTGCATGTTTGCTTTGGCAGCCTTCGGCTCAGTGCTCGCTATAGATGTTAATTGCCCAGTGCCCTGGAATCCTCCTGGACCTGACGACGGTATGTCTATTCTGTCATAGTCATTTGATTCAGAGAAGGGGATGAGGGTGGTTAGTGCTCAACGATTCAAACATTAACCCGAAAACAGTCCGCGGCCCTTGTCCGTTCCTCAACACGCTCGCAAACCACGGATTTCTGCCTCATAGCGGTAAAGATATCGACAGGGACACGTTGGTAAAAGGTGTAAACAAGGGTGTTGGCTTCGAACCAGCGGTCGTTTCAAACCTTTTCGACTTGGCGATCAGCACGAATCCCGAGCCCAATGCCACGACTTTCTCCCTTGATAACCTTATACGGCACAATATCCTTGAGCATGATGCTAGTCTGAGGTACTTCAAGTCTGTTCTATATCAATTGCTGTCTCTAAGGTCTTGTGCGAGTATGCTAACTTGGATTTGTCCACACAGCCGCCAAGACGCGTTCTTTGGCCGAGCCGACATCCTCAACCAGGCTGTGTTCAACGAGACGCGTTCTCACTGGACCGGTGATATCATTGACATGCAAATCGCGGTAAACGCCCTCTTGGCTCGAGTAGAAACCTCTAAGGCCATGAATCCGGATTTTACGCTGTCCTTTCGCGCCAGCAACTTCATCTTCGCAGAAAATGCAGCATTCATCATGGTCCTAGGCGATAGAGAGACCATGACCGTCGACAAGGCGCGGGTTGAATACGTGTTTCGTAAGTTCAATCCCCTACCTGGCGACCCATTCTGCTGCGGGCTATTCGATCTAACAATGGACAGAGAACGAACGTTTTCCCTATGAGCTAGGCTGGACAACACCGGCGACACTGACAGCGGATGAGCTCCTCGAAGGGCAGGATAAAATAAGGGACCTCGCTGGTCGAGATTTGAACACAACTGCTGAGAAGAAACGGGAGGCTCCGCACATCCGAGGCCGATGGCCGACGCTCCTGCCCATCGCAGCAAAGTGATTGTTACGATATCTCACACGTATTACTTGTTTAAGTCATATCGCAGTATAGGGAGATCCCGTAGGGATCCCCACTATCACTACCTAATCAGCTGAGCCATATATAAAACGATCTCCTGTACACTACTAGCCTAGATCTTACTTTCTTCTTGATCAACCGTTATATTACCTATAAGATCTCCTCCCACTTTACGTGACAAGTCATACATCCGCAGTATAGGAAATATCCCGAAAAGATAGTTGCCATCGATTCCTATCGTTTTATGGTGTACGGACAAAACTTACACCATTACGGTTAGAGATCCTTTTCAATCGTTCAAGAATAGCTAGCATCAATTTGGCTTCACCATGTTTGAAATTGCATTCTCCTATCGTACGAAGAATTCTTACTTACAGAAATTCAGTAGTTGATAAGCAAGTAATAAGTGTGTCTTGCTTGAAGTTGACGAAGACAACAGTAGTAGCAGAAGTAAAGAATGTTGGAAGGTGGCCAGTCAAGTATGTATTTAGGCCTGCCACTTATGCCCCTGCTACGCGTAGCTAAGTTCTATCCTACACGCTCCATTCCCTACGATATAATGCCTTGAAGCTTCGCGCAAGTCTCTAGTCTCCCGAACAGCATGAAGGCGTTTTGGGCTGGTAGAACTCCTTCAAGTACTTAATTATACAAAGATATTGCCCTCCGCTATACGTTGAGCTATACGTTGATAGAATTATCCAACGGATTTCACAAATGCGTGAACAAAGACAGATCTGGAGATAGATAGATCCTCCTTCGATTGGAAATGTTAGGATCCCCGGAATATTTTGAACATTTAGCTAGAATCATCCGCCGCGCTGGGTGTGAACAGCACTTGGTACGCATACTCTACGAACTCAATACTCATTCCTCGCAAGTTTGTAAACAGAGAATAAAACCTAGTGGGACGAATATATCAAGCTATAGTCGTTGGTTTGGTAATCCTTTCAACAAACTTATTCGGTATTCCTCTCGAGAAAATTGAGAATGGGCACGCTAGCCTCTCTTGGGAATTCATTAGGAAAATGGGTTGCCAATTAGGGGACTTGACAGTGTAGGAGCAATGTTGACTCTCCGCAAATATTGCGGCTCAGTAGGGCAACACATGTCGTTTTGTCATTTCCCATTCTCTGATAAGCTTCCGCCAATCCGGTCTGCTGCCAGCCCAGAATGTCTTCAGAAATTCCAGGACTTTGGCGTATTGCTTCAGTTTCGTCGCGTTATGTCAAGCAAAAGGATCGATCCCTCACTAGTGACTAGTAAGGCCTTCTATACATTGAAACGTTAGACATCGCTGCGTAGAGGCTGCTCAATGTAGCCTGTCTCTCTGCATCGCCGTGAGACCCCGTGCCAGCAATAAATACCGGCCAAGCTAGGTCAAGATAGCACGGATCTACATCCTCTATCGAATGCATGTGGTAGAAGAGATCTGAAACGACTACCTCTCCGTAACGGTTCATCAAAAGACAAACATCGAATAGAACAGAGGATCCCGGCATCATGATGCATTTCCATTAGTTGCCAGCCGTCATCAGTGTTTCTACCCGGGCTTTTTCGAAGTCGCCGCGGAGGTCGGAGAAGCTCAGAGTAGTTTAGTAATCTGGGTTGTTGGAGGGTTGGGCTGGCATGCCCAGCTGTCTGGATAGGACAGTAGCCCGATGTATAAGGCTGATGATGCCGAGTACATGTAGTCTTCGTTATCCATCCCAAAAGACTTGAGCTGGAGATATCGGTTCGAGCTCTCCGCCTGCAGCCCCTTGATATTCCCTCGGATGGCGGCGCGGCCCGTAGCCTGGGCAGCCAGGACGGCCAAGATCACCTATTTAGGCTTGTAATCATGAACTTGGGAGCGGAGCTAATGTCTGTTGCAAATCATATGAAGCGAGTCCAACTAAAAAAAACTATTATAAAGTATATAATTGTGATCTAGAATACTTTGGCCATGACATGTTCGATCCTTAACAATACAGATGTTCCAAGCTTGCCACCGCGCGCCCAGCCGATTGGCAAAGACATTATCAGTACATGGACTGGTGCTAGCTCATTGGATGATTTATCTCAAACGAAGTCTCTCGAGGGGATCATGGGCGGCAAACCCGCATCAACTCATCCCTCCAGGCTACCCTTCTTCTACCCCTCCTAAATTCTCCTATAATATATTATAATATTTTTTTTAATTTAAATATTTTTAACTTTTTATATACCCCCCTAATTTAATAAGGCTTACTTCTACCTTTAAAAGTCTTGTCGGAATAAATTCCTCCAGTATAAGGAGTGTTCCCGTCTAATTGCGATTGACTTAGCCCGCTTCTGTGTGTAATCCACTACCAATGTTCATCCATGTTCTATGACTGTGGAACCAGGGGACAGTGAAGTATCTTGCCTCGTCACATCTGCGCTTCCAAAAGTGCAGCCATCTGAGCTGGCCAGATCATGCAGTGTCTGTATTTGCTCGGCACTTTCTTGGCTACATTCTTGATCCATGATAATAACACAGGCCTGGGAAAGGCAAATGTCTGTGCCCTTGCGCCGAAAGCTGCCGTATCTAGCAAGCACAGAAGCATAAAGAAGTGAGCGAGAACCGCCTGCGCAGTATGATTGCGTGAGTCTATGAAATTCTCGAACTCTTTGTCGTCGAGTTTGTTGGTCATCGCGATGCATGGTACCAATTTGAGACAGGCTACCCTCATTAGCAAGATCTGGGGCGAGACAGGTCGCAATCAGCCTGACTCACCTTCCGTAAAGGATACCTTGGCTAGTTCGACAATGTTCTCCATGGTGGAGAGATATTGAACTTCGGCGACGCCCCGACAATGAGGAGCTAGTGTTCTAAGTGATGCTGAGAAGTCCTCAAGGGCGGTGGCACTGGCCTGGTCGATTTCGCCAGGATTCGAAATGCGATTTCTCATGGTCTCAACATAAGCATCTATTGTGAATAATCTGAACGATGACTCCTCAAAATCGGGCGGAACAGCCTTTGAAATAATCATCCAACCCCGTAGGGTCGAGAGAAAATCCATCATGCCATCTGGCATGTAAGAGGACTGAAACATTAAAGTCATAATGGCAGCACGCCGAGCATCTCCGTCAGCATTGGAAAGGCATGGCTGCGATAGAGATTTATTGAGAGTCTGGATGGCTTTTACGCGGTGATACAGGGCTTCGCGTGAGAAGTTTGCGCTGGCGTGTATTGTGAGGTGTTGTGCCCCCATGCCTAGTATTGAGTGAACGAGGAAGTCGTACTGCGCATATGGTTAGAACTTAGTGTTGTATCATTGAGCTACTTTTACCGATTGCAATCAACTAACCTCAGGTGCCATTGCCACAACATCCTTCCAAAAGTTATCGAAGCCTGATGGTACGGAAGGGTAGGCCGCAATAAGAAAGTGGTGAAAGAATCGCAAGTCATTAAAGCTTAGCACCATCGAGGAGCAATGCGCAGACGGTGCATGCAACGGCGAAGCTAAAGTAGATGGCTGAGCAGCGGGATAATCGCAGACCAGATCCATCCGCCCGCACTGGGCGCATGCAGGCCGGTCCTCGGAGCACTTCACTCGCCGTCGCTTGCAATTATAACAACCTTTCCTCGATTTGCGAAATCCTTTCCCGGGTACCGGCCGCCGCCGATGCTTGCTGGTCGCAACGTCTTGTGGTGACATGTCAACCGACGGAGTCAAAAGGTCAGTCGACGTGTCAATCGACGACGGCGTGCTATTGTTGCTGTGGTCTTCCGACATCTTGGTGTACTGATATAATATGACCTGACCTGCGAGAGATGTCAATATTTCAACTTCTGCTCCATAAATCACAACAGGAATAAGAAATACTCATGGCACGGATAAAATTTCATCTCAAAAGGGCGTGCTTACACGACCCCGTGGCGCGGCAATGACTCAAACGCAGCTACGCCGATTTGGGCAATCATTCAGCTACTATTTTCAGGCACTGTACTGGACTGTACGGGCACATATATAGGGGCTGTTTGGGAACATACCGAAAGCATGGAAATAGTATTAGCAATGCGTTTAGGGGTATTGCTTGACTTATCCCCATTATAATCTGGCTTATATGCAGTTCCACAGTACATTTAACTACATCTAATAGACTTTAATAATCTTGCTTAAAATTTTAACAAAGCGAAAAACGCCTTTAAAAATGTTTTTAACTCGTTTATTTTTAATTTTAATGCCCTGTAATTATAACATATTAGTGGATGTATTATAACAGTAACGACGATAAAGTTTGGTATAGCTTCAGCTTATTTCGTATAAGCAATATTAATAATAAGCTTAAAGTTACAAACACTCATCGGCTTATGCAAAATTGAGGTTTGTGTTAATTCGTCCAAAATAAAGTAGATCTCCCCCACAAGCGAGATAGGATAGCGCATGGTTATCGACTAGGGTGGCACGAGCTATAAGCAAAGCACCGCTTATTGTTCCAAACAGCCCCATAATGCGACCGGGTGGAAACTTTAATGCGACGGGGCTCATGCCTCCGTGTGTTAGTGGGCTGTGTTGCAAAACGAGGAAAGCGATGGTTGAGCCAATGATCCCACGCCATTTACAACCTCGCTATAACGTGACAGGAGAGACGTAATCAGTGTATCAAACGTAATCAAAGCCTAGCCGCAGCTTCAAGCCTTTAGTGAGAGGTCGACAATGAGCCCAAACATCTCGTTTTTGCGGGAAGAAAGCGAGATGCGAAGAGTTTCTTTGGCAACCGTCAAGTTTGATGCGTTATCAGAATCTGCTTTGGACATTATTATAAAAGACCAGCCATGTCTTTACACAAGAGTGAGGTTCAAGACAGTAAAAGCAGAACCACAATATGGCAACACTCGAGTCAACTTCGACCTTCGCGTCCCCTACAACGTTCACTGTGAGAGCGGAACCAACCTGTACGACGGCTGTTCCAGACCACTTTGGCCACGTTCCACCCGACGCCTGTAATGCAAACTACGGCTTCTATCCAAGCTGGGAGTACAACCTCACAGTCGCCATCGGATTCGCCCTGACGAGCGCTGCACATCTTATAGAAGCAGTCATTTTTAAGAAGGTAAATCCGAGCCTATGAGAGTCTGACAGGAATTCAAACTAAACCAAGTCGTGCTACAACAGAGTTTCTGCTGGGTGATTATTATGGGCTCCCTTTGGGAATGCATTTGCTTCGTGCTTCGAACTCTGGGTGCCCATGACCAACAAAACTCGGAATACGTCACGTTTTCGACTCTGTTGTTTCTACTCGCTCCCCTCTGTAAGAAACACCGCTTCGTCTATCATTCACGTCCGACTGGGATTTTACCCGCGTTAACTCATGCTTACCAATATGTAAAGGGATCAACGCTTTTGCCTACATGGTCCTCGCAAGACTTACCTATTACATACTTCCTGAGCGGCGTCTCCTCCGCATTCGTGCCGAGTACTTGTCCAAAATATTCGTCATAGCCGATGTTCTTTCCTTTTTAATTCAAGCCGCCGGCGGCGCGATGCTCGCGAACCAAGATGACCCCGCTGCGGCGTTGAACGGGACACACATTTATATGGTGGGCATAGGCGTTCAGCTGTTTTTCGTGCTGATCTTCACCTTCTTCGCCGTGTCTTTCGTGCGGCGGCTCTCGTTTCTGGAACGTATTCGCGGCCTTCAACGTAATGCGAAGTGGGTGTGGCCATTGGTATGGACCTTGCTGGCAGTAATGGTCCTCATTGTGGTAAGTGATCAGTTTATCAAGAACTTCGCCTGGCACGTGATGCTAATGGGTACTGCAATGATAGATTCGCATCGTGTTCCGATTAATCGAGTTTAGTCAGGGAGCATCGTCTTCAAACCCTTTCCTTCAGCATGAAGCATTCCAATTCTGTCTAGATGCTTTTCCCATGCTCGTTGCCCTAGGGCTTCTCAATATTGTACACCCGGGTATTGTGCTTAGAGGACCAGACAGTAGCTTCCCTCGTGGAAGTTGGAAGTGGTGGAAAAACAGAAAAGATGGCAAATCTAGATCGCTCTTCATTCCGTTGGACTCAGGAAGTCTACTAGAAGTGAGCCCCCATCGAGGTGGTGTCGACGTGGGTTTGTAAGTCATGGAAGAGCTGGTGACAAGTGTGTGTGTGTGTATTGTCTATGTAAAAGAAAAGATTAATTTTTTTTACAAACAATCACTCAACACTGAAGAGCAGGAGAGCCACGTCCGTGGCTCATGAGTGGCACACTCACAGCTGGTCTCTAAATTGATTTATCTAGGGCTTGTAAGATTGGCCACATCTCGATTTTTGAATGGGCAAGAGAAAAGGACAGGTCATGGAAGCCTGAGTGAAAGGATGTATCATAGTTATGAATTTTGTCTGCTGTGCGGTTTTTACATAGTTAGGGTTAGGGTTAGGGTTAGGGTTAGGGTTAGGGTTAGGGTTAGGGTTAGGGTTAGGGTTAGGGTTAGGGTTAGGGTTAGGGTTAGGGTT